CCTCCCTCCATTTGCCTACTGATATACGTCGCATTTGCACTCTTTACACACATAGCAGATTTGTAGTCGTAGATTCTATCCAGACCACCATGGCTTCACCACGTAAGGCATTCACCCTGCACTCTCACATGTTGCTCAGCTGACGAGTCTCAGAGCAACTTCGCACCAAGCTTACCGACCTGCTGAAGATCCAGCATCCCGTCATGCTTGCGGGCATGAACGTGGCTGCTGGACCAAAGCTCGCGGCCGCTGTCACAAATGCTGGTGGTCTCGGTGTCATCGGCGGTGTCGGATACACGCCAGACATGCTCCGTGAACAGATCGCGGAGCTGAAGGGATACCTTAACGACCAGAACGCGCCCTTCGGTATCGACCTGCTTCTCCCCCAGGTCGGAGGTAGCGCGCGCAAGACCAAGTACGTCCTCTTTGTCGGCGAGCTTGCCACCTCAAAGGCACGACACTAACCATGTACAGCTACGACTACACCAAGGGCAAGCTGAACGAGCTCGTCGACATCATCATCGATTCCGGTGCCAAGCTATTCGTCTCCGCCGTCGGCGTCCCACCCAAGGCTGTCGTTGAGAAGCTACACAAGCACGGCGTCCTATACATGAACATGATCGGACACCCCAAGCACATCAAGAAGTGCCTCGATATCGGTGTTGACATCATCTGCGCACAGGGAGGCGAGGGCGGTGGACATACTGGAGATGTTCCCACTTCCGTTTTCATCCCAGCAGCTGTCAAGATGGTAGAGGGCCACAAGTCGCCCTTGACCGGCGAGCAAGTACAAATCGTGGCTGCTGGCGGCATCTTCAACGGACAGTCGCTCGCTGCAATGCTCACATTCGGTGCTACCGGTGTCTGGGTAGGAACACGTTTCATCCTCTCCGAGGAGGCTGGTGCGCCCAAGGCACACCAAGAAGCCGTCAAAACAGCTGGCTGGGACGACAACATCCGTACCATCATCTTCACTGGCCGGCCACTTCGTATTCGCAACAACCCATATGTCGCCAACTGGGAGGAGAACAGACAAGCAGAGATCAAGGAGCTCACCAGCAAGGGTATATTACCTGTCGAGCATGATCTTGAGAAGATGGGTGATGACCTCGACGATGAGACCATGGACAATGCTCGGCCATTCCTGATGGGTAAGGTCGCCGCCGTTGTCAACGAAAAGAAGACTGCAAGAGAAATCGTCGATGAGCTCGTCACAGATGCTGTCAAGTGGCTCAACATTGGCAACTCTTTCATCGTATCCAAGTCGAAGCTATGAGCAATGGCTTTAGGTAGTTTAATTTCGAAATAAGCTTCTTCGTTTGCCGCAAACTGCATTCTATCTCAAACTGCAAGATTCAGACGTAGAGTTGATCAAAAGATATGCAGTAATATGCTACATCATGGAGACTCGATCAGGTATGCTTCAGGGGTCAGTCGTTTGGACTCGTTATGCTGATTGAGCAAAAGCCAATCTATAGCCTGTCTAGTGTTTCGGCACAACTATGCATCACGGATTCAGTGTTGTGGGACCGACATCAAGGACGCATTAGATTATGCCATTATCACAATGCTATATATGCCTACGAAGTACTGGTGGCTGAGCTGACAGGCAGACTGACTGGCATTGGAGTGCCAGAGGCAGAAGCTGTGGACGACGCGCTGCCACCGCTACCACCGCCGTTCTTCTTTTGAACTACGGCCGAAACGACTTGGCCGGCAGTGTTTGTCACAATGTCGACAAGAGCGTTGAGAGGCTCGTATGAGAAGGTCTTCTGTGTAAGTCCCTGACCAATCTGCTTTGCGCTACCAGTGACCTCGGTCATATTGAGCTGGAGATTCAGTTAGTGATTGTGACGTAGTATAGTGCAAGTATGCTTACTTTGAAGTTTCCGACAATCTGCTGAAGGGCATCTCCGCCGCTTCCCACGACCTCTTGGACGATGTTACCAAGGTTATCAACCAAGAAGTTGAGTGTCTTTCCATTCTGCGTAATCGATCCCAGCTACATGTTGTTAGTTTCGTTGAATTCTAAAAGTCTTTGGACACTTACAAGGCCATCCACAGCACCAATCACTTCTCCAACCAAGTTGGTGACGTTTCCGATCAAACCGATGAGAAGAGGGTTCAGGTCCAAAGAATCGAAAACGCGCTCAACAATGGAAACAAGGTTGCCCAATCGTACGACCAACTCGAGATCAACATCCACATCAGCAATAGTGATGTTGACCTTCTCTACGGCGACTTGAACGCCAGCATTGATCTGGACAAGACCGGCAACCTTAGCATTAAGGTTGAGATCTGCCTGAAGCCTCTCAACACCTAGTTCGATTCTGCCTACGTGGAGTTCGGGGACACGGAGAAGCACATCTGGGGGTGAAGATCCTGTAGGCGCAACCTCTGGCGGTCTTGTAGAAGTTCCGTTACCTCGCGGTGGGTTGCTGCTAGTAGGCGGCGGGGTTGATGGTGCAGCTGATGGTGATGCCGTTTGCGCAGAAACGATTGTTGCAAAGGTAAAGAAAATGCTGATGAGCAGTAGGCGGATAGAGAACGACATTTTGGCGTGGGCGGCGACAGCGACAACAACGACAGCGATAGTAAAGAGTGAGACAGCCGTACAAGTATCAGCAAACACGGCCCAAGTAATGTTTAAAGCGAAGGAATCCCGTTGCAAATCAGCCGAGACGGCAATCATGCACATGGTGTATTACAAGGATTCCCATAACGGTAATCTCGGGTAAAGCCCCCTATGCAGCAACAACAAGGGTTCGTACAAGGCTGGACCGCGCCATCTGGAGCAAACCCAAGGCATGAACACCCAGAAATCCTGATTCGCACTCGAACTACCGGTTTTCTAGATTTTCTGTCGAATGGCATGTGCGGAAATGATCTCCTTAATTTCCTTTTTTTGCTTGTGTGGTGGATGACGGATAATCGTGCTATGCAATGATCCTTGCAGGCAACGAACTACTACAACCGATGGTGCTGTTAACCGTTGCTCGCCCGTCTCTTGTCGATTGACGACATCCATCGAGCTGTCGCTTCCTTCCCTTCGCTCCTTCAGCAGCACGTGGACCTCTATCCAGTCTCTCTTTCATCACCAATCAAGATGTTGTCCATACTCCCAACAATCACACTCCTTTCGCTGCCATTTCTCGCCGTTTGCCAATCTGCGTCTGATGGCTACAGTGGCTACAAGCTCGATGTCCGAGATGACGGCGACCCAACCGCCGTGCTTTACGAGACGGAAAACACGTCTTCTTCTAATATCTCCGCCTTGAATCCTGTGCCAGATGTCCTGCTTAACGCATCGGTTCACGTTGGCGAAATCTTCATTGGTGTCGACAACCTCACTGCGAAGATCAACCTCGACGCACAGGTACTCCAGTTGCTGCAGTTCAACGCCGGAGTAGACCTTTCCATCGACAAAGTCACGCTCCTTATCCAAAACGTCACAGCCAAAGTCTATCTCGAAGCACGTCTTGGTAACCTCGTCTCTATGGTCAGCGACGTACTGGACAGTATCGACCTCAACCCTGTTATCGCGGAGCTAGGAAACGGCCTCGGATCCATCATCAACGACACCGCCGGTCTTGTTGGCGACGTTGCCGGCGGACTTACAGGAGGAGGCAACGACACTGCACAAGCCAAGGCAAAGCGTGACCTCGACTTCCATCAGTGGGATCTCCGTAACAACATCCTCTATTCCATCAACAACTTCGAAGGCAACACCAACAAGCGCCGCGTCCTTGCCCAAAACGGCGACATCGTAGAGCAAATTCTCGACAACTCCGGCACTATCTCTTCAACAAATGTTGTTGGTGATTACGTCAAGAACATGCGCTTTAATGGTTTCAACGAGAGTGTGACATTCAAGGGTGAAGAGGTTTGGGAAGAAGAGTATGTCTATGAGCCTTTCATGGGGCTGTACTCTGTCTCGGGTGTGTTCAAGAGCAAGAGTACGGGAGAAGTTGTTGGCACGCAACTTCTTGCTGAGGCTAGAGGGGGTGGAAGCGCCAGTATTGGAAACGAGAAGGCGTAGAACTGAATATTATCACGCTCGTGTAGAGATTTTACCAATCGAATGTAATGTTTTGAAATAAACCACTTCCTTCTCTGAACGCCTAACCTGATCAGCCTTACATCCAGGGAGCGTGTACAAAGACGTCCTTGTCTCATGCAACTCCCACGTTTGCACAAGTCACTCTCCGGTTGTCAGGTTCGGCAAGTTCATGGTGAACGGCTAATATGCCTTCGATGAGCGCATGGTGGTTTTGCATGAACATCCGTGCGAGTATGCGAGATGTGCAAACCGAGATTTGCCATGCAGCCACATCCAGGAATAGTAGCAACGGTCGAGACTGTTCCAAACATCGAATCGACAATGGCGTCACCGTTTGAAGGAGCAACGTCCTTCCAAGGCACGCCCAAAGTCGCATGAATTCACAAAACCTAAGCATTGAACACTTGGCTTATCCTAGCGCAGTATGATGCATCTCTCATGCTTAGGTTTAGGGTAAGGGGATTTCGCCTTAGTTCCAGTGCGACATTGCATCGTAAAACAGCCCGTCTAGAATAATGGCAGACTGAGCAAGTTGAGGCAACGAGGTAATGAGCAGGGACGAGAAAAGAATATTCACGCGCGAAAGATATCACGTCAAGATATGAAATTCCTATGGTGCTTCATTGTTGCTTGCAGATAATCATCGCTGGAACGCCAATAACGCCATGCCATGCTGATGATCTGAGTTGAGATTGTTTCAAGAAAACCTTGACGCCGTTAATGCCCAAGAAAGGTTGCTGCCGCATCTTCATCCAAAATCAATACACATCGTAATACGTAGAGCCAAAGTATGACAGGGGGCATCGCGATATCAAGGTAGTGTCGTCGTGTTTAGAAGCGGGGTTATCTTGAGGGCGAATGTGTAGGTTGAAGTCGTTTCTGCCGCCAAAGCCACTTGCGTGGGCCTCCATCGTCCTCGATTGCACAATCCCATAACATTCTACTCTTCAAGCCTTCGCATCATGTTCTTTCGTACCTTGGTGTTAACCACACCCCCAACACCAAACGCAGGTACAATACGACATATTCTTGCTGCAGCACTCTTGGCCCAATCCCTCACAACGCGACCCGCTCTTCCATCAACACCACCCACCGCAGCATCAGGCCTATTGTACAGATCGAGACCCAGCAAATGCAAAGGCGTGCTCACAAGCTGAACAGCAGCAGGCGTAACAAACTGCGCAACGCTCAGCGCTCCAACATACTTCTTTACTTCCTCGCCCATGCGCTCGTCTACCTTCGGCGCGAGCAAGGGCGGCAAGTTGAAAGAAGCAAAAATAGTAAGACAATCGCGAACTGTAAAAAGCGCAAAGGTCGGCAATGGAACAGGCCGTGGAGACGATCCCGGCGCAGCAAAAAGCCGCGTAAACTGGTTGTCCTTGTACAGACACAACGCTAGATTTGTTGTACTCGTAGCTAGAAACTTGCTCGTCCCGCTCGTCTGCTCCTGTAACCCTTGTGTAGGCTTTACGGTCGCAGAAGCTGTATCGATACTGTTCGCCGTAAAGTAGGTTCCGAAATACAGACTGAAGATGAGAATGAAGGGCTTGCTTCCCACAAAGTGGTGGGGTCTTGCTAGTAACTCCACAGCACTCTTCTTCAGACTGACGCCCAATGTGTTCCTGCCACTTGCGTTTTCGATTATGCCTTTATCGATCATGGTTATGATGGGTGCGACGAGTGTCCCTGCTGCACCTGCTGAGAGGACGTCGACGCCGATGCGTAGACCGAGCTTGGAGGTATTCCATTCGCGAGGTGTGTCGGTCGAGGTAGTGGGTGTGCGCATTGCAGGCAGCGGCAGCTTGGGTTTGGGAATTGCAATTGAAGGTGTTACAACCTTAGGCGCGGTGTCTGCAGGTGTGTTCATACCGCTGGCTTGTTCTTCCCCCATTGCAGCTTCCTCCGGTGACTGATAAACTCTCTCTTTCTGTGCTGCATGTGAAAGCTTCGGCTCTTCAATCCTGCTCTCTTCGCGGGCACTTTGCGCTTGCGGTCTCTGGTAGGCTTTGTTTCGTCGCGTATCTAGAGTGCGACCGAAGTGCCGTGAAGATTCACAACGCAGGAGCTGCGCAGCCGTTGTTGTTGAGGGATTTGATTCACCAGCCGCTGACGAAAGATATCGGAGTTTAGCTGAAAGTTCTCCGGAATGAACACCGACGTCGGAGCAAGAGCTACCGAGTCGAATACTGCGTTCGTTGATTGGCCCATGTTTTTAAAACCTGCATCATTGGACGTTCGCAGGTCAGTTGGCGATGGGTAGCATCGGCTGAGGTATGTTCATGTATACTGGATGCCATGTCTCTGTAAATGCAGGGTCCATCATGGGGAAGGCGACCAAAGTTGGCGACCTGGGGCACATTGAGCTAGGACGTTGCACCCCTCTCTTATCATAGTCTTGCTACAATGATAGCAAACTACTCGATACACCCACAGATCGGAGCGACAGCGTCTCTCGTTGTGCATAGGCTTATTGCTTAAAATGGGATAAATTGCGATTGCGTAGCCAGGGCATGCCTACAAGAACGAGCAGTCCACGACTCATGATGTTCACAGCCATCGGGTAGACAGGTAAACGCGGCTGAACGACGAGCAACTTAGCCGAAGCCGTCTGCCAAAATTCCGAAAGAAACCGATCTTGCGGACGCTCAGCTGACAGCGCCTCCTAGCGACTGGTGAGAAACCGAAGATGCAGATGAGGGGATGATGTGGAGGCGGTGTGACATATATTGCAACAGCAACCAGGTAATGAAGACCGGCTTGATTCTTGACTACTTTGGTAGTCGTAGGCATGTGATTCTGCTTCAAAACTATCTTAGTCTTCCCAACAATTCACTTGCATGTGATGCGCCCAAACTCCAATACACCCTGGGAATCCTGTTTGAATCTCAATTCCTTAGCGCGCGCAGCCTCTCGGTAAACGCCTCTTCTTCCTGCTCGGTAGGTCCAACTTTGGTCTTGACCGGTGTGGCTTCTTGGAGATCTTGCTGTAGATCTACACCTGCCTTATCTGCTGCTTGCGCCATTAGACGGTCGACGTCTTCTTGTGGTGTACCGACGGCGGTCGCGGAGGAGGTGATGTCCTGGTAGAGTTCCGTGGCTGAGTCTACGTTCTCAAACTGCTTCTCGAAATCGACCATGACGGAGGCGATCTGTATATTGTCAGCGGCCATGACGCAAGTAGCTGTAAGGTTGCGTACCCTCTCTGGACTCATAGACTTCATAGCCACGTCTAAACTCCGGTTGACCTTCATCATGTTGCCTGTGATCTGTCGCATGGTGACTGCTGTTTGCACGCGACCTGCGACGGCATCGACGCGCGAGGCAAGTTGCAGCAGGTTGAGCTTCTCATTCTGCTTGCGGATAGCGTTTCCGGCGTATATGCGTGCAATGTCGTTGTGGCCCTGTTTCATAGCCTGGCATGATTGTCAATACAACGTCTTTGGCGTGGGAAGCATGTTATTTACCTTCTCCAGCTTGGTCTTCTCTGCCTGTTCCTCCTTGCCGGCTTTGAGCGCCTGCCTGTTGAGCGACTTGGCTGTGAACTACTGAGTGTGAGCGTGGGGGTGGTCGGCGTCGACACAAGTCAGCTGACCTTTAAATTGAAAAGCGCATTCTCGAGACCCGACATAATGTACAGCTGGGGAAGGTAGGGGCTTGTGGAGTTGTGCTATGGGTAGTGGTTCGGGAGATAGGCAGTAGTGGGCAGCGCTGTAGGTGGGATGCGGCTACTGGCCACGCGGGGTGTGGGCCCAACCCCGACGTCATTGGTCGTGAAACACATGCGCCTCTTGCTCTGGGCGCGCCGTCACGAATCAGTAGGAAGCGAGTACGTGTGAATGCATGCGGATAGAATAGAATATCTGCTGTCGCGACAACTACGAGTTCCGTGTTGTAACCTTTCGGGCTTGCATGTCCCTTGGATAACGCCTATTTCTATGCTTGAAACATGCCGGCCCGTACACCCTGAATGCCCTTGATGTATCCCTAATTTAAGCCAAACGCCTGCCTCGCGCCATCGCAATGCCCATCAAACGCCGCGCAACCGAAGCCATTATTCGTACAAGTCGTTCACGGGAAGCAGCGCTACTGCGCAGGCGGCGCGTTGAACTTGCTTGTAGCGTTCTTGAAGAGCTCTTCCTGCGCAGCGATGAGCTGTTCCTCGGTCATGCCGCTCTGCTCGATCTTGGTCTGCTTCTTTTCTCGATTCTGCCCCACGTTAGCTAGTGGTCGCGTAACCTGCACCCTCGTCATCCTACCTGCTGTTGCTTCTTGTAGTCTTGCGCCACCTCGAGGATGGCTGGGACGTAGTCGCCAAAATCCAGCTCTTCCAGGGCAGCCTTGACGTGTTCGCAAGCTATCGTCTTCTTGGCGTCTTTTTCGGCGATTTCGTTGGCTTCAGACGAGATGAGGGTGATGAACTCGACACAGCATTCGATCAAGAGGTCGCGCGAATCTTTTGCAAACGTCATTCCAGGCTCGCTGGCGAGGATGTCTTGCACAATCTTTTGGACGGTCGCTGGGGGCGCATTAGCATTTACGGGGCGGTGCAAGTTTGAAATTGCCGACCTTTGGGCAGCGACAAATCGTCGTTGCCGCCAAACTCGCGGTCAGACATGGTGGTTGGGTGCGCGGCAGCGGTATGGTGTTGGCTTTGAGCTTCGGTATTGCGCGTGGTTGCAGCGCTGCTAAGTAAGAAATGCAAATAGACCGCACGGGCCGGCTGTTTGGCCGAGCTGGGGCATCATGAGGACCCTTTGCCTAGGCAGGAACATTGATTGTGTAACGACGGCAGGCAGCAAACACGACATGACGGCCATAACAGCCTTGTGAAGTATCGGGTATGAAGTCATTGTTATTCCAGCAAGCCATATGCAGCATTAAGTCGTGTCGTCGAGGATTCGCAGCAGCCTTTGGGGTCATGTCATGGGTGTCCTGCCTCTGGCATGTAGCACAAGCAAGCTACGCAGGGTGCACATGAGAGAAGAGCATGTTGCTCGTATAGCTACATGCCGCCTGGGCAGTTTGTATTAGTCGAGTCAAGCAAGGCTCAGATAGTATAGATAGGTAATGGCATGGCTAGCTCCACAGACGCTATCTCGTGCTATCGGGCCACATGTCGCTAATGTGCCAGTGGCATCACGGGTGGAGCGTTGAGGCTTTTCTTCAAACGACAGTCTTGGAGCTTGATGCAGGCAATGGCTTGAGCATTGATGTGAGGATATTCGTGCTCCACCTGCTACGGCACAGTGGAGGCGATGATTGGCAGTGAAGGGGCCCTGCTCCGAGATCTTAGCCAGGGACTGTATCTCTTCCCGGCCGGTTTGGGCGAAGCCGGCCCAGTGACATGTCGGCAGAAGCAATGGCAGTGGATAACTACGTCAGCGGGTTGTACTTGCTTGGCGCACACAGATGGATGGCCTGTTCAAGTGTGGTTTTGGTAGACTTGCTGCTGCTGCTCGCCGAGACAGACGACAGTGGCGGTGAAAACCGGAGGACGAGTGGACGGGCTGGCGGCGGGCTATGGACGAGAGGACCGTCGGCGGCGCTGCTAGGCCGGGGAATGGTGCAATGCAGATGCAATCACGCTGGTAGAGGCGGTGATATGATATGTATCCAGAGTCGTTGCCCGGGTGCGTGAATTGAATTGCTGCTCAGTGAGCTACACGGCGCCTGCCTAACTCGTTTGCCGGTGACGCTGCTATCAAGTGCAGCAGCACCAGAGCTCCAGCACCTGTCTTGATTCCAACACTTCCCGAGAGACCCCCCAGGCGCTCCCACGGTCCCAAAGTACACGTCTACCCAGTACCGCTGTACACCGCCCGCGCGCCTCCAGGCTGGCAGGACTCGGACAGCCTGCCCCGTTAAAGTGCTAGAGCAGAGTTTTCGCACAGTCGTTGCAACGCGCTTGTTTAGGGCTAAGGCCGCTCGGAGCAGCAAGCCAGGACCCAAGGGATTATTATGACTTCACGCCCAACTGCGGACCCGGCAGACAGCTCGCTCTCGACATCTCCCACAAGCGACACGTACTCCAGCAGCCCGTCTCGACGCAGTCTCCGGGAAACCACCAAGATTCCTCCTCCCACCAAAGGCTCCGCTGTCGATGCCCTCCAGCAACGTCCCGGACTAGTCTCTCGCGCCTCGGAGAGCTCGACCAAGACCATTCGACCCCGCCACCATCTACGCAACAAGTCGAGCAGTGTTGTTCCCACCCTCTCCACGCTCAACGTCGGCACTGCGCCCTCGACCCGCCAGCAAAACACCATGGCCCAGCACACGACAGGCAACTCCTCGTCAGGCGCTGCCGACCTGCTGCGGCAAGCAATGACACGGTAAGATAGATGCCTGCCTTTTAGACTGCGCATTTGCATATTGCCACGCACCACACCCACGCACTACGACGCACCGCCCACGATGCACCATTCACAGCCCGTCGCTTGGTCATCACTGCTCATTTCTCACACGCTGCACACACGACTCCTGCCCTCACACCACCCTTTCACCGCCACTTCGTTGTCGTTTTTTTGCCTCTATCGAGATTCCTGCCCTCATCACTGCTAACGCCCCATAGCGCAACCAACGACAGCAACGACGACGGACACGACCAGATCGGCTCCACTAGCTCCACGCCCCCAGGTGCCACGACACCCAAGCCCGACCCGACGGACAAGCGACTGCCGGGTATTCTGCACAGTTACTTTGGCCAGGTTCGTGATTCTCTTATGCCCTCGCGGAAATCCTCATCCACGGTCAACCCCTCCCCCGCACCCGTCACTACTTCTGAAGTGTCGGACCCCCGAGAGAAGGAGCAAGAGTCACCCACTCATCCCAAGATGCTGCCCAGCCCCACCCCCAGTGCCTCTTCCCGAACTCCCTCAACCTCGCAGTTGACTGGTGAAACGGAGAAGCTAACGCAAGGCGACTTTGCGCCGGTGCAACAGGCTACACCTCCCCAGACACCGCGCACCCGCTCACAAGAATCAAAGCCCAAGCCCTCGAACCTGTCCCGCGCCTCAAACGCTTCCGACGAGTCCAAGGAGAGCAAGACGGCTCCCGTTGTGGCTCCCAAGGGCAAGCTTGCAGTCACAATCTCTGAAGGACGTGGTCTGCGCCCTAGCACAGACCCCTACGTTGTCTGCCAGTTCCAATGGGCTGAGTACATCTCAGACGGTCCTAGGCACGATGAGTCGAAGCGACCAGCCATGCAGATGAAGCGGACCGAGAGCCAGATGGGCACTCCAATGGCCATCCCCATGAAGAGCCGACAGAGCAGCAACAGCGGACACAGCTCAGATCCTAGAGAGAATGGGTCCCTGGAGGAAGTAACAAGCCCTAAGTGGGAGCACGAGGCCATGTTGTAAGTAGCTTCCCATCTTCCATCTACAGTGATGCTGACGATTGTAGTGACGTTGTAGGCGACCATGCCGAAATCGACATCTCCGTATACGACCGGGCCAACGGCGAGGCTTTCCTCGGCCACGTCCGCTTCTGCCCAAACCTCGTCGAATACAGCGAGCCATATGACGGCTGGTTCCCGCTAGAGCCCCGAGAGGGCGAGGGAGGTGTTGTCACTGGAGAGATCCACCTCAAGCTGAACTTCCAAAAGGTGGAGAAGAAGCACTACGGTCCTGAAGACTTTGAGATTCTCAAGCTCATTGGAAAGGGCACATTCGGCCAAGTGTTCCAAGTACGTAAGCGGGACACTCGCCGCATCTACGCTATGAAGGTTCTGTCCAAGAAGGTCATTGTGCAGAAGAAGGAGGTCGCCCACACACTTGGAGAACGCAATATCCTCGTCCGGACAGCCATGGCTGACTCGGCATTCATTGTCGGACTCAAGTTTTCCTTCCAGACACCCTCAGATCTATATTTTGTCACTGATTACATGTCTGGAGGCGAACTCTTCTGGCATCTCCAAAGAGAGGGCCGTTTCCAGGAAGGCCGTGCCAAGTTCTACATTGCAGAGCTCATCCTAGCCCTGCAGCATTTGCACGAACACAACATCGTGTACCGAGATCTTAAGCCCGAGAATATCCTTCTGGACGCCAACGGTCATATCGCCCTCTGCGATTTCGGTTTGTCCAAGGCTAACCTTACCGAGAACGCAACGACCAACACATTCTGTGGAACCACAGAGTACCTTGCACCTGAAGTCCTCCTTGATGAACACGGCTACACCAAGATGGTCGATTTCTGGTCGCTTGGTGTGCTAGTGTTTGAGATGTGTTGCGGCTGGAGTCCCTTCTACGCAGAAGATACCCAGCAAATGTACAAGAACATCGCGTTTGGAAAGGTCAGGTTCCCTCGGGACGCCCTCAGCACCGAAGGTAGGAATTTCGTCAAGGGACTTCTCAACAGGAACCCCAAGCACAGGCTTGGCGCAACACGCGATGCGGAGGAGCTCAAGGCGCACCCCTTCTTTGCCGACATCGACTGGGACGCGCTGGGCAAGAAGAACGTGGTACCACCATTCAAGCCCAAGCTCAAGGGAGAGCTGGATGTTTCCAACTTCGACCCAGAGTTTACCAATGCTCTGAACGGCGCCGGCTCTCTGAACGCACGCGCAGCTGCTTTGGCATCAGGTGTCAATCCCGCATCCACACCGCTGTCACCAACTATGCAAGCAAACTTTGCTGGCTTCACCTTTACCGATCAAAGTACAATGGAGCAACAATTTGGCAACGACAGGCACAGGAGTGATGCTCTGGAACGAATGGATGAAGACGAGGGAGACGAAGTCAACTGGGATCGACCCGCAGGTCGCGGAGACAGGATGTCTGGCATTGTTCCCAGTAACGAACACGACGTCTTCAACCATGGCCAATTCGATGTATGATGAGCATACGCTCAAATACCCAGCCTGCTCTTCGATCCTAGGTTCCTCCACGACCCGACAAAAGTTTCTGCTTTGTTCTATCTTACCAGTACATGGCGGTACTATTGATATGAGTCTTTTCTTGGATACCCGGAGCCTACCAAACAGGACCTGAACTGCGTTCCAGTCCTTCACTAATTTGCCCCATCGGTCGCTGCTGTCACGACTTTAGGCATGGTCACGATTACACAAGGTATGCGCCACATGTTTCTCGACGACAACGCCGGGGATCTGACACAGCGCGCGATTGATTACGAATACAAGATTTCACAGAATGAGTTCAAGTTGCTGCGGTTTCCCACGCTTCAGTAAACACGATGTTTCTTTGCTGGGCTATGGGTTTGCATTGCGCTGGTGCATTGCTTTCGCTTTTTTCAATGTGGGAGTTCTAATGGTACATTGCCAAGTCGAGGCTGTTTATTTATCATTCTTTGTGCATTATGCGCGTGTATTTGCACGTCTTTCTGCGCGTTCGGCATACTAACGATATGAATTCATACGCATCGTCATCGAAGAGACTTGGGTCGGGGTGATATGATGGGATATGGGCGAGCTTTTTTGTACATAACTATATGAGACATCAAGATCACTTTTTCGTACATGTCGCCATGATTCGGCTCTAAAATATTTATCCTCTTTGTATCATATATGGCTTCCAACTATCCTAGCCACCTTCTCTGATCTGTTCCCTCGCCGGGCTCATCCCATACCTCCATCATATCCAACCACTCCAATACAAATGCCCCGACAATCTTACACCAGTCTCTGACTGTCTCTCCGTCCAAATGCTCCCCGTCATCCTCCATGGTATGCCACACCCTGGGGAAGGGGCTTGGGATAACATGCAATATCTCTACACCTTTGCTCATAAACGGCAAATGATCATCAGAGATACCACCACTACCCATAGTCCCATTGACATCAGGCAGGAAAGGCGAGCTGGGCTGCGATTCGAGGAGTTTCAAATCTCTGAGTCGTGATTCTATGGTGGAGAGGTGACGGTACGCCCAGTGCGTTGTGGGAAAGTAGGATGGTACCGTGGGTGAAGCGCTACCCAGGAGATCGAGGAGCATGAACAGCGAGATTTGAGATAGTGGAGTGCGGTTTTGGTAGAATTTCGAGGCTGCAGAAGGGGGATTGGATGTGGAGGCCCATTCTTGTGCTAAGGATCTACAAGGTTTGTGTTAGTATGTACTATGTGAGTGGGAAGTGGTAAGATCAAGAATCGGAGAATGACAATGAACGCACCTCGATCCATACAACGAATCAGTATCACTCCAGTTCTCAAACGCCTCTTCACCGTCCAGAAATAAAATCTGAATCCCCATGTCCATATCCACCGTACCACCCTCCTGTAACGCAGACATCTCATCGTACATGCGCTGGATGTACGGATCAATCACTTTGGCTATGTGCATCAACATGGCGCATGGCGCCGCACTATCTGTCGCACCGATAAAGCCGCTAGGTTGCAGTTTACTATCGTAGTGCGCAACCAACGTGAGGAGGTTGGCTTGTCCTTTGCTGACCCATGGTGGTTCGCGTTTTACGACTAGATTTGCAAAAGGCAGCTCTGTACCCCGCGATGTCGGAGTTGTGGATGTGCTGTTTTGCCAGGATATATTCCAGGCTGGTAATTCGGTTTGGAAGTACGAGACTAAATGTTGCTGGGCGAGGATTTGGCCTGGGGTGCCGGGAACGCGGGGGATGAGGAGAGGAGCGAGAAGAGGACCGTCCTTGTAGTCAATCGCAGCGTCTGGGGAGGGGATTGCGCGGAGGAAGGCATCTGATAGGGGTTTGTAGGCGGTTGATGGGTTGGAGAGGAGGAGAAGCGTTGGGAGAAGGGCGGATGGGAGGGTAAAGAGCATTGCGATGATTGGTTGCGAAGATGCGCGATTGGCAGAGGAGTTGTACCTGCGTGCTGATCGCTGTACTGAACCACGGGCGATTACTCGATGGGAAGGGAGAATGAACGTCTTTTCGCACACAGGAGAAGTAGAGTTCATGCCCAGCAAGACTAAGTAGCTGTATACGAAGCTTGGGAGAAGAGGTGAATAGAATGGCCTCTCTCTCTCTCTAACAACTCAGCTTCTCAACTCAAAGTGTGTTTCATCGCAACTGAGTTTGAAACCTCGTGCGAGTTTGGCCTGCTCCATCAGGCAAATACCAAAAGCCATTTCTGCCGTGCTTACCGACCTCGAAATGGTCTTGCGTTTCGTGCTTCAGTTCGGTCCCTGACGCGGCAGAACAGCATCCCTGTTGTTCACGTGAGGTGCATGTTCATCTTATCAGATTGATCTTTCTGCGGGCTGCTGTGTGATGACGGAGGATCTAGCCTGTCTCGGCGTCTATGATGCATGTTAGACATCCAGCCGAGGTGCTATCCAGATGAAGTATATATTTGTATGCGCGCATATTTCAAGTTGATTTCAGTAAGATTTATACGTAGCACTACCTACATGGCCTTTGCACATCCTCGAAAATGCAATGCAGTGAATACAGGTCTATCTACAATTTCGCCTTGCCTTGACCCTCGCACTTGACAAGCGCGCGTCCATTAGTGAGAACAGTCTTACCTCCCTCAACCTTTACGATGAACCTAATCTCCTCGAACCCCTCAGCATTTATATCACCAGTCCTCCACATATCCGTAATCAGCTTGTCTCCTGGCTTGACAGGTGCCGCAAATCTCGCCTGGAACTCCTTCAAGTTTTCAGGTCTCGAGCCACCAAATGCTTTCAAGATGGCATGTGCAGACATGTTCCAGGAAAACAGACCGTGGATAATGGGGCCACCGAAACCCATCTTCTTGCCTGGCTCAGGGTCGGCGTGGAGAGGGTTGTAGTCGCCATTCAGACGGTACAGGTGTGCTGTCTCCATTGTGGTTTGATGGACATGGGTGTGGTCGGGGTTACGCGTGGGTGGAGGGTAGTTGGGCTGTTTGGGTCCTGCGGATGGGTTAGTTCAAAGTTGTCCGTATTGTTTAGATCACTAGCGCTGTGAAGGCTTCACGAGAAAGACATACCCTTCGGTCCACCCCAACCGCCCTGGCCAACGTAGAAGCCACTGCCTACAGCTCTGGTGTAGGTCTCTCCACTCTCAGCATCAACAAGGCGTTGTTCCGTCTCCACGACGGTAGCCTTGCCCTTGTCATAAACACCGAGTACCTTGCTCCTCATCTCAAACTTGCGTCCATCGCTTGTTACAGGAAGTGGTTTGAGGACTTGGATCTTGCGCTCGCCATCGAGGATGTGCTTGGTGTCGAACTTGGGAACACCTTCAATAGGCTCTGCATTGCTGCGCGCGTAAAAGTCAATGACCTCCTGGTCCGTGTGCTTGAAAGGGAGGATGATAGGATAAGTCGGAAAGGCGGCAAACGAGGGATGGAGCTCCTGCAGGACATGTTAGATGCATTCCAAAGCTTGTGGCTTGCGTGTATAGAGGCTGGAGACGGGTCTTAATTCCACTACATATACTTACGTAGAGGAAGTGTAGCTCATCTGGGTAGGTAGCGCCAATGCTGTTCGCAAAAAGCAGCAGGTCGCGCTTGAGCCATTTCACCTCATACGAGGGAAACTCAAAGCCGACACCAGGACCCAATTCTTTGCCCATGATGAAAGTGAATATGATGATATACGCTGATTGAAATGCGCGACTACAAGGACGACAAGTTGGTTTGAGGAAGAAGTGGGTGCTCAGTTGGAGTCGTAAGCTTCCAGGTTCGCAGCGGGGCGGCAATCGCGACGCGGAGCTGGAGTTTGAGCCGAGGTTCGATTCGTCCAAAATTGGTCAAGTTGAGTAATTCCACAACAGGGTTAGTATTAAACAATGCGACTCAAGATTAATTAGCTGGCTCTTGGATGCCAATGCCAATGCCAATGCCGATGTCGGTTTGGATAAGTCTTTTGCCTTGCTGTGGGACCATGTTACAAGTTTGAACATCATATTAGTCTATCTACAGTGTCGATGCTTCGATCAGAAGCCAATATTAAGGCGGCAAAACTCTTGTCATGCCTCCATGCAGATCGTGACAATATACCTGTATAATCCTTCCCATCCCTGTCATCCATCGTAATATCGTGATACCACGTCCTCACACTACCCTACGGTCAACAAAGTGGGACCACAATCCCATACGCCGAGTGTGAAATGATGCAACCTTTCGAGTCTAAGCTGAATCATGGAGATGACTCCCGCAAATGCTCAGAATGCAAGCGAAGGAAGAAATGAAGTTGTGGGGGTATAATGTGGCAGATTGGTCGTCTACTGCTTGACCTCGTAGGAGCGGCGGAACATGCTGTCGATGCCGGTAAGGTAGTAGGTGCCGGGAACAATGGTGTCAACGCTTCCCTTGGGAGTGAAGTCCTTCTGGAGGTGAGCCTGCTCACGGAGGTTGCACATCTGGAAGAAAGTGTTAGTAGAATGCTTCACGATGAACCAGGACTCAAGAGACTTACCTCATCGTAGACCTCAGGGGCGACTACACGCCTCTTCTCGAGGCGGTTCTGGATGTCAAGCTGCTTGGCAATGTTCTCGGTGCTGCCCTTGACGGTGAAGGAGAACAAGGAGGAGGCCAGACCACTTCCGTAGCTGAACATGCCGATGCGCTTGCCCTCGAGGTCCTGGCTGCTGATGTTGGCGAGCAAGCTGCACAAGCTACCGTAGACACTACCACAGTACATGTTACCGCACTGGGTGGGGACTTGGATGCTGGGCTGGACGCGAGACGCGTAGCGCTTCTTAGCGAGACCCATGAAGACCTTCTCTACAGTCTTGTCAGAGACAGAGGTGGCGTAGTCGAGGTCGCGGAGCTCAGCGGGAACCTCGGCGAAGATGGGGTTGGAAGGGTTGGCAAGGAAGTCGTTGTAGAGCAGACGCGCGTACGACTTGGCTACAAGCTTGCAGGTGGGGGCGTGGAAAGCCATGTAGTCGAAGCGGTCGAGAGCCGTCTCGAGCTCCTGGCTGCCGTTGACACCGTTTCCGTTTTGTTGCGACTTGAGAGTCTTCTCGCGCTCGTTGTAGGCCTTGTAGCAGGCGTCGACAGCCTCGGTGTAGCAGCGAACGGAGAAGTGGCCGTCGACGACGGGGTACTCGCTGGTGAAGTCGGGCTTGTAGAAGTCGTATGCGTGCCTGATGTAAGAGCCACGCTGGCCAGCATCCATGACAATGGGCGCGTTGGGACCAATGAGCATGGCAACACATCCAGCGCCACCAGTCGGGCGGGCGTTGCCCTTCTTGTACAGCGCAATGTCTCCAGCAACGACAACGGCATCACGGCCGTCCCAGGCCGATGACTCCATCCAGTTTACGGAGTTGAAGAGAGCGTTGGTTCCACCGTAGCATGCATTGACGGTGTCAACACCCTCAATGTTGTAGTTGCCAGATTCCTCGAAAAGCTGCATGAGCACAGACTTGACGGACTTGGACTTGTCGAGCAGAGTCTCGGTACCGACTTCGAGACGGCCAATGCTCTTGGGGTCGACGTTGTACTTCTTGAACAGCGAGGTGACGGTGGTCAGGGCGAGGGAGTAGATGTCTGCGTAGAGAAGGTGTCAGTCTCACCTCTAGGTATCATGTAGCCGTGCAGCCAGAAAATGTTGAACCTACCCTCACGGTCGTCGCAGAAGGACATCTTGGTCTGGCCGAGACCAATGGTGTATTTGCCTTGAGAGACGCCATCGAACTTCTCGAGTTCAGCCTGGTCAACGCACTGTGGACGGCTTGTTAGCATGCGTTGTTGCAAAGCAGCGCGTGAGCATTGGGACGGCAAGTACCGCGCTCGCCGCATGGACGACATACCTGGCTGGGGAAGTAAAGCTCAATGGCTTTGATACCGATGTTGGAAGGACGAGCAGCCATGTTTGCAAGAGTACAGAATGTTGTGAGGGGAGCAGAAGGGGAGTGTGTTGGCCAGGGAGGGGAGTTCACCGCCTTAAGTAGTTTGACGAGTAAATCCTACGCGACAATGGCAAGGTGCAGTTTAGTAGCGGCTATCAGTTCAGTTTCGTGGCAATGCTAGTACGGGCGTGGGTACAAGTATCGAAAGGGGAGAAATTAACGGGTTTTGTGCACAAGTTAGCCCTCAACAATGCCAACAGCGGCCCACGCGCTTGATTGTTGTGTCTGCTAGTCCCTGAGATTTTCGGTACATTCTTTTCGGTGCATTCAGGGTCTGGCTGCGAAGACCGGCGTGGGTATTGATAGCGGGGCAATCATACCACGAAAAAGAAAAGTGTGCATGCCGCCTTGCTCTCTCTGACACGACGCGCATGCTCCTTCGCCCTTATCCCGACTTCACACAACCATGCTGCTAACATGGCGAGTTGGCCCTTTTCATCCGAGCGGGAGAAGTACTCGCTCGACCACCTATCGCCGCCGCGCTTGGCATGCAGGGATTTACTAGCTAGTCAGGCACTCAGGAACCATCAGCCCATCACAACAAGTCACCCCTAGCAATCTCATACCCTCCGAGAGAAGAGTACTTGCCGTGTGCTCATAGCATGGCCTCCACAGTATGCGTAATGCCGCGTCACGATGGCTGCGAAACTTCCAACTCGGTGCAGCTGCAAGGTACCTGGCACCGGCAGAACAGGACAGAATACTGTTGCCTGTAGACCCGAGTTACGAGTTGTGTTTATGGAACCAGATATACCCAGGAGTAGTCGGACGAGACTGCTGAATTCGACACCTTTGTGCCAGAACTACGAGCAACATAAAGATATCCGAGATTCACACAACGGATGGGGATAGCATAAGAAGCGAGAGCCATAGCGTCAACTACCTATAGTCTCTCGGAGTAGATGGAAATTATCCGCTCTATAGAGTGGGAAACGTGCCACCACTTGACTTGCAACCAGAAAAATTGACTGGGACATCCTGGGCAGATGACGCTGCAGATGACATGTTCAACACGTGCCTCGCATGCTCAGTAGGCGAGTATATAAAAGCACCGCATGTCTTGTCTTGTCTGGCCAAACGACTTGGTCTTGAATACAGGATGCACCCAGGGTCCTACTTGAACAGCGGAGAATACAGTGGTCGATAGTTTTGTCGAACGTGTTCTGTCTAGCAGTAGTGGAAGTAGCCGTCCCAATATTAGAGATGATTAAGGTCGGGCAGTCCCAAAGTAGCCGTATATTAACGCGAGAGTGGCAAAAATGTGCTCGCAGTCATTTAGGCAACATTGACGGACATGCAGTGCGAAGAGACGATGCACGGAAAGGAATTCCAGGTGGAAGGTTGATGAGTTGGTCCAGGTGCTTATCGAGGCTTCCAAGGTTCCAAGGCTGGTGTTCGCCCGTGCGCCTTTTAGTGGCGCCAGCGTCTCAGGACAACCTCTGCCAAACGTGATGCACCTTCTCTCCACTACCAACTACACGACACGACACACGCCAATCCGCACCACACTCGCTACACGCGCGCCATCCATCGCTGCCGAGCGCGCACCGCATCGAGCCAAAATACGACGAGACGACTGCATCGCTTGCTGGGAGGACTGAAAGGGGAGAGGAACGGGCCTTTGTGGCTCTCAGGGACAGTTCGGCGTCATGGACCGACGCAACAGCAACGACGACGAGCCATCGCGGCGGCTGAGCAACCCCGATATCTTTGGCGACGACTACGAAATCGACCCGGACGAGGACGATTTCATGCCCTCAGTCTCGGATGGCTTCCGACCGGCCAACACGAGCGAGGCATGGCAGGGCGGCCGCCAGAACCACGACCGGATAGGCGACGCGCCACAACGACAAGCATCGACATCCAAGCATCCCGAGAGCGACTTGCGCAGGACGGCAACGCGAAACAGCACCGCCAAGGTGCGGGACTCTATGACACAAGATGGCCGACCACCCCTCAACCGTGGGCCCAGCCACCACTCGCCCCTTGCACATCGCGACTCAGTGAGCTCTGCCGGGTCCTTTGCAACGACCAGCAATTCTGAGAATCCCTTTGAGACGGGCCCCAGCCATCCATATGGCATGTATCCTCAGCTGTCAATGGCACGGCCACTTAGCGTAGCAACAAGCTCCACCGAGCGCCAGCCGCATCGATCAATGTCACTGCAACGGCCGACACACCCATACGCCATGTACTCGCAAAGCGGTATTGTCGACCAGGAGTCGCCAGACGAGCCAGCCCAGGCGCCTGTGCCTCAGGTCCAGTCGGCTATTCCCGTGGGATTTCCGGGCCTGAACAACGGCTATCACAGAGTCCTCGGACCTGATGGCGAGGAGCAGGACATCATCGGGCCCGACGGACACACAGAGCAGCTTCCACCCTACTCAAGGTATCCAGAAGAAGGTCCAACCAAGGCGTCTTTGGCAGCCGAGGCAAGCGCTTCGTCACGTGTTATTCCTGCTCCTGTGCAGGTCGACGCAGAGGATCCATTCAACACCCCCGCATCACCCGTCTCGCCGCTGAGCACTACTTCATTCTCGCCACCTCCTCTACCTGCCGCCCCCCTGCTACCTTCTGTCACACCTGCCCGCCTACCACCTCAGAGACCCGAAACCCAGACTGGTAATCTGGCTCCTGCCAACTCCAACTCCACCTCAGCGCAAAGCGGCACTGTTCCGGCCGACGCTTCTGACTCGTCTTCTGCATCTTTGTTGGCGACGGAGAACCACTTCTCAGAGAAGGCGGAGCCAGTCGAGGGCAAGGTCAGTTGGCGGAAAAGGAAGCTATGGGGAAAGGTGCCTATGGGCGTGGCCCTTGTGGTTCTCATTCTTATATTGGTCTTTGCCGTCGCTCTCGGCGCAGCTATTGGCACCTTTGCTGCCAAGAAACATGACGACAATGACGATCAAGATGAGAGCAAAAGCCCTCATGAGGAAGCGTAAGTGTTTATGATTCTTCGACATTCTACGTAACTAACATTTGCTAGCCAACCCCAAGTTACAGGTCAAAACGGGTCACTCTTCGACGCAGTTCCCATCTCGACTCCGGCTGGACTGTTACCACTACCGACTGGCGCTTTCGCACTTCCTCTAGGTATACCACAAGAGAGCAACCCTGGATGCCTAACACAAGCGAACCAATACTCCGCATGGTCATGCAAGATGACTTTCGCTCCCCTTGTCATAACGATCAACGACACTGTTATTGCTGGTGAAACTCAGCAAGTCGCGTCTATGGGTATTGGTCCCTCTGTGCCCCAAGGTTCCATACTTTACGGTCTTCAGACTCCTTTACTTGATGCCAAACCGATGGAACTAGTGCTTGACCTAGACTACAAAGCTTATGGTCCAGCCTACCATTTTTCTGCCCGATACGACAAAATCGTTATCCTGCCACCCGATGAGCTCAATTTTGGGTCAGGGCTCACAAAGCGACAGGACAACAAATACCGGCAGCGTTTCGAGGTCAAACCTGGCGACTATCCTTGGTACTGCTACTGGAATAATACCTATATCGAGGGTTATATCTATTCTGATGACAACTCCACAGCTGCTTCTTTCACGTCGTTTCCCACTCAATGGCCTACGCCCACACCTGAACCAACTGACGATGGTGATGTAAACATCGCCGTGGCATCGTCAGTCGGTAGTTCTGCAAGCCCCACGCAGACTACCGAGGTGTCTGCAACGCCTTCGCCTGTCAATCTGGCAGTGCCAGCCCCAGTTGCGGCACGAGATTCCGCTTCAGATGCCTCTTCCCCGCCTCGTATGCCACCTTATCCCCGGATCGTCAAGATTGAAGAACGCCGCCTCCCCGATTCGCCGCAACCGTACTGCCAACAAATGCTCCTGCTCGACAATTACGAGATAACACCAGCACCCAGCCCGAACGACAGTCCCATCAGAATATGGCTGCAAGAGTCAGATCCTAGCTATGAAGAGTATTTCGCTGCTCAGCCCTCTCAAACAATCACGTTCGACAGAAAGGGTAAGCGTGAAAGCTCTCCCGATATACAGCGCCGTATGGATCCTTCGGATGCCTGTCACTGTCAGTGGATGTTTAAGTGAACGACTGGCATAATTCACGGCGCCTCTTCTTTTTCGCAATGATGCTAGAGCACGATTTTTGGATACTTATTTCATCACGGGCATTGGGTATATTACATGTGTTTGGTGTTCCTCGGCGTTTTGTTAATACGGACTTACGAGTCTCGACGCATATCTGGCATATTTCGGTGTTTCCGTCTCATTTCCTTCCAGTCAACACGTTTGTATGCTATGTTCATAGCTTCCCACATTTTCTGTATCATCTCTGGGGACGGGAAGCAGGCCTCGCAGGGCTATATCTGGCGCTTATCGTTGTTATGCTAACTTGTATATATTGAGATGGTGGGAGTTCAGAACCGCGAGTACAAATGTCGCGTGAGTTCATATTGAAAACAGATAGATAGAAGAACAAGATTATTTACATTATGAGGGTTGTCGTTTTTGGCTGTATGATGCTGATGTTGCACCACTAATGCCGTTCTTTAGAAACACCCTAATTGCTACACAACAAGCTGACTGTGCATACGACAGGACAACCATGCCAATTGTGAAAAAGTGTTTTGATCACTCGTCCTGCGTCCGATCGAAAACTCTGACCCCAAACTTCCACACCTCATCCACAACCAATTTCTTTTCCCCGCCCTCATCTTCCTGCAAATCTAATACCACCAAGTCTGCATCCGTACCCTCCTCCAACGTGCCCTTGATACCCTGTAGTCCCAGCATCTTCGCCGGTGTCTCAGTGACCGCCTTGAGGGCCTCGGGCACACTAGCCCCTGTCCAACTCAAGAAGTTGCTAACACAGTCCACAAGTTGAATGCTACTTCCCGCAATTTTACCATTCTCCTCGAGTGTTAGCAACGGGCCCTGCTTGACGATTCGCGACCCGTTTGTCCAATCATATGTCCCATCGGGCATACCTGCCAACCCCATGGCATCGGTAACGAGAATCAGACCATCTGGATGAGCATTCCATGCTATCTTTATAGAAGTCGGGTGAAGATGAATGCCGTCCGCGATGATACCAAAATATGGTTTCTGGATAGACGACGACGGTGTGCCGAGGAGGCCGAAGATGCCAGGATTGCGGTGGTGAAGAGGACGCATAGCGTTGAAGAGGTGAGTTATCATTCGTGCACCAGATTTTATGCTTGATTTTGCTTCTTCGTAGGTTGCTTCCGAGTGCCCTATTGAAACGTGTATACCGAGGGAGTTGAGATGGGGAATGGATGAGAGGGCACCGGGAAGCTCGGGTGCAAGGGTGATAAGCTTGATGGGCGAGGGCTCTTGCAGGTTGTCGCTGCCGTAACAGGCTTCCAAGTCGGAGGCGTTGTTTGTTGGTTCGCGTAGGACGAGTGCATTGTGGATGCCGTTCTTAGTAGGGCTCAGAAACGGTCCTTCGCAATGGGCACCGAGAGATTCTGATCCGTATGATGCATCGCGAGCGGCGCCTGAGGGCCCTAGGAATGGCAGGGTCTTTTGGTAAACTTCTGGTAGTTGTGAAGTCAAGGTTGGCAGATATGATGTGACACCCGTTGCCACTAAGCTTCGATTGACTCGATGCACTCCTTTGGCGTAGGCCAATGTGCCTTCATCTGGGAGCACGGAGAAGTCGAAACCGTATGCGCCATTGAGTTGGGTATCAATGAAACCTGGTGAGAGGATGCGTCCACTCAAGTCGACAATTTGTTCCGGTGCAGTACGATACTCGTAGAGAATCTCTTGTCCGTTTAGAACTTTGCCGCTCTTAGAGCTTATCCATAAGTCTTGATTGACCAAAGCATTGCCTTTTACCAACAAGCAGTTGGTGAATTTGATGACGCCCGAGAAACTCTCAGGATGCACTGGTGCAACCGATGGCATTTTCGGTCGCGAGAGCGTAGTTCCTGCTAGGTAATAGACGCCTGTTGGATGGGAGAAAAGTGTATTTTGGTTTCAAGAATTGACTGGAAGTTGAAGGAGTGGTAGGTTGTGCCTGGGCGAGCAAACTCGATGCTCGTTACAAAGAGACCCGCAGCCCGTTTACTACTTTTATCGCGATTGCATCCCTACGCCTATCTTCATGCGATGATTCTGTTGAGTCATCGATGGCGGGCAAACTTGCCTTGCACGACCTGTATCATCGCCATAAGGCACGTTGTCCCATTGCTTAGGTTGAGTGGAGTGTGGGATCGAAGTAACACGGTGATCATCACATTTGGCCGAACAATCCGGGTGTATCACAGTTGCATGTGAGGTGGCATCGAAGTGGATGTCATTGATAGTCGAGGAAGTGGATGGTGTAACGATGGACGGGCTTGCGATAGCTAGCGGCTCGCTAACCACGTACCCCAGCTTGGAATGGCGTGAATGCTACCGTGCCATCCTCCCCATCTTTCATCCACTACCAATCTGCGAGTCACGTTCAAGCCTTGGTGCCCACCCGGAATTCCACGTCGCATTCAGGGCTTCATTGCGACGCGACGGCGCTGTCATCATGAGCAAGGTCGAGAACATGGATCCTGTCTGGGACGACCTCGATAGGTGAGCATGATGCCCACTCTCATCCTGAGAATGCGCAATGTGACCAAGAGCCAGGCTAACTTGCCCGTGATGTAGGACTATGGTGGGTCGTATCCGCCCACGCTGCGCGGGATTCGCTGACGGAGGCTTTGTAGGGCCAACTGTTCATGATGGGCTTCGATGGCACCTCGGTCACTCCCCACATTCGTACACTGATTGAGGAACATCATGTTGGCTGCATACTACTTACTGCCAAGAATTTGAAATGTCAGCAGCTTACGCTTTTTGTGGCTATTCGCCGTCGTGGGTTCTCTTACTAACTTGCCACAGCGGCCGAAGATACTACCCAGCTTATCTATGAGCTACAGAAGATTGCTCACGATGCGGGCCACCCTGTTCCTCTGGCCATTGGGATCGATCAGGAAAATGGCGGCGTTAACAGTCTTTTCGATGACATCTACATCCGCCAATATCCCAGTAACATGGGAATGGCAGCAACAGGCTCGACCGAGTTGGCTTTCGAAGTAGCCAAGGCGACTGCACAGGAGATTGCTGCGTGTGGCATTAACTGGATCTTCGGTCCGTGTCTGGATGTACTCACCAATGCACGCAACCAGCCTTTAGGGGTAAGGACGGCTGGTGACGATCCCCAGGAAGTCTCTGCCTTTGGCTGCGCCTTCATGGCAGGCTACAAGGACGCCGGGGTGGTGACTTTGGGTAAACACTTTCCTTCTTACGGTAATCTGGAGTTTCTAGGCTCAACACTTGACGTTCCGATCATCACAGAATCCTTAGAGCAACTTAGCCTAAGCGCTCTGATACCGTTCAAGAAGGCCATTGAGAGGGGCCTTGATTCCATGATGGTTGGTGGCTGCGCCATGTCATCAGCTGGACTGAATGCGATGCATGCTTGTTTGTCTGAGCAAGTTGTCGACGAACTTCTTCGAACAGACCTGAAGTTTGATGGTGTCGTGGTCTCGGAGTGTTTGGAGATGGATGCTCTCAGTCACAACATTGGTGTAGGCGGCGGCACAGTGATGGCGGTCAATGCGGGCTGCGATGTGGTACTTTTATGTCGATCCTTCTCGCTTCAACAAGAAGGGCTGAAAGGCCTCAAGACTGGCATCGAGACGGAGATGGTCTCGAAAGAGCGCATTTTCAATTCACTCAGACGCGTGCTAGCCATGAAGAAGAAGTGCACATCATGGGAAAAAGCCTTGAACCCGCCGGGCATCAACTACCTGGAAAAGCTACAGCCTTCGCATACTGCACTATCGACCAAAGCGTACAACAGCTCCATCACAGTCGTCCGAGATAAGAATAGACTGTTGCCGCTAACGAACATACTTGAGAGCGAAGAAGAGCTTCTTCTGCTGACACCGCTTGTGAAGCCCTTGGCTGCATCAGCGGCGTCACGAGCAATATCTGATGCTGCTAACGGCGCGGCAGGCCACTCGCCAGAGCCTGCTGTATGGGATCGGAGCTCGTCAGTAATGAGTGGGGAACGAGTCTTTAGAGAACTGGGCCGTTCTCTCGCCAGGCAACGCAATGGGAGACTACTTCACACATCTTACACTGCAAACGGTGTTCGCCCAGTCCATGAAAATCTCATCAATCGGGCAAGTGCAATCATCGTACTTACGGCTGACGCCAACCGGAATCTGTACCAGCATGGGTTTACCAAGCATGTCTCAATGATTTGCAACATGCAGTATACGACTGGTGGCGAGAGGCGCGAAAAACCTTTGATCGTCGTAGCAGTTTCAAGCCCATACGATTTTGCGATCGATACATCGATTGGGACATACATATGCAAGTAACATCCATTTATGAATTGCATGTAAGAAAAACACTGACTTGTTACACCACATTTGAAGGCACCTACGATTTCACAGAGACAGCACTCAACTCCCTCGTCAGGGTACTGTATGGTGAATTGACTCCTTCTGGAACACTACCGGGCACTATCAGCAAGAGCCAAAAGCTCCATCCAAGCAAGCAACATTGGCTAGTTGAGAGTAAGTCGTGGCTGTACGAAATGCATGTGAGATATATACTGACTTGATACCTTCACATGTGCAGTCTTCAACGAAGAGCGAGACGGAAACGCTCTGGACACATTAGTCGCAGCTGTTGTCGAAAGCACAGCTCCTAGCCAACGGTCAGAGATGGCAAGCGCGACGTCAAATTCATTCATCCTGCACCACCCGGAAGTAGAAGAATCACACTTCGTCGTCAGAAACAGCAGCACACAAGCACTCTATGGATTCTGCTCGACCTACTTCTTCAAGGCCACAGGCACCGGTGTCATCGGGGCCCTGTTTGTAGATCCAGCAAGGAGAAAGCTCTCGATTGGTCATTCGCTGCACAACCGAGCTATTCGTACACTTTTGCAGAAGGAGGGTATCAAGAGATTCCAGCTTGGCTCACGCCTCCCAAGTATGTATCTTGGAATCCCAACCGGACATGGAAATGAGCGCAAACGACTTCGATCGTGGTTTGCTCAACTTGGCTGGGGTGCAGCACTTTCTCGTCCCGTCTGTAACATGGTTGCACGCAATTTGCAGACATGGACTCCGCCCACTGGCATGGCCAAGAGTCTAGCAAGTGCAGGAGCACAATTTGACCTTGTGTACGGATGGGATTATGCAGGACCTATTCTTGACCATATCAAGACGAGCAATCGCCAAGGCTTAGCGGAGGTGTACAAGCTTGCCCTCACAGACCCGACGGCTTGTGGTATTATTCGGGCAAAGCGACCAGAAGACGGCGCGTTGGTAGGTACTGTTGTGCTTTACAACAGCCACTCGCGACTTGCCGAGTACATACCTCCGCTGAAGCACCTCAACGAGGCGGCTGGAGGTATCTCCTCACCCGTCATATCACCTGGAGTAGGAGAGTACTCGACACTACTGCAGGGGCTGATCCTTCTTGGCATGCGGCAGATCAAGCAGCTGGGGTGCAACGCATGCTTGCTCGACTATGTGAGTAGCCGTCGGTCGCTCGGCCACGACAGCATACTGACACAGACAGATGGACGGAGACGGCAACTTCGACGGCTTTTCGGCAATGGGATTCGATGTCATGCATAACTTTGAGGAAGTTAGCTGCGATGCTGCGACATGGACTATGATCCCGCCCGCGTGATTGGGCTGGCTCTTCCCGTCAGAGGCCGAGGGCGCTGGCTACTTTGTTCAAAGCTTCTTGGGTCGGCGTTTGGGAATATTCTAGGCTCGTGTTTTGGTTTGCTTTTTTTTGGTATCCGGTACGGGCAGGCGTGCCATTGGTTACGACTACAGCATGTACCATAATGTGATGTCATTGCATGTAGAAAGCCGTGCGGTCGTGGACTGATGTACTCGGATCGGATGGTTCCCTCCAAGGGTCTGTCGGGCTCTCCGTGCGGCTGAATAGTTTAAGCTGACAGACGAGATAGATGGCGACGTCGGATTAGGGGTGGTTGCAGAGGTGGTTGTTATTTTTAAAGCTGAGCGGGTGCATAGCTAGAGTAGGAGGCTGAAGCGCCACTGGTGCGATGGCGTAGGGTGATCACCGTTCGGCTTGTCCCTTGGAGAAGGGCTACCGAAGAAGCCGCGTGCCAGGGCGCAGTGCGTCGTGGAGGGTTGGGGAGGTATACAACATGTGTCGGAGCATCTTGTGCATCGCATGTCTCGAGACAGGTCAAGCGTATCCTTCCCGTCGAGATAGCCGTTGGTAAATTCCCCTGCCGAGCCCCACAGCAGGCGGGACCCTTTGCGCAGTGCAGCCATCCGACCTTGGCCAGAAGCGCATGTGATGGGTCGTCGCACAACCTCAGCAAGACAACTACCAAGTCTTCTTGTTGGTGCGCTCTGTGTGAGCCCCAGCTGCGAGCCTCTCTGTGCCTTGTCGCCCCGGGTGTCGCTCTCCAGCGCACAGTGCAGCAGCGTGCAGCCTGTCTAGTCCCCGTCTTCTCCGCTTGCTCGCCTGCCGCATCTCTCCACCTCCAACCCCAGAGAGAGAGAGAGAGAGAGACATCGCCAGCCCCAAGCGTTCGCTGAAGCACAACCACGACCGCCCACCATCGTGTCCGCCGGTCGCGCCTTGCTCGTCGCCGCGTTCCAGCTATTGTTGCGCGCATGCGCCAAATCGACGCCGGCCTCTTCCTCGACCCCAGCCAGGCTGTGCCGAGCCATGGAGCACTTCAACACAAACACCATGTCATACATACCCCTCCAGACCGTCACGGGCCCCGATCAGCACATGTCCATGCCCGTGCCGCTCCAGTATGACCAGCGCTCCAACTTCGACGCCGAGACGTTCATCGGGTAGGTCAAGTGCGCCGCACGCGCCCGACAGCAGCTAATTCGTCTGCGCAGAAGTGAGGACGCCTACTCGACATACCACCTCCAGCAGCTCCCGCCCCAACTCAAGCGCTACCCGAGCACCTACGAGGACCCTTTCTCCGACGTCCAGAGCGGCTACGAGCAGTCGATACACCCACACGACCACAATGGCATGCCCGAGAGTCCCAGCATCGAGAGCAACAACAAGCTCCTCAGCTTCTCTCTGCCCGTCGTACCATACACCATCCTCACCTACACCATGCAGAGAGTCTCCATATCCATGTCTGCCCAGCTCCATGGCATGTTCTTTCTGGCCGAGTCTCCCTGGGCAACGGCAGCCGACGTCCAGGCGCCTTCCGAGTTGACTTGCTACAGGAGGAACCTCTTCCAGATCACTGGCACCATCACCCTTCCTCGCAGCCTGCAGTTTCTCATGACCGACCAAGGCGAACAAATACCCATTCTTGGCCAAGAACTCACCATCTCCGCCACCGAGTCGCTCGAGGGCAATGCGGTAAAGATAATATCAGTCCCGTGGAAAACCCCTGCGACGGGCAGCGCCTCCGTCGAAGACAAGACCGAAAAGGAGCCACCAACATACCCACTTGATCTCTCAACTGGCCAAGATATCGACTCCGAGTACGTTAGCTTTCCTATCAGCTGGAAACGACTACAGTTCCGGATAGCGACTGCAAACAACGGCCGAAGAAAGGAGCTTCAACAGCATTTTGTGGTGCGTTTGAAGGTGATAGCAACCCTCGCTAGTGGTGTCAAAGTGCCCATTTGCGAAGTTCACTCTGGTGCAATCATCGTTCGAGGAAGGAGTCCTCGCAACTTCCAGGCCCGCAAGGATTTGCCCATCGGCGGAGGCACGACTGCACGCAAAGTACAAACCCCTCAGCAGCCCAGCAGAACGCCAACGGGCGATGCAACCCAGACCACGCCGAAACAAACACCGAATCAACCTGCAGCTTCCTCAAAGCCCATGGACCTACTACAGATGCCGTTCGAGTTCAACGCGAGTGAGATGCCACCGTCTCCAGACTTCGCTTGGAAGATGCCAGCAGGTGCCATGACTGCCGTACCCCCAGATCCGCCTTCGTCTCAGTTACAACATGCTACCCCGTATGCACATTCAACACCCGAGATCTCAAGAAGCGTGCCCCCACAACGGACGTCGATCGCCCCAGTCACTCTATCTCTTACCGATGACGAGCCACAAAAAGCACCTTCGCCTAGTGAACAGCAAAGAAAACGCGCAACACCAATGCGACCACCCTCCTTCTCGATAGGCATCATCAACAGTCCTGATGAAGGTGCCGACATGCTTTACGAGTATTTCCCGCTTGGTCTGGACGACTGGATGCCGCCTGTTGATGCTGTCTATCGACCACACGTTGTCCATCATATCACTCCTTTCCCGCAAGAGTCAAAGGCAGATGCTGGCAGGAGTCGGTCGAAACGGTACTTCTCAGATGCTTGGTAAGGGGAGCCAAGCCGATTTGCGTTTTGTTATGATACCCTTTGTGTTGAGTCATATGACTCCCCTTGTAATACTGTTATGACGAAAAAAGAATACTGGCTGTGGGTTGGAGTTTACTTTGGCCCAGCCGCAATTCATCTTCAAGCTGATCCTACACTCCGATAAAAGAGCTAGGCTGAAGTACAGAAGAGTCTTGGGCTTGGGTTTCTCAGTTCTGAGTAGGCTCTCAAGTTCGAGGAGGCAGCACGAGTCTGGCGTTTTCCTTTATGACAGCAGGTTCTTCTTCAATCTACTGTGGCAGCCTTTGTCAACTATATACGATTGCTATGCTTCCCCTTCTTGGCAAGATATTATCATGCCACTTTATTCTTACATTGCACTAGCTCGTGTCATATCAATGTCCGCGTATCCATCAATTGTCATTCCATGTTTGATGTAGTAACGTCTCGCACACATCGTATTCAACCTTGTCCCCTTCGGGCTGCTTACATATAACATCCAGGCACAGTCAAAATGCGGCACAGGCACCAGGCTCATGGTCGACAAATTGCTTGATGCGAATGCGGCTGACGCAAACTACACGCAGATGTAACATGACGGAAACATGGCCGACATCTTCCCAAGACCATCGCCGAGGTTAAGACTGCAACCTTCCTTTCGAAGAACCACCGCGATCACATGGCACTTGCAACCCCAAACCCACCCATCTCGCCCAAGGTGGTCACGGAGGTGTCGTCATCATCTTCACCCCGCAGTGTAACTCTACATACAACGTCGCATCTTCCATACGTGTAGATTCGGCGTCGTGGTGTCGCGCTGCATCGTGATATTCGGGCGTGTTTCTGGCCGAAGTTGGAGTCGGAGTTGGAGTGTGGAGTGTGGAGTGTAACAGTAGCATTACATTGCATTGTCAATCACCACCACCACCACCTCCTCCTCCTCCTCCTCCTCCTCCTCCGACCGTCTGCCGCCAAAAAAGGAAAAGCCGAGCAACCGCCGGTTTCCCGAACGTCCCCAAGGGATTTTAAAGAAAAAGAGGACCATTTATCATAATGTAGCATTCGGTCGTGTACGCTACGGCTGTAGTCTCTAGTCGCCTTGCGTGTAAATTGGGTAATGGGTACATCTGCAATGTACCTCGGGATGTGGGTCAAAGGATTGATGGCGCAATTTGTGGTTTGCAGCATATCCATCTGGGACCCACGTGGCAGGCGAGAATCGTATCTCCTATCTATTTTCTCGCTACCGGTAGACGGAGAGTGCCGGTTCGGGCTGGTATGCTCCGTTCCTTGACATGGGACTTGTATTGGAAAGTGGATATTAGGCGTTACGTTTGTCAACTATGGCATGGTGATGTTGAGAGATAGCAGTGGAGCTCAAATTACGTACTGCGTGTCTAGAAGGATGAGCTTGTTCAACCTGTTCTGTCCGAATATGGTGCATGGATCCATTTTGCTTTCCCACCGCTATATTCTCATGTCCGATATCGTTGATATCGCTGTCCATCACGCATCAAGTGCAAGAGAGAGAAAGCGCAAATCAGAATATGTTTCATTAGGTCGTCGAAATGCTCAAGAGCATCGCGATGTGATGTACCAGAATAACGCCGAAAGGGAACAGTGTAATAAAGCTCCCGTATGCTCTCGTAAAGTCTTGCTTGCTGGATTGTGAAAATCTTTCTAAATCGAAGGAAGAAAGGACAAACGTGATTGAAATGTATGTACATCAACGGTGAGTAAAGGGTATAAAGGGAATTTACGAGACGATTCGTATGCGTCATCGCATAATGACTACTGTCCTTCGAGACAGCATACAGCAACAGCTGCGCCATAAATCGCCGACTCTATGGCAACCTCCAAAGTGACAGAGTTTGATTCCGCTCCCGAAGCAGCAATCATCTCATGGAGATGCGACTGGCATAATTCTCTGAAAAAGGGATACTTTTCGATGACGGAGCCGTTGCAACCGATGCTCATCCGACCAGCGGACGCAGGCGTCAAGCCTTCTGATTTCGTTCTAAGTGCCCACAACGCGTGGATACCTGTTGCGAGAAAAGCTGCTGCACGATGGGAAACTAGTTGCGAGACCTGACGGACGAATTGAATGTCGTTGTAGGTGGGTGGCTTGCTCAGAGGGTGCTTGGATTGGAAAAGAGCTGCGGCGCTTGTCAAGTGTTTGGAGTCATCCATCTCCATGGCGGCAATGGTTCTGGTGTCGAGGGTGTAAGGTTCAGCTAATTGATGTGGTATCTCTCCGCTGAACAAGCCTGCTGTCTGTACGGCTTCCACCAAGATCAGTCGAACGATCTCGCCAATATACCGACCACTGATCATGTGCTCGAAAGGCTGAAAGTCAGGTCGCATGTGTGCGTCGTTCAACTGTTCGTCCCACCTGGTTGTGGGAAAGACGTGTTTGCCAAACATGCTGCACTCGGTGTTTACGAGTACATGAGTAGCATCATCAAGCCATTGCTGGGGGTAACCCTTGTACTTGGTTGACGCGAGCGATGATACGGGCAAGTGTACAGATATGTTAAACCCGGTTCCCAAAATAACGGCAAAACGCGTTGAAGGGTCTTCGTAGGCACGTGATAGCAAGGTCGCTGATGAGTCGTTGACGATGGAGTCCATGTGTACTGGTAGGCCCTTGAAGATGTGAGAAGTTGTAGGAGGCTGTGTCAGCGATCAAGACTTACCCTCTTTCTGCACGGTGCCATAATTAGCTCGCTCAAATCTTGACCGAGAACACCTTCTGTAGCACGAAATCCCTTTCCCATATCTAGTAGGTTGGCACTTCGACTGGAGGTTTGCCTGACAACAATCAGTCATTGCAAAGTAGAGTGTATAGGGTCACGAACTCGACAGGAAAAGACCATGCCAGGCCCATGGGAAACTCCTCAGTCCTGGTTGAGGATCTCAGTTGAGGATCTGCAAGCGCCTGCTGTATCTTCTCGGCCATCCACTCAAAAAACTCATTGCCTCTTTTTTGCCTAACCTTCTCGTCAATCTTGTAGTTTTTCATGACGACAATACGCATGTTTTTGGCACCAGGCTGTCTGCCATTCAGTTCCACGAGTGCGATGCGGAATGTAGAGCCACCGACATCGAGAGCGAGATAAGTTCCTTTTTCGAGACCGGAAGGTAACTTGTGATTGTACGATGGCAGCATGCATATGTCGCTCGACTGCATTCTTGGGGCAAACTGATCCTGCAACTTTGCAGACATGTCTAGCATCTTGTCTGGTCCCAATGGTGCCTCCAGTAGGCATTGGATTTCGTGGAGTAGATCGTCCATTGTCCGGTCGTAAGTCCGAAGTCCATCCCTCGCGCGACGTCGCGAGGTTGACGACGGAAGCACGAAGTGCAAGAGCGATGGTAGCATGGCGATTCTTTCCAGAGCTGCAAGAAGTCCCTCCCAGAAATTGAGCATACGCTGTTTGTACCAGCAATGATCGTTATCCTCGTTTGTTGCTTGCTGCAAGTCACGGGGACTGTTTGACTCTGGGACGACGGTGACACGGCCACTCTTGAAGCGTTTCAGTCGGAGAGGTGGCATGGAGGGGGCACGGCGAATATGGTTGACGATGACGACTGATTCTCAAATGTATAACGAACGTTGTTTGTAGGCGTTGTATCAAAATGCAAAACCCAGCAAGAAGGTCAAAGTCTGCGAATGTCGTAGTGAACGGGGGCTAGACACGGGCCGGTAGCATTAGTGAACCGATGTCGCAGGTGGCTCTTAAGCATAGTTGTATGGCTTGTCAGAACATTAAAAAGGTTGTATCCGCTAGCAGACGTAGTCAGGTATTGCTCCGACGACTGGCGTGCGAGACCCGCTGCTGAGGCAGGGCAGACGAGCACGTAAGAGTGAACGCGGGGGCCAAAGGAAGAAGGGAAGCAGGGGAGCAAGTCGTGGAGGCCAGGTGTATTGGCCGCGAACAGCAGTCGACGGCGTGTCGCTGGCGCCAGGCACGCTGGATGGATATTCGGAAATATAGCGTTACTGTCATGGCGAGCGTTGGTGGGGTTTCGTAGGAAGTTTCCTGACGGCCATTGCTACCGTTACGCTCGCTAGGCCGTATTGGGACCGCAAATCTTGCCGTAAGCGTTCGTGATGGGACTTCGGTGGACAATCTGCCGCGGTATGATTCAACCAGATTGTACGCGTTATGCGGTGGTGGCGATCATCGCACAGTCCCTCGCACGTGTTTTGGTGTGAGCAGCAAGCAGGACTGCACGCGGCGTTGAGCTGACGAGGCCCCGGGATGTTGGAGTGAGCGGGAAGCACGTGCCTCCCGCTGTCTCTGGCGCCAAGTCTCAACCAGATCAGATCCAAGCAGGCAAGCTTGCGCGCGCAATGTCCAATCGCATCCAACCTCACTTGTGGATATTCATTGTTTTTTTCTAAGAGACCGTCTTGTCATTAGATATGTACGTAGCGTACTTCCGGGCCTCTTGCATAACGAGGACTCGAGGATCGCGGAATTAGCTGATGGTAGGGAGCTAGGTGCCCTGCTGCACTACCTTGATGTAACCACCACCTCCCTCATGGCTCTGATCGGAATGACGATCCCGAATGCGGACTGGAAGGCTTCCAAGAATCCATTGGAACATCGTATTCGACGGATTGTGGGTCGAGAACGAATGTGTGGCAATGTTCGCTTTTGCTGACCTCGGTCCGGTCTAATCACAGATTGTTGTGAGATTTGTTAGTCTGGAAGGATCGATTGGCGATCAGGAGTGTTATCTCGTATTGCTTTCATGCAGTATGTAGGGCGAAGGGTTTGCTCCTCGGAGCTCTTGGTCTTCTGGAGCAGATACGTGGCGATTCATGCTGGCTGGACGGGTCGTTCGATGCTGACAATATTCTGCATATTGCACTGGTGCTTAGATTATTCCGATATCAGGCTACCAGGCCTATTGATTGTGGTTGGATACTGGCGGCATAAAACAGCTGTTGTGTACCAGACAGTAACTTTACAGTACTACGTTGCATACCCTTGCACGACACATACAGTGATTGTAAGGATATTCTTTCATTAGGAATATAGCTAAGCTGCTGTGCCGTAGCACCGCTGGCTGCGTCAAATTAATCAGCATGCTGTGCCACGGAACATGTGACCCACGGTGTCATGTAGAGACCTGTAAATGACCGCCTAAGTTTAAATGTCAGGAAATCAAGCTCCATAACTCTGACCCGCTAATGCAACTCCACTTGAGGTATCATAAACAAGCAAATACAAGTAAACCAATCCCAGTCATTACTTATGAAGTTTCAATCATGAGTGTCCTTCAATGATTGGACTAGACCTTCTCAGCATCGCTATGCGCTGTGTGGACGATTGCCTTAGGAGCGACTTCCGCGACTGTCTCGTCGGTAAAAGCGACATCCTTCTCAATGGCGACAGTGTCTTCGACTTTCCAGAGAATTACGGGAAGAGCAATAATCAGGCTGCCGGCAAGCAATCCCCAGTTGCTGGCAAACATTGTCATGTAGGCGACCTTAGTGTCGTCCATACGCCATGTAATGGCACCTCCAGCAGACTGAATACCCTTGTAGAAACCAGCAAAGTTGGCGAGCTTACGGCTGTTGTTTGTCAGGGCGCCCATGAACCTAGTTCTGTTAGCGATCTGATCTGAATGTTTCAACTCTTGTTTCAAACTTACCAGTAGACTGAGGTTTGCCAAGCGGCATCGGAGAAGCCATAAAACATGTAGAGAACAAAGGGACCAGCGTAACCTGAGTCAGACCAGTCCTTCTTCTCGTTTGTCTCGTCTTCTGCCCAGGCACGGTCGTAGGTCTTCTGGAACATGTAACCGAAACCCCAGATGATCATGATGGTCGCGAAAAGTACAGCCCATACAGCCTTAGCACGGGTTGTTCGGCGGATGCCCTTGATGTCCAGCGCATACCCAAAGACGTAGGCGCCGACAATCTGCATGATGTAGTAGACAACACCATTGAGCGCGCGGGTGCGGACGTTGAAGTATGCAGCATTGATCTCGGTGAAGTGGTACGCGTAGAACCAGTTAGATGCGAGGAACATGGGGAACAGAAGGATAATGTACGGGTCGGTGAAGAAGGTTTGGTAAAGACCAACGATCTCCGACTTCCAAGAAGGGTGTTTCATGACGATAACTTTTGATCCATCGTCACGAATGACGTCTTTCGCGTCGACCAGAGTCCAAGCGAGAGCGGCACCGAGGATGGTGAGGACAAGGAAGCCGATGTAGGTACCGTCGTTGACTGTACCGGCAGTCTTGGTGTGAATATTCTGACCCAATGGGATCTAGGAGAGTTAGTACTTGATAGGTAGCTATTTCTTAGTATTCTCAAAGGGAGGATAGCGTACCAGACTACCAATGACAGCACCCAAGTTGAATATCATCCAGAACCATGAGATGTAACGGCCCTTGGAGTCTTCTGGTGGGTAACTACGATGCTGTTAGTATACACCGAGAGAGATGTTTAGGGCTGACGTACGACATCATTATGGCTCCCTGCGCACACCAAAGCAGACCAGCGCATACTCCAAGTAGTGCACCAGCGAATGTGGTGAAGCCCAGATTCTGTGTGTGGTTGTAGCATAGGTAAGAGGCAACATAGATGGAGTATCCGACACCGCCAAAAGACAGAGAGGTGCGGATGCCAAGCTTGTTCGTAAAGGTGCCGGCAAAGAAGCCGACAACAGCAAAGGTCGAGTACAACGCCGTGTTGGCCCGGTTGTTCGCGGTTGCGTCAAGTTGGCCACCACCACCCATGCCATTCAGAGCATTGAACATGCCCGGACACATGAAGCAAACGAGAGAAACAATGACCAGTTGGACAGGTGGTGATGCAAACCATGGCAACTTGAAACCGGCGACGGTAAAGCGCTTGTATTTCCACGAAGGTGGGAGATCAAGCGTGTTGGTATCCGTCAACGAGTTCTCTGGAGAGTTGACATCGTGTGGAGGCTGTTTTTCCTCGGTGGTCGCCATGATGATGTCCAGGCGATGATGGGTTGTGGGCGTTTAGCGCGTGAGTCGAAATTGACAGACGGTAAAAGCACGTCGTCGATGGTGTAGAAGATGTGAGCAGGCAGAACACAATAAAGATACTAGATGTTCGCGCTCAGACCAGGCAAGATACGATGATGGCAAGCTATAATTAAACGAGCATTGGATGGGGTGAAGGCGAGGGGCACTTGGTTTTAAGCATCTGGTCAGCTAGGGTCTTCACACGGTCCATTCACGACCAAATCTCCCCCAGCCAACCTGCATCGGGGTAGCGAGGCGGGCAATAGCACGCGACACCCTCTGGCTTCAGGAGATAAACGACTGCAAGCCCACAAGTGACAGCCGTCGGCGAAGGATTCATTGGCGTCGTTGGCACTGCCCAGGCAAACGCCAGCAATCAGCCGTATCCGCACCCCAAGGCCGTACTACGATGCAGTAAGCAGCAGCAGAGCAACGGCTACAGGTGTCCGGGTCGCGGTTGTCAGTGGTTCTCGGGACAGCCTTCGGGGGTCAAAGCGGGGCGTTGGAAGCCTGCTTATCGACGATGCATGGATCTGCATGCGTCTGGGACCACACTGTTGGTTGATGCATCGCCGGCCCCCAGCACAGGGCTGCGAGCTAGAACACGCCGGACTGCAGCCACAAGTGCAACGCTCTCCGCCCGCCACCCCGAGTCAGAAATGTAACATCGTCTTCCTGCGACTCCATCAGCACGTCGGCCTTATCAATTACGCTCGCTATCGTGATGTTCGTTGCTGGCTGCCCGTGACGGCTAGTACGCGACCCATTTTCGATCAGGTTTCCACTGCTATCACGGCCGATGAGGATGACCATGCTCCTCCTGCCATGCTCCTGTAACATTGCACATGGTAGCAGCCCCTCAGCTGGTGCAGATAGGCGCGTTGTACCACCACGTTCACCTCCAACTGTCCATCGCATGACGCACCACGAGCAAGCGGGCCGATACAGAGAAGTCTTTGGAGAACGTGTTCAGATGCGGCAAGTCTGGCCGTTGTCCATGTTGACCAAGAGACCTTGGACGATGATCGAGCTTGCAATACTACCTTGACCCAGAGTGACGTGAAGCTGCTGAAACTCTCATAACAACCATCGCCAGCCCGCTGTGGAAAGTGACTTCTAACCCCTCACTTGGCACAGAACGCTCGCAGTGGCACAGACAGACATCATGTATGAGCATGCAATCCTTTGAAGTCTAACCCTTTGCTTACCGCTCGTAGGCGGCTAATTATCAGAGACGATCCCAAAGCTGCATCCCAATACATCGCCGACTATGTCATTGGTGCATCTCTTGCTCCCTTGTCATGTTTCGTTATCAGCTAACGCCTCAGCATAGAGCGCATTAAGGCCTTCAACCCTACACCTGAGAAACCCTTCGTGTTAGGGTTGCCCACTGGCAGCAGTCCCGTCTTAATCTACGAGCATCTTGTCCAGCGCCACAAAGCGGGACAAGTCTCGTTCCGCAATGTGGTCACATTTAACATGGTATGAAGGGCCGCTCTGCATGTGCCGTAGTACCCTAGTTCCCAATGTAGCACGGCAGCGTGATGTTGAGCGGTGCTGACCCAACCAGGACGAGTATGTCGGTATCCCACGAGACCATGCCGAAAGCTATCACAGCTTTATGTACAAGCACTTCTTCTCACATGTTGACGTGAAACCTGACAACATCAACATCCTCGACGGCAACGCGCCCGACCTAGAAGCTGAATGCCATGAGTATGAAGAGAAGATACAGCGTGCGGGTGGTATTGAGCTGTTTTTAGGCGGCATCGGACCAGATGGGCACATTGCCTTCAATGAGCCAGGCTCCAGCTTGAAGTCTCGAACTCGTGTGAAGACACTGGCGTACGACACCATTCTAGCCAACTCAAGGTTCTTCGGGAACAATCTGGATCAAGTGCCGAGAATGGCATTGACAGTTGGAGTTCAAACGGTGCTGGATGTAAGTCACATCACCGTGCACCTTGGCAAAGTCTCACAGACGTCAGGCACGCGAAGTCGTTATTATAATAACGGGTGCGCACAAGGCTCTAGCCCTTCAAAGATGCATCGAAGGTGGTGTGAATCACATGTGGACACTGTCTAGTCTGCAGATGCACCCCCACCCAATGATTGTGGTTGACGAGGACGCCACCTTGGAGCTGCAGGTCAAGACAGTCAAGGTACTTGCGTCAATACACATGTTAGCTGATCCGACATTGACACTCGACAGTACTTCAAGAGCATCGAGATGGTAGGAGACGAACTGGGGATGCGCCAGAAGCTCCCTAGAAAGCGCGACTCGCTTGTGGACGAGGGTACCTTGCTAGCCCCTGACCAAGAGAACGGTATCAGGTTGACTGTGCCGCAACTTGATCTCTCCCGTTCAGCAAGTCCAGTCCTGGAACCAATGAGCGCCCGCCTCACCGACGAGGAAGCAAGTGCATTGCGTCCCGTGGACGTGGATATGGATGAGGTCGCAGATCAACCTTCGGTCCGAATGAGCGCTCGCGTCGCCAGCTAGCCTCAGCCTACGTTTCGAGCGTACAGGCACCGGAGATTGTCAGGAAGCCGCTGGAAATGTTTCCATGTTTGCTTTTGGAAAACGCCTAGACAGACTGGTCCCTGAGTCAGAATCGGATAGTTGAGAGCAACGTGTTGGCCTGTTAGAAGTATATGCCGTTGGAAGGTACGATGGGAATCGAACAAGGAAACATGATAGCAAGAATAACAAGGTAAAACGGAGGCGTCACATGTCGGCTGCTATGCTTTTTCGTCCTCATCTGTGTCGAAATGTTACGTGGTGAAAACGTGGGGAATGTTGTGCTTGGTGGCAGGCTCTAGAACGTCATTGGCAGCGGGCGGGCGCGCGTCATGCTGGTTCCGATTCCGATCCCCTCCTCGTATCAAAAGAATCCTGCCGCATCCTCCATGTGAAAGTCGACGCGCCGGTAACCATGTCTTTCGTGGTTGAGTAAGTCGAGCAATTGGAGCGACGTACTGTAACTCTGGCTAACCGCATTGCAGCCAGGTGCGACGAATTGACAGTCAGCTCGATCGGCTGCAGCTGTCAGCCACGCGAGCAGGCAGCTTTTCCATCACCGCCGAGGAAGCCCACAACCCCACCAAGACGTCCCGAATCGCACATCTGCAGAATCTCATCAAGTCTCTCTCTACCACTGCGTCATCCAAGCACAGCCTTGTCCCCGTCGCGCGCATATCCGAGGCGCTACAACGTGCCAACATCGCTAGCAGCTACGAGGATGCGAGCTACGAGCACGAGCTGGAATGGCTGCTAGTCAGCAAGGCGACGACACAGGTATACGGCCAGGTCTTGAGTACGATACTGGAGCAGACCATCCCACTGGAAGACGACCTGTGGTACTGGGACGACATTCTCTCCACCTACCGATTCGCTGGCTTATACTCGATACAAACATCTCCAGTCCGCGTATGGAAATGGTCGCAGGAGATATACCATGATGTCTTATCGCGCGGCGGCCAGGTGGCCAATGGATGGAGCCAGTTCTACGGCCTCGTCAAAGACGCAGTGCAAGAGCGGAGCATCGCCAACATCCAGCGAAGAGTCGTGAGCCCATTGGCGCTTGTGAGAAATGAAGGCAGGAAGAAGCGGGCCGCCTTGAGGAAGATACGACTTATCAACGCAAACGCGCTCGGCGTGCTGCTAGGCGAAGGCCTGGGTAACGAGAGGTATGTCATAAGCTCATTGCGGGACACGGCTGTTGCTAATCTTTCCAGTGTGCACGACGACGGCACCCAGTCGCCCACGCTCCTCGGAACACAAAGTGGACATAGATGGAAGAGCGTCATGTCCAAGAACATTGCCCTCATGGATGCCGTCATCCAAAGCGTGAACACAGCAGAGCTTTCCGTTGATAAGTTCGACGACTCGGTGGCCAGCATCACACAGGACGATCAATTCTACTCCCTGCACGAACCCACTGGAGAGCGCACAGCAAGTACACTCAAGCCGGCAGACGTCGCTGAGCGACTCCAGTACCTACTCCGGGACGCATTGCCTACCTACACGTCAAACTTCAATGCTGTGGTCAAGGAAAACGGACGTCCATCCCTGATCATCCGGTACTGGCTTCCCGCCACTATGCTCCTTGTATCTTCAACCACTATCCTGCGCATCTTCGTCAACCGGAAAGAGGAAATCTTGACCTGGGTACGCGAGTTAGGACAGACTGTGATTGACTTTTGGACAAACTGGGTCGTGGAGCCTGCAATGAGAATCATCGGTACCATCCGGCACAATGAAGACAGCGAGGTTTCCATCATGAGCAAACGGAGTTTGGAATCTGACCGCGCAAGCCTCGAGCGCATGGTTGTTGATTTTGCTGTCAAGAATCCCGAAGGCCCAGCATTGAACGAGACACAGATCGCCGACATCAGAGCCAAAGTCCGCGAGGGCGACCTAACAACGGTGTTGAGATCGTACGAGAAGGACATTCAAAGCCCGGTCAAAGGAGCCATAGTCGGCAATCTCGCTAGCGCACTCCTCATCCAGGTACAGAAGACCAAGGTCGATGTGGAAGTTGCCATGAGTGGTATCGACAGCATCCTCAAGAGTCAAGAATTGCTCTTTGGCTTTATCGGTCTGACGCCCGGTGTACTCGTCAGTATTGGCGTCTACCGATACCTTCGAGGTGTGTTTAGTAGCCGTAAAGGCGTGCAGATGTGGGCAAGGCAGGGTCGCATGTTGCTCATCCTACGCAACATTGATCGCATCCTCACCAGCGCGACCGCTACCGAGGATGGTGAGATTTCTTACAAGGACCACGGTCTCCTTGTTTGCGAAGTGCATCTATTGCGACAAGCTGCGAATGGAATCCTACCGCGACGCATCTTCCACGACCTGTTGGTGGAGATAGATGAGCTTGTTGATGTGCGGAGTGGGCTGCAGCGACAGCAGAAAGTGGTCGAGCGTATTCGGTGGGCGTACTCGAAATGGTTTACTTGAGGAAGCATGTTTTTTCTTTGCAACTGGGACGACGCGGTAAAAGCACATTTATGATCAGCGTACATACCCACTTGAATACAAAGTTACGAGCAAGTTGGTGCACTGCGAAGCGTAATCTCCAGTAGGCGTGAGTCGAGCATGTGAGGGTCAAGGCCGCCTAGGTGCGACAAGGTGCATTCTACACCAGGCACCACAGCATGACCAAGTCTTGTGGTTCGCGTCGTGATGCCGGCAGTCAGAGCCGAGTCGGGCCCAGAGCGCGGTTGCCACCAATCCGCCTCTCATCACTCGCTGCGGACGACAGTGACGAAGGTGGTGAGCCCGTGCGGACTATTGGCGCTAACGTCCAACGTTGGCTGGCACCTGTGAACTCCAACGCCATTCACTTCGCTGCCTGCTGTTGACCACACAGCGACAGACATATACCCAAGACCGAAGCCCATCGCCTGCACCTTGCACTGTCGAGTCGAGCCTACATCACCGGCATCCTCGTGCAACCGCCAAAGGAAGCCAGCTCACCGTATACCCATAGCCCAAACCGGCGGGCGCCAACTCCGCATACCACGCACCGACCGATAACGCATATCGCCGCCCTACACCAACATGGCTGGATCCAGGAATTACGACTTTCTCGTAAGCTCGCCCTACCCCGTACTTGCTGGACCCTGAGCGCCCCTCCACCGCTTGTATACCAAGACCCACACTAACACTTCCCCCCTCCCCCCACGCAGATCAAACTGCTCCTCATAGGCGACTCGGGCGTAGGCAAGTCATGCTGTCTGCTGCGCTTCAGTGAGGACTCGTTCACGCCCTCGTTCATCACCACCATCGGCATCGACTTCAAAATCCGCACCATCGAGCTCGACGGCAAGCGCGTGAAGCTGCAGATATGGGATACCGCCGGCCAGGAGCGTTTCCGGACCATCACCACGGCCTACTACAGAGGCGCTATGGGCATTCTGCTGGTCTACGACGTTACAGATGAACGGAGCTTCAACAGTACGTCTCCGCTGGGTATCCTGCACAGGACAGCAACAAGCGGGCATCCATACTAGAGGCTAACACTGGGCAACAGACATTCGCACATGGTTCTCCAACGTCGAGCAACACGCCACCGAGGGTGTCAACAAGATTCTTATTGGCAACAAGTGCGACTGGGAAGAGAAGCGCGCCGTTTCCACAGAACAGGGCCAGGCCCTCGCTGACGAACTTGGCATTCCCTTCCTCGAGGTCTCGGCCAAGAGCAACATCAATGTCGACCAGGCCTTTTACAGCTTGGCCGGAGATATCAAGAAGAGGCTAATCGACACCGCAAGGACGGATCAGACTGCGGCGCCCAAGGTGGATGTTGGTGGGCAAGACAGTGGAAACGCTGGCATGGGTGGGAAGTGCTGCTAAGAATAGGTGCAAAGTTAGCAGCGGACGCATTGGGCTGAAATCCATCACACAACGAGGCTATACGACGAATATCCGCTCGAGCGTGTCTTTTGGGTAGCATCACCTTTTCTTACGAGTCTTTGTTTCGGCGTTTTCAAGAGAATGGGAGTACCTACTTTTTACAATTACGTATTGTAATGCCAATCTTGTATATGCAAGAGTCAGTCTTCACATGGCACGTAAAGGGCTACTAATAGTTCCGCCTGTACTGCAGTGGTATTTGAGATGAAGACGAGTTTTAATTGCTGACACTTTTTCAGTGTCATCTGTACGACGCCCTCGACATGACTCCTACACGCCTGCTTTTACTGAAAAGATGAACCACCTAGAAGAAAGCACACCACCCAATGTACATGGCTGCCAAGTTGTGCGGGTCCCTCGCCATAGCAATGAGTGCCTCGACGTACCCCTCTACACTCAACGGTACACTCTCCCCCTTCAAGTACCCGTTCACTTTTGTGCGCGTGACATCAAGGACCTCCTGCGGCGTATCCGGTACACCTACAATCTTCTTCCTCCGTTTACCACCCAGAAAATCCGCCGTGGGATCATGCACAAATGTCTCCAGAATAGTGATGAGCGTGTCTTCGTGCTGTCGAAGCAGCTTATACGTGAGCTCAGCGGCCTTGCGGAACGGACCTTCAACGCCCTGGGGACCCATGGCATCGACCATGTTGTGTGTCAGGCGGAAGGGCACGAGTTCAGGTTTCTCAAACGTGAGACCCTTGTCGAAGAGGCAGTTGAAGTCTACGTGGAAGGTGCCACCGTCGCCTTGCTCTAGGAGAACGTTCTCACCGTGCCTATCTCCTAGACCTAGTACGTGCCCAACAATGCTCATTACCGCGCAAGACCGTGTGTACCGAAGCCGCGCTGCGAACCACGCTTCTGGCTCTGGAAACGTCTCTACGAACCATTCATGTAACACAGGCACGAACTTACCGAGGATGCGTTCAGTGAAGATGGTGACTTTGGAGGGTGATGAGCAGGCTTCGTTTAACAGTAGACGAATCTCTGCATAGTCGATTGCAATGTTGCGTTGGCGATAGAAACGAAGGATGATGTCGCGCATGGGTTTGAGGCCTTCGACCCATTCAATGGCTCCGCACTCTTCGTTGAGAGGTGTCACGGCGTACGTCTTGATGTACAGGCGACGTTTGCTCGACTCGATGTCCTTTTGGAGAGCCCGATTGATCATGGCGTTGAATTCCATGAGCCGCTGATCCTTGCGTAGATCGTCTTTTGGTTTGCAAAGTAAGCCGTATGAGCGGCCGTCTGAACCGCGTACGTTGAGCTTCCGTGGACGCTGTAGAGACGACAAGACCAGTACATCATCATCAAATGACTGTATCGTGATGGCGTCGGCTGGGAATGGGTTGTAACGACGGAGGGACTGGCTGTCGTTGCCAGCAGGCAGGTTGGGAAGCAGATTGGCCTCAATAGGCACCACCAGAAGCGTGGGGGCCAACTTGTGGTTGAATCCCAGCTCCTTTGAAAGACTCACGCGTGCTACTCGCGACTCTATGGGAGCATCGCAAGCTGCCAGAAGCGCATCAGTAAGTCGCTGTCCTTGACCAATTAGGGTTTTGAGGTCGACGAAAGCTCCCTTGCGCTTTGTTGCGTCCTTTTTGTTGTTAGCTGGTTTCTGACCTTGACCAGGTCGAGAACTTACGCGCAGTTTCTGCAGAACGGCAGTGCCCCGAGCTCTGCGGTCATCCTGTGTAGAGTGAAGGACGGCAAATAGAGCCCAAAGCGCCTGCTGCGGGTACGATGAAGCGACTCGGATGATAATCGCCTGGAGAGCCTCCCAAACGCTCTTGTTTGGATGGCTGATGCGTGTGATGATCTGCGGGAAAGCGGTATACCATGCAAATGCAGGCATTCGCTCTGCTGCGTAGCGCGCGACATATTTGTTGATGTGTTCAAGGTAGTTGAGCCGATGCCCATGGAACTCCTTATCTTTGGTGGTTCTGGGTGTGTTGTTCGTGACTTCCATACCCATGTCCAACCATAGCGTAAGTATCTTGGGTAGAGTCTGGTAGTAGTACTTCGTCCCATACACCGTAGAGCGAGTGAAGTTCTCAACGACCAGCTTGACCAGGCTTCCTGAGAGATACTCAGAGCTCTGTTTTGTTATTGGTTGCTGCTTCTCTGACTCCAGAAGCTTCAGATACCATCGACCCAGGTAGTAATGACCTTTATCCCACCGGGGATACGTTTGCACACCAATTACATACTCCTCTTTCAGAGACATCGACTGGGTCTGACCTGCGCGATCTAGCCATTTAGCGAGCAGTAGTTGAGCATGGCACTTAACCTTGTTCATGGAATGCCCTTCGCCTCGACCGGCTGTAGTAACAGAGATGTTGATGGGCACAGTGTCCTCCCGCTGGAACGCGTTGCTGTCGATTGCACCACGAAGGTTTTGAATTGCCTTACGATGGTGACCTTCTTTCCAAAGAAGCTTCGAATATTCGATCTTAGATGCGTTATCTCCAAGTCGCTCGGCGTGTAGCACTGAATTGAAAGCAGTTGTCATGAAGCCTCCTTTACGAGCTAGCCGTCCTGTTGTAAGCCATGCCGAAGCGATGTCGAGTTTCGTGAATTCGATGCTATTGTCTGTCAGCAATACTCAACATATGCCAGGTCAGGTTGCTCACCGAGACAATGTCATGGCGGCACGGCGTAGTCCCAGAAGATACTGTTTGTCTGATGTGTACGCTCCAATGACGTCCAACCGGCGATCCAAGTTCTCAAGGATAACCTCACGGTCCGCCGCAACCCCATTACTCATACCGCTTACAGCTTCTATCTCGTATAGCGCGTGCAATTTCACAAGGTGTTCATGCGATGCTTGTACAGAAGCTGTGGTGGATGGGGACATACTCTTTGCCAGAACTTCTCGCAATTTTGCAATGATGGCCTGAAACTCGATACGGTTCTTGTGACGAAGTGCTGATAACGCTCGACCTAGTCCAACGTTGAAATCTATGAAAAGATTCGAGTCTGCGACATTAACTGTACCAAGAAGTCGATCGAGTTGTTCCCATTTACCAGTAGACCAAGCTGCTTCAGCTGCGAAAGGCAGTGTACTACTCAAAAGCGAGTTAGTTGCGTGGAAACCGTCCACGTAATTGAGGATCGAGTCTTGAACGAGCATTAGTAACTCTTCTTGGAATTCACTTATTCAGACTCACCATATTGACCGGACTCTTTTAGGCAGGTGAGAAGGTTAATCTGAGTCTCGACATCGTTCGGTTTTTCAGAAAGTGCAATCTCATACCAGCTCTGAGCTGCTGTCCACCGTCCAGCTTTACGATCTTCGATAATCTGCTGCTCAGGATTGAGGACCTTGAGATGGGCCGATATCCCCTCAATGCTGTCCGGCTCGTCGATATGCGCATAGATCATTTGTAGATGTTGCAGCAAACTGTCTTTCTCAGGGAAGGGCTGCTTCGACGCCGCTTTCTTGTCTCGCTGCTGGCGAAAGTATTGTTCCCAGTGAAACAAGGCTCGAGAATACGAACCACATTCAACGGCTCGTCGGGATATAATCTCTGCGGGGATAAGCTGGAGTATCCCTTCAACGCGACTGACTTGCTTGATGGAGTTCATCTCCTCGTCCTCGGACACACCACGTCCCGTTTTTCCCGCCATTGTTCTTGCGTCAATCAGGGATTTCTTCTTCTCTTGTAGCCATAGTGACAGGTAGTCGAGTGTCTGGAACACATTCTGCGATGGGTCAGCGAATAGAGGTTGATGGAGTAATTATAGGGCCTTGCCTCGCTGCACTGCTTGATGATGGAAGATTCGTGTTGCTCCGCCGTACGTAAATCGGCCTGCAGCACCTGCAAGAGCTCTCGGCCAACATTTGCCTTGTTCTCATCGCTGTCAGATACGATAACGTTAAGAGCTGCGAACGGAAGGATGAATGTAGCTATTGATAAATCGTAGCCCCTGATGATTCTAGCCAGAACAGGGAAGACCATCTCAACATTGACACCTTGCCCTTTTCGCAACAGGTCGTAAACAAAGGTCTGGAGCCAGGTTCCATGGCTGAGCTTGGAGTTGAAGATCGGATATGTCGGACCCTCGTACTGTATTGATGGATTCATGTTGACGGAATATTTGGAATCCAGGAAGGGTGTCAAGACAGTTCTGACAGCCTCTGGAATATCATTCCAGCGTTGTGCCTCTGTGCTAGTCTGCGAAGACCGAGGCTTTGCCCCGCGGAGAGCGCTGAACCCGCAATGCTTGAGCATCTCCTGCATGGCATAGGCGATCCAGCCCTGTGCTTTAGCATTTGTGGTAGACAGGAAGACTTTGACCAGAACTTGCTCAAGGAGCAATGCCACGAAATCGATGTCTTCGTCTCTCCGTGAGAAGTTTGATAGCATCAAGACGCGCTTCTTTTCACGAACTGTTTCCACTCGATATGGATCAAGACCGCCGATGATACCAAGGCATTGAGCACAAAGGATGGTGATATCAGAATAGTCTTCAGAGAACCGTACGCTGGCATCAAGGAGAGACCGCGTCAACGCCGCCAATATCGGGAGAGGCTTTTGACCGACTACTGACTGGTGCAGCTCCCGCTGGTTGGCATCTAGAAATGGCACAAGCTCTATCAGTGCCTGTCTCACTACGACTGAGTTCTGATCTTTGCATCGATTGCTGAAGGCATGGAAGACCTTGATGGTCTCGACCATATCTTTGAACTTTACCAATTCTCCCTCAATTTTGGAGAGCATTGGTATGCCAGCTAACGAAGGAAGGTATTCCACTCTATCTCGAAGTTGCGCATTATACTGCTGTATTATGCCTTCAATAGCTTTGTGAGCCTTGAGCTGCGTATCTTCGGAGAAAATTGACCAGTGTTGTACGATCAATGAGAATGTTTGATCAACGACTAGCATTGTCTCGTCTCCATCGAGAGCTGCTAAGAACGCAGACCAGACAGTGAATGTATCGTCGCATAGGTCTGGATCTCCCATGGCCGATTGGAGACAGGCGCGAATCTGTGGCAACGCTCCATTCACGCTAAATCGCGCAAGGTGGATGAGATCCCCTATAGCAGCTATGCATCTCTTCCTTTCGGGCATTGGATGGGGTGTTGCCTTTCCCTGGGCGTTGGGGGCTTCGATGACATTCGAGAAATATGCTATAATGCCTAGAATATGTGTCTCGCAGAATGCATCCAGGTTCTTGGTCTTTGACGTAGATTTCCGCTGACCTGATTTCGTGTCCGGTGCGAGCGATGCAAGGGTACTGAAACCTTTGTAATAGGGCTTTTTCCTAACAATTTCTTGGTCCGCCGCTAGTTTCAGTATCTCGATGGCAACGCCAGTTATATCTAGTGCGACCCAAGATTCGAGCTTGTTATTACTGCTATCCCGGATAGCAGGCTCAATGGCCGCTAGAGTCTCCATCGCTGTCTGCTCGACTTCAGCGACGGGCTGTGATAAAAGCAAGGCGAGTATCCTCGCAAGATTGGCTCTTGGATGCGTCAAGACGTCAATGACAGAAGCTTTCCGTGCCTGGGCGATCTTCTCAATGATGTCTCTTCGTTTGCTCAATACAAGATGAGGAAGAGTATCCGCTTGGGTCTGTACCAATAATTGACGGACGTTTTGCTCAGTCAAGTCAGCCAGCTGCTGCGCCTTCTGAGGCTGGTTGACGATGTCCTTGATGACTGAGAAGCCAATGACCTTCCAATAAGGGCTTAAAAGCTGCATCGTATCCATAGAATACCCTTTAGCGATCGACTCAAGTTCGCGGTAAGCCATACCGCATACCAGTGCGTTTGGATGGCCTAGGTATTCGATGAGGTGATGTAATATTATGGGTAGCTCTAGTTCGCCGCATGTCAATGCGGTTCGACCATATGCGAGGATCAACGTTTCCTGATCGGATAAGATGTTGCGTTTCGCCAGTGCATCCAGAAACTCTACGAAAGACCGCCGATTTTTTCCACGAACGGTTTTGTGTATGTCATCTCGTAAAAACACCATCAAGGAACTTGTCGCAGCGAGTTTCAGTTCCCGTAAAGATCTACTCATAGACGCAAGCAGCCACTGTCCTAGCTCACATACCTCGAGAGACAGATACTCAGGGTCAGAGATATGGTTGTAGACACGGCCAATGGCCACAGCCATAAGCACCCGGGATTGAGATGACGCCTCGAACACTGGCTCTTTCGTGATCGCAAGCATGGCAGCAATAGCGTCCTTCCAGCTCTCTGCATCGTCCTGTTCGTTCCAATGCATCGCGGCGTCTCGTCCATTTCGTGAGCTGACATCACACAACAAACAAGCAAGTGACTGCAGTGGCTGCGAGGCTGATTGTGATGGTTCTAAACAACGGGACCCAGCACATGCAATCTTTGTGAATGCTGTCATAATATCCACTTGTGCACGTTCGTTCTGTAGTTCGTCGTCCATGATGGATGAGTACCTTGTTCTATTGAAATCAGCAATGGATATCAGAACCAATTGAGAGGACTTACTCGATGATATTGTGAAGATTAGACAGGTTGAAAACAGGTGAGTCCTGACTACTGCCATTCAATACCATCATGAGTCGCTCATATATAGTACGATTAATGTCAGAAGTGTCTGGTAATGTCTTCCGCCGCTTGGTAGGCCTCTCTTCGGTTCCTAGGTTTAATACGCGGAATGATTTTAGGATTCGCGTTGATTCCTCAGCAAGTTGAGCGTTCGAAAAATTGCCAGTGTCACTCTCACAGAGCTCTTTACGTATGTCTGCGACAGACATAGGCCATGTGCCTGGTGCGGTCCAAAGACAGAGGGCCAGCTGGTATATGTTAGTATATGTCGACACTGCAGTGCTCGTTTCATACCTGTAAGTCTTTATGGAGCTTAGAAAAATGATCCACGTCCCGGCAAGCCTTAGCTATAATCTCCTCAACATCGTGTAAAACGATGGTTCTGCTCGCTTCCTGCCGACGCCGGATATTCGGGATATTTTCAGGCGATGAGATAAGTGCACTGCGTAAGTGGGTGAGGATGATGGCCAGCCGCACTTGACTGCTCTCTGATGCCGGCAATGATGGTAAGCCATCAACAAACTCGCGGAGGCTAGTGATTAGTGCCTGCGCATTCTTCAACGAAGTACAGGTGCGGTCTCCAGGCGCCAATGGAGGAAGAAAAAGTATTTCTAGTAGCTGCAAATATACAAGCGTAATCTCATCAGAGAAAGGACGCTTCGCCGAGCTTGTTGTCCATCGCCTGAAGTATTTCCATAAAGCTTGAGCACTATCTATGATCCAGGTTAGATGATGATCTAAGGCACCAGGTGTCACAGATTCCCGCTCTTGAGGCTGGATAGCATTCGCCAACGCCAGAAGCAGACAGAAACCAACGTTGATGGCACCGAGTTGCGAAGTGATGGTTCGCTGCAGATCGTGGGGCAAAGCAATAATTTGCTGGCTTTCTGGCCAGAACACACTGATGTTGCTTGATGATGGCAGGGCAACACTGAAAGACGGTGCAGGTACCGAAACCGGATCGTCCACGGATTGCAATTTTGTCAAGATAGCTGGAAAGAGGTAAGCGGATGGAGAAAGGGTTCTGGCTTAGTACTCACATTGCACACACGACCTGTAAAGCTGTGAGACTACTGCAGCTGAGCGCCAGAGGGCAGATGTTCGAGCAAGCACGCTTAGGCACAGATGGAGCAGTTGCTGTACATGGTCGTGCACAGAATTGAGTGTTGTATACGTCAACAGGCCCAGTAACTTGGGATATAACCAGAGAATGAGTGGGGGCCGAGGTATACCGTCGTCTTCGCTGTCCCGGGTGCTCAGCAGTAGATGTGGCTTCTGTTGCAGGATGAAGGTAAGCGCGGCAATACTGTCAATGCCTTGCTGCCTCTGCTGGTCCTGGGCAAACGGATCATGTTTGAACAGTCCCTCAAGACCCGCTTCCGCGATGACGCACACGAGCGCTACGAGTTGTTGATCAGGCTCGTCGGTGTTTGGATGTTGAAGAAACTCCTTTACTAGTTCACCAAAACTGACTTTGGTTACTTGGCCATGCCGCGCATTGACATTTGAAGCGTTGTGTACAATTTGAGCCGCGATAGTCGAAGGGGGCGGAACGCCATTCGAATTGCCGTTAGTCACTGGTGGCGGTGCCATCCGCTGAGTCGAGCTCCCGCCTTTGCGGGCCATGATGCACGTTACCGACGTGGCATGTCGCGTAGGTTGGGAAAGAGTGCAGTCTTGAGAGACGGCCGGACACCTGGTTGTTGGCGGTGATGCTGGATCTGGCTTTAAGCGAATGCCTGTACAAACTTCGACTGATTCAAGATGGTATTGATGATGGAGTGGCGTCTGATTGGACGCGGGTGGGGGCCTCTGCAATTTGCTGTGCGGTAGTCGCAGGCTTTCAACGAGTGTTGTTTCGTGTTATTGATACGATAGTCCGGCAGTCGTCGCGAAATGCGCGATGTAGGCAGGTGTGCGTTTGGTGTGTAAGGTCCACAGAGAAGGTGTATGGATTACATCGACGCGAAGTCGCGTAGTCACGAGACCCCGCTAAGTTCTATCTTGGTAAAGAGCGCTACTCCGCAATTCCACCTGGAAGCATCGAACCACCCTTGCTCAACATTGAAAGCACCGAGATCGCAACATCGCAACCCCGAACGCTACACAAATCGAGCACGCATCATACACATATCGCCGCCTACTGTGCACGTCTGCAGGATCTAGCATCCTCTAAGCCGCAGCCATGCCTGGCCCATTCACTTCGAAGTCTTTCAGCGCCACACTACCCAACTCGCTCGCCGCCCGATACCGAAAGTCACTCCAGAAACATCCGTTCCTACTATTCGGCCTACCATTCCTCTCTACGATCGTTCTAGGGTCTTTCATGTTGACGCCCGCCACGGCGCTGCGATATGAGCGCTACGATCGCAAGAACCAACAAATAACACATGAGCAGGCTATGGGCCTGAGAGGAGAGCGGAGAAAGGTTAATATGAAGGATGAGTACTACGTACGTATAATAGGCAACATAGGTATTGGAAGGGCACGGGCTGACAATTGCACAGAGATTGCAGGCTAAAGACCTCGAGGACTGGGAGCAGAGGCGTGTCAAGAGGCTGCCGGGAGAGCCAGACGGCACACTTGTGTAGGGACGAGATAAACAATCAAAACAGCATCTGACACGGCGTTACGGAAAATGGTTAGCATAGCAGATTCGATACCTCTGTACGATACAGACCCCTCCACTTTCCACAGTAGGCGCATACTGCACAGGAAAACGGACACCCATACTAGCTTGATTGAGGCCATGATACCTGAATGTATACCATGAAAATGTTTGCTACATGACACTTAGCTTGTTCCACGGAGTCGATTTAACACTGCGTCCTCTGCTCGGCCCGTGATAAGTCAGTGCACCGAAGCTGGGAACGACTCGCTCAGCCAAGACATTATCTCTGGCGAAAGAGCCTTGCGGCGACAGCAGCAAAGTGCGCTATTCTTGTGGTGTCTGTTGAGAATTGAAGTAGCAACTTGAACCGGAGTTGTATCTGGGACGGGAAATATGACTTCTGTGTACGCATGGCTACAGCCTCAACGTGACGCATTATTATTCGTGTGATATATATGGATCACGCTTGTGTGATTTGAATCGAGCCGGCCATGAAGCAAACAATGAGAAGGAATACACGAATTACATGATCAGGACCGCTTCAAATGCAAGACATGGACGGGACAAGGACTACGCTCGAACGCCTCGCTACAATCAACAGATAGGAAATAGCAAAAGGAGCCTCCGAGAAGCAATGAAAGTACTATAGCACACACGAGTGCATAGTACGTGAGAGGAGATGAAGAAAAGGAAAATATGCGTGGGCATACCAAGATGAATCTAGTCGTAATACCCGCCAACTGTGAGAGCATAGAGATTGGAAGCACAGACAGAAGTGTAGACATACAGCGAGTGACAAGGGTGCAGGCTTGTTGTTAACAACACCTACCACTCTTGCTCTTCTGCACCCGATTGATGTCTTCTTCCCAGTCTTGTTGGTGTACAGCGACGGCTGGCGTAGTTGGAAACCCTAGCCAACTCCGCCTCTTATCGCCTGTGCCCAAGCGGAAACTGCCATTGCCGTTCCCAGGGTAATCGAAATACCCAGCCACATTGCCGTTGTTGTCCATGGCCGGTGTGACTCCAGCCATAGCGTACTGGCGTTGTTCTTCTTCGAGCTTCTTCTGTTGCTGTTCGACCAACTTGCGGGTGATGACACGGAAGACCTCGTCTACACCTTCACCATCTTTGGCGCTGATCTCATGACAACAATCCCAGCCCAAATCTTGTCCCCAGAAGCCGCTCGATCGGTTACTCTGTGGCGATGCCATACCGCCGGTGTGGAAGACTGCCGGTACAGAGCCCCAGCCGCTTGTCTGAGCACTGTGTGGCGGCCCATTCTGCGTAGGGTAGAGATTCTCGGCGACGTACTCAATGCAGCGCTCAAACGGCACTTTTCGCTTGGCAGGGTCCTCGGCTACGACATCTGACTTTGTTCCTACAACATGGAGAATCACGTCTTCTCCGAGGTTGGTTTTGAGTTCTTTGAACCAGCGGCCCATCTCGTCGAACGAATAGGGATCGGTGATGTCGTAGCATAATACTGCAGCGTTTGCACCTGGAGAAGAGTTGGTTAGCTTTTCGGTAGAGTGTTTGGGCTACGGCGAAGAGTGGAAGGATGTCGTCTCGGCCATTGGAAAGTAAATTCCAAAGATCAATACAGCAGGCTGCGAAGACAGATTCGAAGTAAGGAGATTATTGGCGTACCTCTGTAGTATAGCTTGGAGATGGACCGGAAGCGCTCTTGACCTGCTGTGTCCCATATTTGTAACCGGACCACGGTGGACGTGTCGATATCCACGACCCTCTTGGTCAAGAAGGATGCGCCGACGGTCGACTGTGTTGTAGGAGGTGTAAAGGCGTTCTTCACATATCGGTGGACGAGGGAAGTCTTCCCAACGCCTTGGCTGCCGAGGACCACAATCTTTGCTTCGAGGCTGTTGGACATGACGGTACAAACTGTCGTCACTCGCCAAAGGTGTCTGTATTCGTCGACGGTCGGCGGTGCAGGGGTGGGGCGGGAGGCGGATGTTGTGGGGTCGACTCAGGTATGCGCGGTGCCTCGGAGCCAGGAAGAAAGGAAATGCGTGGTAGGCGGTCGCGGGACAAGTTGCATGGCGTGCAGTGAAAGTGTGTCGCCGGCAACTGTGAGAAGAGGCAGAGAATTGACGTAGAGCCCGTCTGAGAATATTAGGCAGGAGGTGAGTGACCGAATGACAGTCCACCGTGTTTGGCGCTTGCACCGATTCTCTTGGCTAGGGGAGCCCATGTGACAGACGCCTTAAGCCAATGTGAATCAGATGTGGGAGGGACGCATCGAACATGGAAAGATGGGCGTCCATCGTGATCGTATTCTGGAGACTGATTACCATCCTGGGGATGACGCGCCATGTTGATTCTCGTGGGTTGGGCAGTCAACAATGCACGTCATGCCCACCCAGCTAGCTGTCGTTGCTTTCCCCGCGTTTCGGAGCAGAGCCCGCTTCTTCCACGCGACCGATAGGTAGCGATTAAAAACGCTGCCACTTACCCTGAAACAAGAGTCCACGTTCCTCCGACCGATGATATATCTCTAGGAAGACCGGTCGGCGGTCGACTGTCAGGGATCGAGACGGGATACCAAATGTGACAAGCCCGGACATCCAGCTCGCCTCGAGCTTGACGGTACTAGCTTGCTTCCATTCTCCGCGACCAGCATCCGAAGCCTGCGGGGATGAATGTACCGAGCTATCACCCCAAACATGCTGCCGTCACCAACCTGGCCCTTCCGCCCGCCCAAGCTCTTTTAGTGCCTGGAAATAACCCAGATCGGCTCCATATATTTTCTGGCCTATCTTCGCGACTTGATTACCTACCCTCCAGCATCCTGCGCCTACCACAACACCGCGACGATGAACCACGACAGTAATGACACCCAGAAGGTGAAGCTCACCGGCGAGCAGGTCGCTGAGCACAACAACGCCGAATCCTGCTGGGTCATTGTCCACGGCCGCGCCTACGATGTTACCGAGTTCCTGCCTGAGCATCCCGGAGGCCAAAAGATTATCCTAAAGTATGCCGGCAAGGACAGTACTGAAGCGTTCGAGCCCATCCACCCGCCCGACACTCTTGACAAGTATCTCGACAAATCCAAGCACTTGGGCGAGGTGGACATGAACACGGTCAAGGAAGAGGCGAAGGAGGTCGACCCTGATGAGGAAGAGAGACAGAAGCGCATTGAGCGCATGCCCATCCTGGAGCAATGCTACAACTTGATGGACTTCGAGGCTGTCGCGCGCAAGGTCATGAAGAAGACTGCATGGGCATACTACTCCAGTGGTGCAGACGACGAAATCGTGGGCTTATCCCAAATACCATGTCCTTACTCAGACTGACTCTTTCCAGACATTACGAGAAAACCACAGCGCATTTCACAAGATCTGGTTCCGGCCACGCGTACTTATCGACGTCGAGAAGGTCGACATGTCCACCACCATGCTCGGCAGCAAATGCGATATTCCCTTCTATGTCACTGCGACGGCGTTGGGCAAGCTCGGCAATCCAGAAGGAGAGGTTGTGCTCACGCGCGGCGCACACAAGCACAATGTCATCCAGATGATACCCACACTGGCATCTTGCTCGTTTGACGAAATCATGGACGAAGCAAAAGACGGTCAGGTCCAATGGCTGCAACTGTACGTCAACAAGGACCGGGAGGTCACAAAGCGGATCGTGCAGCACGCCGAGAAACGCGGCTGCAAGGGTCTCTTCATTACCGTCGATGCACCACAGCTCGGTCGTCGCGAGAAAGACATGCGGAGCAAGTTCGACGATGTCGGAAGCAACGTTCAGAGCACCGGCGGAGACAATGTTGACCGTAGTCAAGGCGCCGCACGAGCCATCTCGTCCTTCATTGACCCGAGCCTCAGCTGGAAAGATATCCCGTGGTTCAGGAGCATCACCAAGATGCCCATTATTCTCAAGGGTGTGCAGTGTGTTGAGGATGTCATCCGCGCCGTCGAAGTTGGCGTCGCAGGCGTAGTTCTTTCAAACCACGGTGGTCGTCAGCTGGATTTTGCTCGCTCCGGTGTCGAAGTGCTCGCAGAGGTTATGCCCGTTCTTCGCGCACGCGGCTGGCAGGACCGCATTGAAGTCTACATCGATGGTGGTGTCCGACGTGCCACAGATATCATCAAGGCTGTCGCACTGGGCGCCAAGGGTGTAGGTATTGGCAGACCTTTCCTTTACGCCATGTCCGCATACGGTCTCCCAGGCGTCGACCGGGCTATGCAGCTTCTGAAGGATGAGATGGAGATGAACATGCGCCTGATCGGTGCCTCAAGCATTGCGGACTTGAATCCTTCTATGCTTGACACAAGAGGACTCAGTATGCACACTGCCACTGTACCTCACGACACTCTGGGCATGAATGTGTATGATCCGCTTATCGGCCCTCAAGAGAGTGTTGTCAAGGCGAAGGCCAAGTTATGAGGAGCTTGTGCTATATTGTATATCAACCTCAGGCGCCAAGGATTTGTTCGAGAATCGTCAAGTATTACATATCTTCACAGCATGCAATCTTTCATTCAAATGGATATTCCATCAACTTATCTGGTGCCTTTGATCGCTCTCCCATATGCCGTTGTTCGCCATTTTGCCCTGTGAAGTATGGAGGGCTTTGTTTCAGATCGTGACCACGCGAGAACGCGTTCGGTCGGTGGGGAAGGAGCGCTGGGTGGACCTGCCGATCGTCAAGCGTCCGTGGGTCGCTCTTCTCACTTCACTCAGGGCAAGCCTCAAAGATTCACATTCTCGCATGATATTCCTATACATTTTTTATTCTTGAATCGCCTTCGCATTATCGTTTGCGACTTTTTGCTTCTATTGACATTATCATATGGGTGCTACTGAAGGCGCAGCGCAACCCGGCGCTGGCTGGGACGAAGCGCAATGTACAGCAGCACTTGCACAGTTGGAGCAGCTCCAGGCGCAGGTGAGACTTTCGTAACGCCGTTCCTGAGCTCATACTGATATGCGACAGATCAACGACATGCGTCTAGCTATCCCGCGCATCATCGAGCCTTTCCGTCGTCCTCGGAGTTCCGCGACTTATAAGCTATATGTTGAGGGCGTGAAGGGTTCCCAGAACAACCTGAATGCGCTCACAAAACAATGGAAAGACCCCGATATGCAGAGCACATTCGAGCATGTTAAGCAAAGCTTCGGCGCAAATGCGGATCTATCGGAAAGCGTCTCCATACCTTCCCATGGATGGGTAGAAAGAGCGCGGAAGGCAAAGGAGTCGTCAATGAGCAAGGGATCTGAAAAAATAGATGATGCCGGTGCTACACTCAGTGAAGAGGATATATCTCGAATCGTGGTGGATTTCCGCAAGGTACACCCAACTCTAAAAGTGGAGGCACAAGATGATGATCGCAGCATATATGTATGGCATCCATACGCCTCGAAACACTATCTGCTCACATACATAACAGATGCGGTTCGTTTCCGGTTCTCTCATGCTGAAATTCCGTATTGGCATCGAGCGCGAAGCAAACGGACGCTACAAACTTAACGCCGAGTGCTTGGGTACAGCAGAGCCCTTTTTGGCCATCACAAGATGCATTGCATCTCGGCCAAATGCTGACGATTTGAGATATCTACTGGTACGTACATGAATTTCCATGCCATGGGCATGGTTTAACTGTATGCTAACCATAACAGGATATGATTGCTGCATACAAAACCGTGAAAGGAACTTCGTGTGCCAGGTGTGGAAAACTTCTCGACAAGTCGGCACTGACACCCACCGCAAGACGAAGTAAACAGGTCGCTAGCACGACTGAGACTTCTCAAACTATATGGGAAGCGACCCACGAAGGCTGCATCTGAAAAAGCTTTTCCAAATAGCAAGGCATTACAACGCATGTCTGCCCATGTCATTCACAAATGGGCCACCCCTATGAAACGGTAGGTATTGTCCATCCTGCCACCAATTACCATACACATCGCGCAGAGCTTCGGGAAACATGTTCCATTTTCTGTTCTTATAAGGATCTGGTTGCCATCTCGCGTCTGTCCACATGCGAGGATGCCGATCTACATACTTTCGCGTACGGAAGTCGTAAGCCATCTCGCGTGAACGTCCACCTGACAGCACACCTCCCTCGGTCCAAGGGGCGAACTTGGTAGGGTTGAAGGCGAATTCCGGTAAACCGTCATCGAGACGGACATGTTTGGACCATTGAGATCGCGATGGGCGTTTGGCCACAAAATCTCTTGCATCAGCCGCAGAGCCGACGAAGATGTCTGGGCCTTTGCCTTGGAGAATGTCTTTCATTCGACCCAACTTAGAACTGTTCCTACCGTCTTTTGGCCAGATGAAAGCTTTCGATATTTTTGGGTGTCTCAGTTTTCGGTCGTCTTGATACCATCCACTGGATACATGGGGTTTACCGCGAATGTATTCGGCTGGTCTGTGTCTCCAAGGGCTTGGTATACTGCCGAAGAACGGTGGCGCAGGCAAGAAATCAGTCATAACTAGGTATTTTTGGAACGGGATTGCAGTAGGATATGAAGATCACATCTCAAAATAACTGCGAGACGTTCGCTTTTGAATCAATACCGTCACTCGTTTGCTAGAATAGGTCACGAAGGCGAGTTGGGCCCGGATAACATAACGGACACGGAATATTTGTATAATCGTTTGTCACCTTGCCATTACATGCATACAAAGCTTTATGTCGTTCGGCCATGCTCCCGCTCATTGAAGGGCAGCCGGACACGCCAGTCGTACCACACTCTCATCAAACATCCGAAGTCGGCTTCGTGGTTTCTTGGAGAGCTGAATACACGGATAACGAAGATTGGATATTACTTGACGCACACTTGTCGATTGCCTGCGTAAACTTGGGATGATACTAGTTCTTTCACATGGACGCGTACCTGGAAGACAGGGATCACAGCGGTCCGAGCTCTCAAGCTTGAACAACGCGATCTCGTTTCTCCAGGTTTGTTTTCGGCACCATCAACAACACCGCCCCGTACAACCACCATGTCGCTTTTCGGCAATCTTGGAGGCTCACAGCCCGCCTCTTCTGGCACATCAGGCGGAGGGCTGTTTGGAGCAACAACAGGCGCATCAGGCGGTACTACACCAAGCTTGTTTGGCAATCTGGGCGGAGGTACTTCGAATGCGCAATCCAGTACGACACAAGCACCAAGCACTGGAGGCGGACTTTTCGGTGGCTTGGGCGGAGCAAAGCCGGCAGCAACTACGACACCCTCACTGTTCGCTGGCGCTGGGTCGACCTCACAGCCGCAAACGCAAGCGCAACCGAGCAGCTTCGGCGGACTCTTCAATAAACCAGCATCGCAAGCGACAACGACCAACAACACGCAACAAACGAGCGGCCTGGGCCAATCCTCCCTCTTCGGTGCTACGACCACACAGGAGCAGCCCCAACAGCAACAGCAGCAGCAACAGGGCGCGTCGCTGTCGCAAGCAAACGCTGGTACCGGTCGCTCAGCCCACTTCGACCATCTGCTCGAGCGAGGGCGTAAGCGCAATGCTGGCGAAAATGGCGGCAACAACTTCGACGAGCTGCCGTCCCTACAGTTGGGACTGGGAGACATCGCACGGAAGGTGCGCAATCTGGGTGCTGGAGGTCCCTCAGCAGACCAGGTCCAGGATCGCTCCCAGGATCGCGCTGCGTATGTTGGACCTGATCGTGATGCGTTGCTTTGTGCTGATTGCTTCTAGACATTACCTGCTTTCCGCCTCTGGCGTCAAGATGGGCAGCACCCTCCGCGACCTCAACCAATTCTCTTCGCAAGGCGGTCTCGCTGCACCCGGCCAGGCACAGAACCTGTTCGACAACGACGTAGACGGCTACATCTCGAACCTGCACTCCCAATCCACCCTAGCACTCATTCAAGAAGGATTGGAACAATCTAAACGCGACTTCGACACATTTCTCGAGGACAACGTTCAGATCGAGTGGGACAAACAGAGGCAGAGGATATACGAACATTTCGGACTCGGCCGACAGAGTGAAGACATGGCCGCATCCCAAAGCGGCGCATTTGGCAGCACGGCACGCGGAGCTTTTGGACGCGCAACAGGGCGCAAGGGTCGTTCTATGGGCCCTAACAGCGGTGCGTCTGTAAATGGGAGATCGACTTTTGGCGCCTCTGCTGCCGGACCGCCTGTCCTAGGCGCCTCTCAAAGCGTGCTTGGTGGGCGCGAACCTACCGATAAGTCTGTCATGGGTGGACAAGCTGCTTCTCAGGACCGATACGCACGTGACAAACAAGAAAAGTACATGGACGAGGTCAAGAAGCTCAACGAGTCCAGGCTACGTGAGAGCTCATTCTCGGTACTCCATGCGTTTTCAGACGTGGAAAAGGCTGCGGGCACCGAATACTCAGACCACTTCACAAACGCGTATGGAGCGCTTATATCCATCACCGGCGAGAAAACCGAACTGGAGGCCTCCAACCCTGGTTCCAACCAGCCAAAAGAACGAAGTTTCGCCAAGGACTACTTGGACGACCAACCGAACTCTGCTGCCAGCGTACGCATGCGTAAATGCATACTCGATGGCTCTCGGAAGTTTCTGGAAAGCAAGTTCTTGGAGCAAGTTGAAGATGTGTTGCGGAGGAACCCTGCAGAGGCGCTTGTTGGTGGAGTTCCCTCTATGCTCAACAAAATCCGAGGCTTTGTACGAGCGAAAGCTGCGTTTAAGGAGCTCGGCGCAGACAGTGATCTGTTTCAGAGGATAGGTGAAGCTGGTGATGAATTTCCTTGGATTATTATATTCTTTCTTCTCAGGGGTGGCCTCCTCACTGAGGCTGCTGAATATGTGCGAGAGAAGAGAAACTTCTTCCAGAACACCGACAGAAACTTCCAGGCGGCAATAACTCAGTACGCCACCGATCCAGAGCGAAGGTTGAACCCAGATACGCAACAAAAGGTCGCGCATACGCATGCGCAGAGAACTCGCTTGAAGACGCCAGAGGATCCCTACCGAATGGCCTGCTACAAGATCGTCGGCCGGTGTGACATGAGCCAACGCAATCTGGCGCCAATCAAAGAGAACATGGACGACTGGGTATGGCTGCAATTTAATCTGGCCCGTGAAGGCAATCGCGCTGAAGAGAATGCTGGCGAGATCTTCGGCTTGGAAGAACTGCGAACAACCATCAAGGATATCGGTCAGCGTCACTTCATGAACGACGAAGCCGAGTCCGCGGGTGGCTATGGAATCTACTTCTATCTCGCTACGCTTGCTGGTCTGTTCGAGCCAGCGATCAACTACCTCTACACTCACAACTACGTCTCTGCGGTTCACTTCGCCGTTGCTCTGGACTACTACGGTCTACTGCGTGTGTCGGACTGGACGACTGCAGGTGGAGAGATCATAACCTTCACTACACGACAGCAGCCACAGCTCAACTTTGGGCGCGTGATCGGCCACTACACCAGTGATTTCCGTGCCGCACGAGCTGATGCTGCAGCTGACTACTTGGTGTTGATTTGCATGAATGCGGATCTACCAGGCGAAGCAGGACGACAGCAGGCAGAGCTCTGCCACGAGGCGCTTCGTGAACTGGTCCTTGAGACGCGCGAGTTTTCCACGTTACTGGGTGATGTCAAGTCGAACGGCGAGACGACGCCTGGTCTCATTCAGGAACGTGTGCCGTTACTCAAGTTGGACGGTGAGATGGGTCTGTTGAACACCATCACTAGTGAAGCCGCGAGGATGGCAGACGACAATGGACGCATCAACGATGCCATCTTACTATGCCACCTTGCTGGTGAGTATGACAGTGTCGTGACAATCCTGAACCGCGCACTTGCCGAGGCACTCTCTGTAGAGCTCGGCCAAGAGCCACTTCGTCTGGAGCCGTTGAAGCCACGGCTGACGCCCGCAGAGTCACAACAACAGCAGCAGCAACGGAGTGATCTGACTTCGTCGAGCTTGAGCATGCTCGGAACAGATGATCCTGTCGAACTTGCTCAAAAAGTTCTTGCACTGTACGATGCAAACAGTCTATGGTGGAGGAAGGTGTCACAGATGAACCGCGATACAGTTGGAATACTATTCCAGCTCAACAACGCAAAGAAGGTCATCGAGGCTGGCGACTACATGGCAGCACTCGGCGTAAGTAGTTCCATCTCTGTCTTGCACTATCAGTCACTAACAAGTCATCTAGCAAATCGAGAACCTTCGTATCCTCCCTCTATCTGCTGGAGGCAACGTCAGCGACATTCGGGCTACAGCCAACAGTTTCAACTCATACCCACCAGAGATCTCACGCAATATTGGCAACGTGCTCCTCTGGTGCATCGGCTGCTGCTCGCGACACCGTGAGCGTCTTCTGTCTGGACAGTTCGAGGACAGAATGCGCAAGGTGCTTGCAGATCAGCTGCTGCAGAAGGCGAAGGATCTCATGGTCTTTGCTGGGCTGATTAAGTACAAGTTGCCACCGAGAGTGTTTGAGACGCTGGCTAGGGAAGGTCAGGAAGTGGGGGCTTTCTAGAATTGGGGTAATGACGATAGATATTCGCATGTTGGAGTCTCTGGGGTTGATATTGTAGTCTCAGGATGGGCTGGGAAATGTTTGGATTTGCGAGCAAAGGTCGATTGAACATTTGCGCAACTGCTGGGCATGGTTGGTTTGACGTCGAGCGGTACCAACAAATGATTGTATTTCCGGGCCATCCGTATCTCAGTCGTGATCAGAATGCTTTCGCCGCAAGAGGCCGCGTGGGGTGACGGCCAAGGCGAAGATGGTACAACGACAGCACAGCAATCGTGATACAGACGATGTCTCGCTATGCTGTCATTTGTTGGCATGCAAGTCTTGCAGGTTAAGGCAATAATGAAGTCGTTCGATCCTAGGAACGTGCCGGCGGCCGTGGTTGGCGATGCTTCCAGGCTCGGGCTGAGGATCGGCGAGTGGTGTGACCCCACTTGGCGGACCGGGGAGCTCTTTTCTTTTGGAGCTCCCACGTCATATGGACGAACCCATGCTCGGAGCCCCGTCACCTTATCACCAGTTTGAATAATACGTACAACTGTCGCCCGTGATACAGATATATCATCGTAAATCCAGCTAATAGCTAGCTAGTCGCATCACTTCTGACACTCACATATCAACACTCAGGACTCGGCAAAGCTACCCCTCCAACCCGCCGTCGACCATTGAAACTTCCCAACACACAGGGACCCGCTTCTCTCGGCGTCTTAACTTTTCAACTAGACAGGTGAATCCACATTGACCTCATACTGACCCACGGCCAAATATCTTTTCGGACCTTCACATTCATCTGCCAATACCTCCAGCCTCCACTTTCACCTCCCCAACCTTAACCTACACCTTCCACTCCGCCCAATACCCTATCCAATAACACCTGATCTCACACTATGGCGCCCACCGAGATCCCACCGCCCCTCGAGGGTAAGAAGAGGCGCATCGGAGTCATGACGAGCGGAGGAGACGCACCTGGCATGAACGGAGCAGTACGCGCTGTAGTGCGCATGGCCATTCACAACAATTGCGAGGCATTCGCGATATATGAGGGCTACGACGGTCTGGTCAAAGGCGGAGACATGATCAAGGAGATGCACTGGGAGGACGTCAGAGGTTTCCTATCCGAGGGCGGTACGCTCATTGGCACAGCACGATGCATGGAGTTCATGCAACGAGAAGGCCGCCGGACGGCTGCAAAGAACATGATCATCAAGGGTATCGATGCGCTGATCATCTGCGGTGGTGACGGTTCCCTCACAGGCGCAGACAAGTTCCGTGCTGAGTGGCCAGAGCTGCTGACCGAGCTGGTCCAAGAAAAGCAGCTCACACAGGAGCAGGTGGAGCCCTTCAAGCACCTGAACATTGTCGGATTGGTTGGTTCCATCGACAACGACCTTTCCATGACCGACGCTACCATCGGTTGCTACACCTCTCTCGGCCGCATCTGCGAAGCAATCGACTCGGTCGACACCACTGCCGTCAGTCATCAGCGTGCTTTCGTCATCGAGGTAATGGGTCGGCACTGTGGCTGGCTCGCACTCAGCGCTGGTGTTGCAACAGGCGCCGACTTTGTCTTCACACCTGAAAACCCACCCAGCGAAGGCTGGCCGGAACAGATGTGCAAACAGATCAAGAAGCAGAGAGAGATGGGCAAGCGGAAGACTATTGTCGTTGTTGCCGAGGGAGCCATCGACCGCAACCTCAACAAGGTTACTTCACAGCAGGTCAAGGACATTCTTGCAAACGAAGCGGGGCTCGACACGCGAGTGACTACGCTCGGACACGTCCAGCGTGGAGGTACACCATGCGCCTACGACCGTATGCTTGCGACACTCCAGGGTGCTGAAGCTGTCAAGGCAGTGTTGGAAGCTACCCCTGAAACCCCTAGCCCGGTCATCTGCATGCAAGAGAACAAGATCGTTCGACGACCACTCCTTGAAGCTGTCGCTCAGACTAAGGAGGTTGCTGTAGCTATCGAAAGGAAGGACTTCCACAGGGCCATGCAGCTCCGCGATACTGAATTCGAGCAACAGTACCAAGCCTACCAAATCACCACAGCGCAGGATCAGCCAGATCTTCTACTACCAGAGAACAAGCGCATGCGCGTCGGTATCATCCACGTAGGTGCCCCAGCCGGAGGCATGAATGCAGCCACACGAGCTGCTGTTGCGCACTGTCTTGCTCGCGGCCACACGCCAGTTGCGCTCCACAACGGTTTCCCTGGCATAATACGCCACCACTCTGATGAGCCCGTGGGTGCGGTGCGAGACATCAAGTGGATCGATGCTGAGACTTGGGCATCCAAGGGTGGATCTGAGATTGGAACAAACCGTGGGCTCCCTAGTGAAGATCTCGAGACAGTTGCGTTCGTCTTCAAGAAGTTCAACATCCAGTCTCTGTTCGTTGTTGGCGGTTTTGAAGCATTCACAGCTGTTTCAGAATTGAGGAAAGCAAGGGAGTACTACAAGTCGTTCAAGATTCCCATGGTCATCATCCCTGCCACCATCTCGAACAACGTCCCGGGAACAGAATACTCCATTGGCTCGGATACTTGCTTGAACGCGCTTATCCAATACTCGGATGCCTGCCGCCAATCAGCGTCAGCGTCGCGTCGCCGCGTATTCGTTATCGAGACCCAAGGTGGTGAGTCGGGCTACATCGCAACTGTTGCCGGTCTCAGTATCGGAGCATTGGCCGTATACACACCCGAAGATGGCATCAACCTTAAGATGCTCGACCGCGACATTGACCACCTCCGCGAGGTCTTTGCCAAGGACAAGGGTATCAGCAGGTCTGGTAAGGTGATTTTGGTCAACGAGAAGGCGTCGAAGACCTACTCCGTGCAAATGATTGCTCAAATGATTGCGGAAGCCGGCAAGGGCAAGTTTGAATCTCGTCACGGTGTGCCTGGTCACTTCCAGCAAGGTACCATACCATCGCCCATGGACCGTGTCAGGGCCGTCAGATTCGCTATCAAGGCTATGCAACATCTTGAGAGCTTTGCTGGTCTAGACGCAGATGAGATCGAGGACGACTCCATGTCAATTAGCGTTATCGGAATCAAGGGCAGTAAGCTACTGTTCTCTCCGATGGAGACTGTGGAGAAGAGGGAGACTGAGTGGCACCGTCGCCGACCCAAGCATGAGTTCTGGATGGCTCTCAAGGAGACGGTTGACACGCTCTCCGGTAGGCCTCAGGCGCCAGCCAAGCCTACCGAGATCGACACACTGGCTGGACGGCCAGCAAAATAAACGCACACAAGACTTTTGAGCTTATGAAGGTGTACAGGCGTACATTTGAGTTTGAGAAACTTGCTACAGAGGGCCTTTGGCTACCGTGATCACAGCGTACATGTAGATAGATGCTTCCTTATGATAACGACCACGAAATGATCTGACTAATAATCATCTTGTCTCAATCCTCTTGAAATTTGCCCAAGCTTTCGTCGTTCCAGCTTAGGAATTTGCCGTTGAAGCTCTTGACTTCGTCACCTCCAACAGCCAGTCTCGCAATGACATAACCCGGTTGTTCTGGCTTCAAAAGCCCTCCGTCGCTCTTCAGTCCGCTAAACTTCTCTCTATCCTTTCCGCTCATTCGCTCGTGATGCACTTCTCGGATCTCACGTTGCATCTCCGTGTCTACGACGCCTGGTCTGATAGAGATTGTTGTAACAGAAGGTTCTTCGACTGAGAGGGTAAGGGCTAGGTGGTTAAGTACCGCTTTTCCGGCGCCATAGCAGCCCCAGCCTTGGTAAGCGGAGGTTGCGGCGCCGCTGGAGGTTAGGAGGATACGGCCCTGGGTCTTGCGCAGAGAAGGGAGAGCAGCTTGGATCTGGAATAGATTAGAGTGGTTAGCTGGGCTTTTGAATGAACTAGAGGAGATGAAGCATTTTCGAAGCAGCCATATATACTCCTATCCTTGAATTTGGCGATGATTGACTGACTGACTGAACAAATGAATGAAACCAAGACGGAATAGGTACATACCAAACCAACAGCACTGAAGACATTAACATCGAATCCCTTCCTCCATTCCTCAGGACTAGTATCAGCCACCTTCTTCACTGGATCCAAAGACCCATGGTTGATGATCAACGAGTCGAGACGTCCCCATTTCTCGTTTGCCAAAGCTACAGCTTTCTCAGGCAACGAAACGTCGGACATGTCTCCAGCGAGCACGGCAACTTTTTCAGAACCATATTCAGATTGCAGTGCTTCGAGAGCCGACTGGGTTCGTGATACGAGCACCAGCTTGTGGTTGCGGGAGAGCAGATGGTGGGCGACTGCCTGACCGATTCCTATTCGGACGGGTTAGTGAGAGATGAATGTTACTATCACAATGTCCTCTTTTGATTTTATACAGAAAAGTAGTTGCAACGTGGTAGCTTTTGCACTCCTCCAGTACCTGGAGATGAGAAGGGATACCGAATTATCATGCTTTTGGCTGGGCTGAAAAGAGATGCTATGAACTTGTTAGATGCACGCACGTACCTCTCGATGCACCCGTGAGTATAACAACCATTTCTTGTGATTGGCTCATCTTGACTGTTGATTGGATGTTTAGAGCTGTGAGCTGGACATTGGAAAAGTTAAGCTCGTGTTGGAGGGGCATACGTCATATTAGTCATCTTATCATTCGAGCAGTCTCCAGGTGGAGGGCAATTTGAAAAGCATGAGCTTCCGCAGTAATCATACGCTAACTTACTAGCATTATAACCAAAGTGAATTCAAGTAATTCAGAGCTCGGGGGGTCAACTCAGTGGCTTGATCTAGGGCATATCTGGATTCCTTCACGGCACCGCAAGATGACAACCGATTGTAGCTTTTAAATATATAGAAACTACAGGAACAAGTCCTTTCGACGCACTTTACACATTCTAAACTCTCTTCACAACCTAATGTCTACATGCTCGCCTTTCCTCTACTTTCAAAAGGCAATATCAGCACCAACAGCCCCGCAGCGATGAACAATGCCCCACTCACGTAAACGGGCACGCTAGTCTCCAAGTCCGCAAACATAGCAACAATGGGGGCCATGATACCAAAAACTCTGTTCGCGCTCGCTGTGATGGCATTTCCAGTACCGCGATCCTTTGTTGGGAAGATTTCAGGGGTGTATGCGTACAAGACTGCGTACATGATATTGCTCATGAAGTTGTAGGCACAGTTCCATCCAAGGAGGCTGTTAGAATTGAGTGCCCTTGTAGAGCATAACAGGAATACACCAGTAAGCACTGTGGACAAGGACAGTGTGCCTTTGCGACCTATATAAGGCGTCTCAACGAGCAGACCACCAAGGACACAGCCTGGTACGCCCAGAACGGCGATGATGAGACTGTTGCGATAGGTTATGTAGGTTGAGCCATCGCCGAAATCGACGCCACGGGTGGCTTGAATATAGGGCAGGTATGCGTTGTATAGCGGGTAACCGAGTCCGATAAATGCCCAGACCAAGGTGATTGTGCTAGTTGAAAAAGCTAGTTTCTTCGTGGCGAAAAGAGCCTTGACGTGCGAGCTGTCCAACTTCTGAAGGTTGCGCTTGACCACTGCGGTGGCAGTGCTGGTTTGCTGAGCGGTACCAGGTAGCGCATAGTTGTTGCAAGTCATGAGTTCCTCGAGAGTCAGAGACGATGCTTTGCCGTTGCGGCGGGCAACCTCATGAACAATACGGACGGCTTCTGAATCGTTTCCTTTGCCCATGAGGAACTTGGGCGACTCGAAGATTGTGAAGAAGACAAAGCGTCCGATGAACATCATAAGAGCAACACCTCCCATTACCTTGAAGCTGGATTAGCGATTACCTCCAAGACCATGTAGCATATTACTGACAATCATAAAGTATCGCCATCCCATATTCTCTCTTCTTGTGCAGTTTGTATCCGTCTGTTGACATGTAAGATTTCCAAGCAACGGCCATGCTACAAGAGTAGCAAAGACTTGTGCGAGCGCCCAGTTTATCGACAGGACTGTCAACAAATACTGGTGTGATCCAGGGAGAAACCTGAATTTGGGTGCAGAAAGTCAGTGTATGTCTCACATGCACTTTGTATATGGCATTACTGACTCGAGGAAGATGGCAGAGTCTACAGGCAGGTTTCCACCCACGCCAACAGACCACAAAGCAGCGAAAGTGCCAATGGCAGCAAAGTTTGGACTACTCGCCGCTATCATACCGAATACAGCCGTGATACCGATGGTGAGATTGAAGGCCCATCTCCTGCCGAAGAGGTCACAACCGAAACCCCAAAACACTGCGCCGAAGAGAAGTCCAATGTTTTGAGACAGAGACAGGAGCGGTGGTCTGGTAGGGCTGAACTCGTTGCTCACAGGTGTGAAGATCAGCGATGTTACGATGGGCCAGAGATTGTCCATGGCCCATCCGAAGCCGATGACGATGAAGAGCTGTAGCTTTTTAGACGGTCGGAAGATGGTAGGGTTGAAAAACTCGTGGACGTTCACTGGAACTTTCAATGTACGGCGTGTTGATGCAACACAAGTGAGCGCCGCCGGGATCAACACTTACCTGCCACTGATACCTTCCCATGCCAATGTCCTGGATTGCTTTGTTCAGCATCTTGACCTTGGCTTCGTACACCGGATCCAGCGACCCATCTTCGAGGACAGATACGGGCGCCTCCCCATCTCTTGCAACAGTTTGTGCGGAAGGCTCCTTGTTACTGTAACTCTCATCAACCTTCCTGGATGAGTCGGCCATGGTTTTCATCTGTTCTCTGAACCGAGTGCGAGCACAACAAGTGAGTGAGAGGGGAGGCCGAAGTAGATCAAACTAAATGCAGACGACTAGGATCATACAAGCGAATTGGTGGCGAGCGCAGTGAGCATTAGCGACGCTAGGAAACCCAGTGAATGGGAGATCTTCAACGGGAATGGTGTATGATTGAACCAGTGGTTTGCAGACTGCATGTTTAGTGTGACGACTCACAGTGTTCCTTGTCGCGCAATCGGCCTTCCCGTTTGCGCAATACCATGCATGGGGGCAAGTATCACCACCACGCGCGGGGTACTTTGTGGGGGGACGTCATGGCTGTACTATGCGCCTGTTATCAGATTCCCGCAGGCGATCAGAGAACATGGATCTTAGTCTGGACCTACACAAGATGTGAGTGTGTTATGCTGTGTGATAAGCTACACGTAGCGGGTCAGGATCTGCATACAGTGCATGGAAGGTGGTGTGGGAAGGGGAAACGTAGATTCGGCGACGGAGTTCCTCCGCGCTAGTATGACGCGCCGGCACGTCCAAGGTGACAACACGGGATCCACGTCAACCGAGGGGAAGAAGTCTGGAGTTCGGTAGTCATTATTTATTTATACCAAGAATCTATGACCTTGTGTTTGGTGCACATAATCTTGATGTAAGCACCAGCAATGCACAATGCAGAGCAACGCAGTAGCAAGACGGCGGAACGTGGTCTACTTCCACAGCTTGCTCAAACTGGTCGCCTTGTCGTCGTGCTTGTTCAGCACCTTTGCGGTGGCCAGATCAAAGTCCTCCTGCGTTACGTGCACTCTCCTCTCCCTCAGTGCGTACATGCCGGCCTCGGTGCACACACCCTTGAGCTCGGCTCCTGAACATCCGTTCATCTTCTCGGCAACCTTTGTCAGGTTGATGCCACGCGTCAGGTTCATGCTTCTAGAGTGAATGCGCAGAATGTCGGCACGGGCTTCGACGGTTGGCGGCGGGAACTCGATCTTTCGGTCGATACGTCCGGGTCGTAGAAGGGCGGGGTCTAGAATGTCCAGTCGGTTGGTTGCCATGATAATCTTGATGTTCTTGGTGGGCTCGAAACCGTCGAGCTGGTTCAGCAGCTCCAACATGGTTCGCTGCACCTCGGAATCACCACCTGAGCTTCCCTCGACTCGACTTGATCCAATGCTGTCGATTTCGTCCATGAAGATGATGCTGGGTGCGTGTTCTCGTGCCATGACGAAGAGCTCGCGGACCATGCGACTGCCTTCACCAATGTACTTTTGCACCAGCTCGCTACCAGACACGCGGATGAACTTGCAGTCAGCGTGGTGGGCGACGGCACGCGCAAGCAGTGTCTTTCCTGTACCCGGTGGGCCATATAGCAGCACACCCTTGGGCTGAGCAATACCGAGCGACTCGAAGAGTTCGGGATGTTGCAGACCCAGCTCGATGACTTCCTTGATCTCCTTGATCTGCTGGTCCAAGCCACCAATCATGTCGTATGTGCTGTCGGGCACCTTCTCGACCATCATGAGGGAGACGAGGGGATCGACGGACGAGGGAAGCAGCTTCTCGAGCTTGTACGAGTCGCTGAGCAGGGTGACGCGCTTGCCGGCGGTGAGTTTGCTGATATCGACGCTGTCGGCGACATCGACGACTGGCTCGATTAGTTGTGGCTCTCGCTGTGGCGCTGGGCAGGCAGCGACATACCGTATTTGCCTTCGGGGTGCACCTTTACAAGCACCTTCTTGGTGCCCATGACCTTGACCACCTCGCCGACATAGGACCCCGGCTGCTGTAGGAGGCCGAGCTCTTCTCGCAGTAACCGCACTCTTGAGTTGTAGTCGTTGCGCTGGGCTTCGAGTCGTCGTAGCTTGGCCTGGCCCTGTATGATCTCGAGCTTCATCGTCTCGATCTTGTTGTGGAAGAAGGTGTCGAGCGCCATGGCTGTGGCGGGCGCCGGCGGCGGTATTTGGGCTGATGTGCTTGACTGGAGCAGAATTTATATCTGCCGGCTTTGTCTAGTCAAGGGCGATAGAGAAAGTCGGGCCAAGGTTGTGGGAGAGATAGTGATGGCGTAGGCGTGCGTCTGCTTTGGCTTGCATGTTGACGCTGTGACGGCCGCCGCTGGAAGCTTCTCGGATCAAGGTTAGACCGATGCACCGGACGGAGGAGCCGCACGCGCGCTCCCAAGTCGCGTCACCACCCGTCACTTGTACGAATCCGCTAAACAATGTCATTCATTCTACCGTAACCTCATACGTGGGGAATTTGTTCGACTGTCATCACGCGGCACTCTTCCGCTTTCTGCCAAGAATAAATACTCGCTGAATCTAAAACTTCCACCGTCCTAGACCCTCAAGACGCTCTCTTGGCCCGCACTGCCGTCTTCTGTCGGGGCGCTGATACGGCCTTGTTCCGTTGCTCAAGGACCACCGAAAATGCCTCGCGATTCATGGCATAGTTGACCTGCGTACTCTCGTCTTCGGCGACGTTGTCATGAATCTTGAGATGGTTCACGTCTTTCCAAAGGTCCTCTATAATTGCAGCATTGATCTGAAGAGCCTGGTTGCGCGCTATGTTGCGTGTAATAATGCGCTCCGTCTTGACCGGCAAATCTCGTGACACCACCTCAATATCATCAACAAGCGTCTCGTCTCCGCTATCTTCGCCCTCGCCATTAGCTTCGTTGCTCAGAGCCTTAAGGTCCGCAAGAGTCAATGGCACAGTGCCATCATCTGCCATTGTCAGTTGGTACAAGGGAAACACGGGCAGCTAAGCACTCACTTGATCGACGTCGGCCCTTCAATAATTTCGCGATTTTGAGGCCCTCGCAGTTATGGACGTGCTCCCTTAAATACTCATCAATTCGCTGTATCGCTTCAGCATTGACCACGGCTTCTTTCCCTATGGTACGTATCACTCCGACATGGGCGACTTGGATCCGCAACACAAGCATCGTCTTTACTTGAACCAACTCATCCATAATGTCACCCAGTTTCTTCTCGTCTGCCGAGCCAGACGTCAGCTGGCGTGCAATCTGATTCATCTTACTTGTCATCTTCGGATCCAGGTTCTCAAGCAATTCGGCCAGCCTGACTTGAACGCCTTGCAGTCGGACTAGTTCTGTAGCCACAGTAGGAATTTGCAAGTCTTCCTCATCGTCTATAATACCGATGATCGCTTTGATGCTTTCGAGTTCGCTACGGTGTCGAGTCAAGACCTCAGCCAGAGCTTTTTGACGACTATACGCCCTGCGAAGGCGATCGACAATTCGGAAGGCTTGTTCTACGAGTTGAGTGGTAGCTTGGATGGCGGCAAAAACAGCCAATACTTCAGCCTGGCTTTACACTTTAGCTTCATCACTTGTCCAAGGGAAGACTGTTTACCATGGTGTTCAGCGTGTGGATTATGGGTTGGTTGATCAAGGCAGCAAGGCCAGAGATTGCGCTGACAGCTCAATGGGTGGGAGACTACATTTATGTCCAGCTGAGCTCGCCGGAAACGTCTTTGGGGCGCAGTGTTGATTATGAGTCGACCGTAATTGCAGTTGGTCTGGTTCGCAGCATGCATGCAAGATCGCAGCCATTGATTCGTCATCGCGAAGCGATCCTGCAGCCATAATGCACCCCAAGAGAAACTCAAGTTCATGCTGCTGTTGGCATCCAATAGTAGTCAACATCTTTCTGAGGGGTGCGGTCCTGCGCTGACAATATTTATGCTTGATACCACAGCCTACCAGGGTCCGGAGCGACAAGAAGGTATGCGTCGCGCGCAGATCAAACTGCTGCGGCTTTTGCTCGCCCTTGTCCGTTCAGCTAAGTGTTGACTGAGTCAGCACCAAAAAGGAGATCGAACCGACTATCCTTGACAACGTAGAAGCGACATATGGCGAATTCTTCTTTTCCCTCTTGCGAGTAGCGAGCGAGATCGACATAATCATTGGTGGGCGGAAGGTGAATTCGATCCGAAGTAGTCTCCATCGTAAACGAAGAACCGCTGTACACTACAAGACTTAGACGGCGCACAATCTTGTGTGCAATGAAATTGTTCAAAATGGTGGGTCGAAATATGGCGCGAACCACATGACGGGTGTCACTCGTGCTTGAGTTGAGAGTTAAATTCTGGCCTTGGAGGACACATCTATCCGATGTCTTTTTCTGGTAATTGTTAGGAACCACTGTGTACCAATCCGCACTGACTGCTGCTTACTGGCAATTGTACAGTAAATTTCCCGGACACTTTCGACGAAGATGGAGTCTTGAGTACTTTGCTCTTGTTCGGCACCTTCGCCGCGCATCTACTCGGTAGTGCTGATTCGTTCCCAGACGAGACTATCTCTATACCCCAGCCGCACTTGCAGTCTGGAGATACAACCAGAGTCTTGCTTGTATTCGTTAGGAGCGTGCTCTGTCGGGCGGAGTGGGGGTTCGACTTACAAGTTAAGATTATAGACCTTATCTGCCACAGGCCCGTTGATTTGAACAGCATTGCCGCTGGAGATGTTTCGGCTAACGGACGTCGCTACTACCATAGCTTGTATATCCTGAGAAGTACAGCTAGGAGAAGATATCATTGACATGATACGATGGTGTGCTAACAACGCCCTCCGAACCACGTCGGCTTGGACGAGGTTATTCACTGTCCTCGTAGACTCGGCTCTTGCGGTTGAGGGAGGCTGTGAAGATGTGATTGGAACAAGCCTCTTGTCAGCCGGGCGGGGTACGAAAACGCCATGACCGGTGTGCTGAGGGTTGCATATGACCATCCAAGGTTTGATGGATGGTGTTCCACAGCCCTGTATTGACCTGCAGTTCCGGTCAACTTGGAACGGCAAAGCGCAGATCCAAGCGAACGATTGTCTTGAATATCGATGGATCGATAAGCGCTCCTTGGCTCTTGTGCACGTCTTCGGTCTGCGCCTCATCATTTTCTGCCTTGTTGCCAGGCTCGTACTACACGCAATGCGCTTTGCAGGATCGTCAATCTCTCACCTTCTCACGCCACAGCCATTATGAGCTACATTGCTTGAATGCGCCTGGGCTAGCGCTGCTCTCCGCAGCCATCAGAACCTCGTTCATGCGACGCAAGTAAGCCCCACTCACATGCGGTCCGGTCGCTTCGACTGCGCATCATGTACCACTTATACGGCACACATCAGCTAGTCTCGAAGCTGGTGAAAGAGAGTCCTGACAAAGCCGTTGATATCCTCACTAGATGTTGCGCAGACAGTAAGGTGCTCGAAGAGATCAACGCATATCTCTTGCAGCCAAAACCAACGCAGCGCGAGGTTCCTGCTCTCCTACCAGGCGGACTCGACATAACATTCGGTTCACCTGCTTCGCCGTCTGTAGATAGCTCGGGTCATGCTGGATCCCCTCTGCATCGTCAAAGGGTGGCTCGCGGCCCTTCCTCAAACTCAACAACATATCCCCTCAGTCCACCTAGGTCAGCGTCATCAGTAACCTCCCATTCCACCAGAAATGAGATCTCCACGGGGGAGTATATACTACTTCTTCTCTTCGGGGGAACTGAGGTTGAGGAACACCTGGTCCGTATGAGACTTGCGCCGACGAGATACAGTGTGATACGTGGAGACATCGTCCAAAAACGCGGTCTTGATACCATGTGCACATTAGTTCAACCAGATTTTAACGAAGTATATGTGCCTAGTCGCACAGCCGCGGGATTCGACCTAGTACCCACCTCTTGCTCAATAGAGCTGACCTGGCGCCGACCACGGTCCGACTCTACGCACAACACCATATTCTATCTAGTGCCACAAGAAGCACTTGACACGGACCTTCTTCTTGGTTGTGAGGACTCTGGTGAAGGCATTCCAGGTTTGTATATACATATTTGCTATGGTCAAGGAAGATCCTTTGGCTGATTAGATGCGCTCTTCGACCAGACTATCAGCCTACTATTGTTCCCAAATCGCAAGCTCGACAGAACCCACTTCATCAAGAATACAGGCAGGACATGCGTCCTCCAGCACCAACACCACCTTCCGTATCGTTTCACCGTTCAGCAATGACTCACGGCGGATCCGCTCGCGCAAGCCCCGTTCATCCTCAAAACGAGCAATACCATCCACATCATTTGGTAGAGCCTTTGATTTCTCGACAGCGGACATATGGAACAGCAGTACAAAGTCAACAGCCTTCACCAGCCCCTACGGTTCTGGGCTCGCACATCGAGCACCCACAGCCTCTTCGACCAAACATCGCTGCAGCAAGCCCTGTCCAAGACACCGATCCCAACAAAAACGCTGGTAGAATCAGATTGAGTATCTCATGGGACGTGACCACTTTCAACGTATGGCTGGATTTGAACGCACCTTGCGATGCTTTCTACAGAGCCTTCCAACAGCAGGCCGCAAAGCAGCGCAAGAGCATACTCGACCGAGCTACCATTACAATACAACTGAAGAATGATAGAAACATGCCAGACGAGGAAGCCCGCCCCCTCTCACTTGCCGAAGATGACTTGGAAGCAGACTGGGAAATGACTACTGAATGGTTGGAGGCAAATAGAAGGGACAAACCGCCTCATATCTATGGTGTGGTAGAGATGGAAGAGGGGTGAATGTTTGCCCTTCCCTCTGGACCTTCGGTTCAGAAATGCATGCGATAAGCCCTCCATCGAGTGTTGCTTGAGGCCACGAGCGCTCTTCAAGAAGCCATTGTGACTTCCGTCACTACCGAAGTATTGAATGGAGACTTGTACTCTTCACATACTACATATTCAGGAGAACCAAGGTCAGTGTCAGGATTTGAATCCGATCAGAGATATACAAGGTCTAATGAGCAACAGCTAGAGACAAGGAGTCCAGCGGCACGAATAGAAGGCTGACGCTCGAGCTGAGCAAGACGGAATAAGTTTTAACCATATATGAATCTTTCGGACCAATGTAAAGATCCATTTACATCTTCGGACACATTAATTACCACCTGCAACTCCTAGAACAGTCAACTCACTCCTCCCTCGCGGTGCACAAAATTGATCAGACTCTTACCTCAATAGGAATAGCGACCTTCAGGCAAAATGACTGAGACTCTGTCCTTCCAACCCTACGTTCCATGAAGTTGACGAAAGAATAATAACATATTAAGTAGAAACAATCTAGTCTATAATCTTTTACAATTCTCTAATTTCAAGTGTGGAAGAATTCGCAGTAGGAGAAAGATGTAGTGCTTAACACGCAGAAACTTCAAGATTCTAGAGCATCAAGTACATCGCAGGCCTCTTCACTATTGATTGGCATTGCCATACTCGATCTTTGCTCAAAGGGCGTGCCACTAGTGCTGTTTCATGAATGACATCATGTACTTCCCTCTTTCGGTAACGATCGTCATCCCATCATTCGCTCTAGAATGACTAACAGTCTGCTTAATTGCCGTGCCGCTTATTCCTGTGAGGCACTTGTGCAATAACAAGCGTTGGCCCTGTCCTAATTCCATCATCTAGACCTCTGGTTGTCAGAAAAGACAAAGATTGAATCATTAGATCCAGTCAGTTGTTCCATAATGACAAGCAACGGGAGAGGCGACGACATATCCCTTCGCGAGCCACAGCAGTTGAATACAGGCGAGCAAGAACTGAACACTGGCGATAATGCCGAGCAGAATGCGAGACAGAGGAGTTTGGACAGGAACAGAGTGTTTGCTCTCGTAGGTTCTGCATTATCGCAGCTACCGATATGGGGTATGATACCTGGGATATCTGCGTTCAGGTAAAGTGATCTCACATGTATAGGCTTCGCCATGAGCTATGGCGTTCTTCAAGAATACTACTTCGATAATTGGACACTGAAAGGTGGTCGCAAACTTACCGGTATCATCGGCACGACATCCAACGGCGTCATGTACCTGTCCATGCCTTTATTGTTTGCTTTGTTCACCAAACGCTGGGCCCGTTATCGCCAGAGCGCAGCTATCTTGGGTGCTCTACTCGCATGCGCCGCCTTTATCCTATCGTCCTTTAGTAGACATGTTTGGCATCTCATTGCGACGCAGGGAGTACTAGCAGCATTGGGTTGCGCACTCGTCTATAGCCCGACCACACTATCCCTTGGCGAATGGTTGGTCAGATCTTTGTACGAACTGCTTGCGAAGCATACACTGACTTCGTACACCAATATCTAGGTTCAACACCCAGAATCGAATTTGCAACCGAGCTGTAGCCTACGGCATCTGTCTTTCCACGAAAAACATTGTAGGATCAGTTTGTCCGTTTATCTTCCGAGGGCTCCTCGATCGCTACGGTTTTCGAACTACCTTGATTGTATGGGCCGCTATCACATTTGGAATTGCCGTTCTTTCCGTCTCAATGATAAAGCCACCGCGTTCGAGCGTCGACACAAGCACTACTCGTGCGCGAAAAATTCCCTGGCACTTCCTTAAACATCAAACTTTCTGGGTCTATAGTATCGCAACTCTGCTGCAGAGCGCGGGTTACGGTATTCCGCAAACATACATCAGCGAGTATGCACGCAATGTGTCCCACCTGTCACACGCCTTCTCAGTGCTCCTCATCACTCTGATCAATATACCCGGCATTTGCTCCTCCACCTTCTTTGGCTTTTTGAGCGACAACAAATACTTTCACCTTTCTGCCCCGACTGTTACCGTAATGTCTGCAGTCAGCTCCGCTCTATCTGCATTTTTGTTCTGGGGATTAGCGGCCCAAGGGGGTATACCCTTACTAGTGTTGTTTGCCATCACTTTTGGCTTCTTCGCTAGTGGCTACAGCGCAACCTGGGGAGGAGTCATAAATGACATAGAGAACGACGCAGCGCGAAGGAACGAAGCCGTTGACAGTGGGGTGCTTTATGGCTTACTCAATGGTGCCAGGGGTATTGGATACGTGGCGGGTGGGCTTGTCAGCGTGCCTCTCATTCAGGCTGGAAGTACGACGTCAGTAGGGCGCTTGGGATATGGGACGACTTACGGCCCCCTTATTATATTTACCGGTCTTTCATTGTCCTTTGGTGGTCTAGGACTGGCCTTTCGGCGAAAGTAAAAGCAACCACCACATTTGCAAGCAAGGTATTGCTGGGGATAAATAGCTTCAGACAAGCGATCAGAGAAGACGGATAACGCAAGGAACATAGTTGGTTTAGTAAAACAGCTCGTCGGGCAGCGTATCCACTGCTCTAAGTACTTCCTGCCATGAGGGCAAACGTCTTATCAGCCATAAGGTATCGTACAAGAAGGCCTACAAACTTGTTGGAGCTGCGCCCGATGGAACAGCGCCAGAAGGCATAGCTCCGCTCGGCATGGTTCCATTACCTCCCGCACCGCCTTCACCACCCATATCACTAGCATTCTCATTCGCAACTCCTCCACCCGCTTGATAGTCCGCAGCAACAGCATAGTACTCATCGTCAGTATAATCAGCTGTAGAGTTGATGCCGATCTGGATCCATGCCATCAAGCCATCTTCCACGTCATCCCCAAGATACACGTACTCCGGGAAGGGGTCGAAGTCATTGTCGGCCTGAACGATAGACCACATATCCTCATCGTTGCTAGTATATGCCTGGGTGTTGGAAGCATAAGGCTCCGTAGCTTCGACAGCGGATATGAGGTCTTCAGGCCAGAAGAGCTGGCCAATGTGTGTTACGGCACCATCGGAGCCGGTGGTGCCGTTGGAGCGAACGGTTACGTTGCTCTTGACGAGGAGGTGCGTATGTATTGCACGACCCTCGTAGTGGCCTGGGAACAGAGTTTCAAAGGCTACAACACCATCCGCATCAGTCTCTTGAACTCCGCGCAGGAAAGTAGTGTTGAGACCGCCTTGGCCGGACTCGACACCGCTGTAGTAGCCGGTAGAGTTGCAGTTCCATACGTCAACGTAAAGCTGTGGTACAGGCTCACAGGTGCTTACGTCGACGTATTGGACTTCAAGATAGAGATCGATGCCCTTTTGGTCCTCGACAACATTCTTGCGGATCATTTCTCCAGTGACATAATAGGGGCCGTCGGTGACTTCAGGAGAGAGGATGCAGGAGGTGTTTGCAGCGAAGATGTCACTGGCGAGAGTGTTGGGTGTGTAACTCATCACACCCGTCATATTGTGATTGACGTTCTCGAACTCCTGGAGGAGGGCTAGGTCGCGACGGTACTTTTTGGACTCTGTGGGTTAATGTCAGCAACGCCTACGGGTACATGACGGTGCTATTGACGAAGGACTTACTTGCAGTAATACCACGCTTTTCGCGAAGAGCATCTAAGGTGTTTGCACGACGTGCCTCCGCACGACGCATCAAGCTGCGGTGCTTGAGAGTGTCTTGACACTCGGCCAAGGAACGTTTTGCCGCTGCTGCACGCAGACCACGAGCGTCAATCTCACGCTTGATCTTGACGTGATCATGCTTCTCGCCAGGATGAGCAGCTACAGTGCTAATGAAGGATGTGGCTGCAGCAGCACCGGCGAGGATGGAGGCAATGTTAACCATGTTGGAATGTCAATTCCAGAAAAAGATCAGGTAAATAGTGTAAAGCGATGAATGCAAAGGCAAAGAATCTTGTGCAGCCGATATAAGACGTCAAATGATGATGATAGAAAGCAAGATGCCGATTTGAACCTCACTGCCTTTATACATTCCTTTCTTCCGTCCTGCTGTCCTTTTGCTTTCGGAAATACTTGCCGTAAACGCCTCGTTGCGAGTAGAAAAGCTTCGTCACGATACATGACGCGGCGGTCAAAGGCCCTAAGCCTCGCCATAGCCCAGAAAAGCTTTTCGAGATCTCCCAATGTGGACGTGTAAAAGGGCTTAACCCACATGGTGTAGCTTCGCCACCAGGTTGACAGGCCTGGAACACAGCATTGTAGACCCAATCGTACTAGTGTCATGCGTCATGTTGTACAATGCGATTCTGTCTATGTACAGTTGGCTTGGCTGCGTACGTACGCTTAGGAGCGTTGAAACGAGCTGGCGGACAATTTGGCGCAAGGACCGCGCCCAGGCGGGAAGCGCCGAACTTAGCGTCGGAAGAGATTTGAACTAGGTGTAATCAAGACTGTTTTATTGGCCTCTGCTAGTGTGGTCATGGGGATGTGCGTACCAGTCGTCGCAAGCTTCGTCAAAAGTTCTTGTTGGTGCTTAGGTTTCGAGTCATGCGCCAAACAACAGGATCAATCTCTTGCGCGTCTATAATCTTATGTTGACTACGCCTCAGCTCACATCACAGTGCTACTGTTACCTGCTTCCCCAGGCCTTTTGCATCAAAGCCTCTACCGTGATCGGATGTACCTCTGGGAAGACATCGTTCCTCAATCCCTCTCCTGTGATATCCATAATGCCTTTGACGGCCATGACACCAAACTCAGCCATCATGGTGCGAGTAGCATCTTCGGGAAGTCCATAAGAACCCTCAGGTTGCTTGAACAGCGTCGCTTGACCCTGCTCCAACTTGTCGATGGGATCATAGGTGACTTCCCATTTTCCGCCTATGATTCCAGTTGTTAGCTTTGCTCCGGATGTCCATAATATGGTTGGGAAAGATGACTTACCAGTTACTCTCTCAGCAGTTTCCACGACTTTGTTCCATGTCAACTTGTCGCTAGCAAAAGCACTGAACTCGGGCCATCTCTTCTCCTCATCCAATAGAGCAGCAATGTACTTCGCAACATCTGTGGAATGCAAGAACGTGACTGACGCCTCGCCGTCGCCCGGGAGTGCCGCTTTCTGGTTGTCGAAATCAAGGGCATATTTAAAAGGCTTCATATTACTCTTGCAATGCGGCATGCCAAAGTAATCTGAGAACCAGCCGAACATGACACGTGTGAAGTCGAGATGAGAGCTGCGGAGTAAATCGGCAGCATCCAACCACCATTTCGCTGCTGGGTGAAATTCGAGGACTCCTGGGTGTGAGTAGTTGACCCCGTACTCGCTGGGCATAAAGCGCTTCACTGAGCCAGAATCGATTGCTGCTTGGATGAGATTCATCTGAGCTTTCGCACTTTCTTCAGTGAAAAGTGCCAACGCAGATATAACAACTTCGATGTTGTGTTTCTGGAGAGACTGCTTGACAGACGCTACATCCTCGTAGTCTGCTTCGATTACTCGTACAGACTCAAGTCCTGGTATCTTGTTAGCCTAGACTTTTGTTAGCCACTCTTCTGCAAGGTTGATAAATTCCTGTATTTGTACCTTTCGGCTCAAGATCAGAACTTCGTGTTTGTCTTGACCAACAAGTTCTTCAATGATTGTTCGGCCCACGCCACCGGTACCTCCAGCGATTGCTACAGTGACCATATCTGGAAATTGATCGAATACGTGCAATGGAGATGACTTGTTGTGATCTACGAGAATAAGCGGCGATTGACGATGTCGATTGAACAGAAGCGAAGTGATTTATGGCCGTCTAAGCACTTCACAGCTTGACTTATATGGTCAGCCAGTGGAGAAAATCCGGTCGGAAGCCCCATCGCTGTACTATGCGTGCTGTGAATCAGCCTCCAAGTATCTTGGCGCGGCGGCACGAAGTTGATCCTAGACGTTGATGGAAGCTGCGCCCTTCGTCGGCATCGAGTTGGAAGCGGGGCGTAAGGACTTGGCGCCTCAGCTGTGATACATGACATCAGTTCTACAAACTATGAAATGGTTGACCCAAGTACTGATGATTGGATTGCGATACCCTGGCGGACATACGGACATTATGAAAGTGCGTAAAGCAGGAGTGTCAGCTTCAGGACGCGTTGGGTACATCTTGCTAGCTGTATGCAGGCGTAGTCTATTGTGTAGAACCGGAGTCCGCGGATCGCCGATGTTTGTACCGTCAACTTAGGCTGAGTCGACGGGTGCTCTTCAGGCGTTCAGCCAAGTACTTTTTTCCAATTACTTCCCGACTTTGCGTATTGATGACAAACTGCCATGCTTCCTGCAGCGCGATCCTTCACGCCAACGCTGCTCATGATACGTACAAGTCTTCTTAAAACCTGTCGATTTGTCATATCCCGAACAGTTCCCTATGTTGCGGGGACTCTGCCAATGCCTTGGAGCTACTGGAAAGCTCCATCAATCATACCTCACAAGCTGCGCGTGTTACATCGAAAAACATCTGATCATGGTGTACTGGACACGATCAATGCGAAAGCAGAGTGAAGGACAAAGCCTATAACGCGCGCACGCGATATTACACACCGCAGAAAGGATTGCCATCCAGGTGCAGTGCGCCATGGCCGTCAATTCTTTCAAGGAGCAGGTCGGCCATCCATTTTGAGAACCATTTGTTGCTTTAACGTTCCTACATATCATTCAAATCGACGGTGTCACTACTAGAAGTTTATATTGATCCCCTGGAATTCAATTGTCACTGTGAAATCTGTGTCTGTATTATCCATAAATACTAACCAACATGGTCAGCTTCCACTTCCTCGTATTAGTCAACTCTCACAGTCTAGCATCCCAGGTTCGAGAGATCATTGAGTCCTCATAGCTCATTTCAGCGAACGCGGATCTCCACCAGTCAACATGCTGCCATTTCTTCTGACAGCCTTCTTGAAGGACAGGATCCTTAACAAGACCTTCTTCGTCTGCCTTTTTACCTTTATCTCTCTCATCATTTATCTGTTTATCCTCCTGGGTTGCATAAGCAAGGGCGTGGGAATCGAGAATCTGTATTGGGTCATGATATCGCAGAACGGGACTGCTGGTCAGCTACCAGTCGAAGTGAGGATAGGGTATTTTGGTACGTCTTTGCCTTGGTCTGGCTCTCTGAGCGTGGAAATTGCCGCCAACATTGATTTGAGAGTGGCTGACATACCACAGGCATGTGCGCATCCTTCCCACCAAATGCCACAATGCCAGATGACAGACAGATTCCTGCACCATTAGAATGCTTCCCAGGTGATACACCACCGGGCCTTTCCAGCATACCGATGGAGCATCCTGTCCTTTCTTCTGCGCTGACACTCCAGAAATCCGCTCTATATCCTCTCCCTGCACTCGCTTCATCCCTCTACCTTGTGTCTCTGATATATTATTTCATCTTTCGCGAACGAGGCGGCCGTAACGAAAAGATTTCCAAGCTCCTCTTAGGGATCAGTGCAGCGCTAGGGGCTGCTGGAGCATTGTGTGCCATGTCTAGTGCGAAGGCGTTGCATGAAATAGGAATTTTGCTAGGACATCATGCGGTTGGTGGTGGAGAGGGCGAAGTGACGATTCAAGCCGGGAGTTGGGAGGGAGTTGGACTCTGTGTTGCAGCTGGCATCCACTTTTTCATTGCAATATATGCGGCATGTGGAATGCCCGTTTTTGGTCTGGGGTTTGGTAGGGGATACATCGGAAAGAGGTTTCTGTAGAACTGAACAAGATGGATCCCTCTGTAGTAGAATAAAGAGATGCGTGCTACGATGGCAATATCGGTGTCCTGTGCATGCAATCAGTAGTACAGAGATTTGTAACTCGCGTCAAGATCCAAATGTGTGCAACATGGGTGACCGAAGATTCCGGGGGTTGGATTGAAGAATATCAAATACTGTCGAGCCCGTTCCCGAGTGTGCCCGCAACACCATGAACGCCTCGCCAAGGAAACCCTCGTGCCTAGGGATGCCGTTGCGTTTGTAACAGAGAAAGCGCTTAGAACTGATCGAGGGTCATGCTCATAGAGACGTCGGTGTTCTCAACCATCTTGGTGAACTCCTCGAAGCTGATCTTGCCGTCGCGGTCTAGGTCGGCTTCCATAATGGTCTTGTCGACGATCTACGTGCACGTTAGACTGGTGCGCTGTGCAGCTACCAGCGCGCCTCATTGTACGTACCTGTTGCAGCTGCTGGTCCTTCAGGTTGCTTCCAACCATCATCTTCAGTACTATGAAGAGCTCGCCGTTGCTGATGTAGCCGTCGCGGTCAATGTCGTATACGCGGAATGCAAAGCGCAACTTCTCCTCCTTGTTTCCCTTGCTGCTGAAAGCCGAGAGACCGGAAACAAACTCCTGGAAGTCGACGTCGCCGCCACCGTCCTCGTCGAAGATGGCGATCATGCGTGTTGCGAGAGGGTTGGAAGAGATCTGGGGGAGGGCTAGGAACTCGTCGCGCTCAATGGTGCCAGAGTTGTCCTGGGCTGGAATTAGCCAAGCGGTCCAGAAGGCCTGCACATGCTTGGTCGCGCACCTTGTCCAGCTTCATAAACCGCTTCCTTAGGCGGTCAACCTCCTCGCGGTCGACTATGTGCTGTTAGCAAGCATTTCTCAGCCCTGCCAGCGCTCTGTCGAGCACGCCGTCGCTCTGGCTGCCTACGTACAGTTGGACCCGGAGGCTATGTTGTCGAGCAGCCCGGACTGTTGGTTACCCATTTCGGCGGTTGGTCTGGGGTAAGAATTGCGTGGTGGAGGATGTTGGCGTGGCTCAATGTCGTGGGGCTGCTTGGTCGCCGCCGCTAGGGTCCAGCTGCGCTAAAGGCAGGCACCGTTCCCCGACGTCAATCGCCAAGACTGTACATTCACTCGGGCGCATCTGCTGCCTCCAACACTCCTGTCGAGCTTCGCGACGTAGCAAGACAGCAGACACGATGGAGTCGGATATCCCCACTGAGATTGGTTCCGTGCTTCAAGGCGCATCCATCAACCGACGCCCATCCGTACGGCACGACGCGAACCCATCGACGGCCGCATCCAAGAAGCAGCCCGTCACCCTCAATCAACACCCAGACCCCGACAGCTCCGAAGTCGGCGAAGATGAGATCCCAGTCAGCGTGCTGGACCCGGTACCGCGACAGAAGACGATGCCCCCACTGCCAGACCTGCGGTTTGAACAAAGTTATCTGAAGAGTATCGAGCAAGCAGAGGGCTGGCAGGGCGTTTTATGGATCACACTGCGGGATCAGGTACGGCTACAACAAGGCCCAAAACCCGTCGATCCTCTGCTAACCTTTAGCACAGGTCATAATGTGCTTCGCCCAAGGCGTGCTGTGGACTCTCGTACTCAATGGCTGGCGACATTGGAACCGTTCGGCCAAGTTCAGTGGACACGGCGTTGGTGCGCGGATAAGGAGATGGTGGTGGGGAGTCAACAATTGGTCCATACCAAACGCAAAGTCCAAGTTGAGGGACACCAAGTTGGCAAACAACGTAACGGAGGTAAGTGTGGCCTTCTTGAAAGTCTGGCGCCGAACGCACTTCTGGAATGCGGACTATACGCTAACAGTCGCCTAGTACTATGAGGGAGAATTCTCGAGTGCGGCTCAAGATTGAATACCACGATTCATAGCATTTGTTATGCCCATATCTGCGTCTGAATGTCATGGAAGAGGGCAGACCCTTCGATGGTTGTGAGGTCACTTCAAACACCGCACTTGGCCTTCTCAGTTTATGCTGATCATCAGAACCGTCCTACTAATGCGTCCCAGTCGCCTTATTCGCATCTAGGCATCATCGATTGTCACAAGAGGGTTACAGCAAGGGCATTTCTTCCAGTTGACTGCATGTATCTGTTCCACCCTCCATCTCATACCGTCACATGATAGGCCTATTACGACTGCGGATATTTGCTACGTTACGGGGTTCGGTCGATTAGTGATACTACTCCGCAGAAGCTAACAATGTGGTGTTTGTGCGCTTGCTGCGTCTGGACTAGACGTACATGTGGCACAGCTCTCCTTGCATACGCGGGGGTACTCAACAACAACCTCTGTACATTCTCCAGATCTGGTTTTCGCAAGCTTTTTGACGTGGTCGTTCTGATGTTCCCGTTGGCTAACGTTGATCGAGTAACGTGCGGAGTGGTCGACTTACTACAAGAATGAGGACAAGTTTCGGCAATGTTCTCGCCCGCATGGGGCGGGCGATGGCGACCCAACCTCGATTCAATACAAATGACAACATATTTCGAGGATGCTATATGCAACTCCGACAAGCATCAGCCGCGGGGAAGAATCCTGAGACAAATTTAACACGTGGAAAAAGCGCTGCGCGCCTACCAACACCAACCTCCAAGCCCAAGGTGCGCACGAAACATTCAAACAAGTCCCCTTTGAAAGCAGCACACACTCGCCTTATACCACCCATAGCGAAGAAAGTTGACATTGTCGTTCGACCTTCTATTTCCAGCCGCTCTGATCCAAGGAGCACGAAGGAACGTTGTCAGAGCGGTTTTCACAACACGGTCCTAGACGATTTGGTTTGGCCCAGAGACAGCCAGATAATCAGGTTGCCCTCAGGAGCTCAGCTGAGTTACGCAAGACTCGGTCGTCTGAAAGAGGTAGGACAATGCTGGGTCATATTTCATGGCACTCCTGGTAGCCGACTAGGGGTGGCAGCCATACATGGTTATGCTGAAACCCATGGCGTCCGCATCATTACTATTGACCGACCGGGCTATGGCTACTCTACAGTTCACGGTAGAGGGATCTTAGGCTTCATGCAAGATGTCGAGCATTTGCTCGATTACCATGGCATTCAAGAGTTCAAGGTCTATGGTGTGAGTGGTGGAGGACCATATGCGTTAGGGGCAGCATTCCATTTCCCAAAAAGCAGGCTGAGCAAGACATATATCATGTGCGGCTCTAATCATCCCGACTTTGCAAGCACGGAACTATCTTTGAGAACGAGACTGACGACTTGGCTCAGAGGCAGAGCGTTTTTCTTGTATTCATCTGGCGGCAATTTCAATTACTTCCTCGACAGAGACGTTGTGAGTGCCAAAGGTAACGAGACAAAAATTCTGCGCGCTCGTTTGAACTGGCAAGAGGCGGCAAGGCAAGGTCATGAGGGATACAACAATGATCTCAGACTCATGGTACGACCGTGGGGGTTAGTGATGTCACCATAAGAATTGCATAGGAGTTCTGTACTGACTGCGCACACCAACATCTAGATTTGACTTGGAAAACATGGATGCCAATTCTATAAGATGGTATCATGGGACTATAGACACCAATGTATCACACGACGCCGCGAGAAAGACTGCAGAGATTGCTAATCGCTACAAGCGCAACATTGACTTCAGAGCATATGATGGCTTAGATCATGGGACCATCCAAAGCGAAAAGATTTGCGAGTGTTTAAACTGGATGTTGAAGTAAGCATCCTTAGGGGGTGACTATAGTAGTGATAGAAGGTTTTTGAAAAAGTGCAACTAGGTGTTTCGATCTTAGAGCGTGCGTCTATCATGTCGCGGCGTCGTTATCAGAATGTAGGACGAACTCTTGCTCAGTGACTTTTTATTTCAATGTATCCGTTATCACAGAGTGTGCATTCAAGATATGTACGGTAATACATGCGGAGGTTGGGATAGAGAAATGATAGTGCCCACTTGTAGGGTTGTTTTGATCTTGGGTACAACTTGTCGAAACGTAGATATGCATAATACACATCTTTTCTTATGGAACGACAATAATGCTACCAGAATAAAAGGCTTTGATTGGTCTTTGAAAGCGGCATACCGACGATCTGAACCTATAAGTGATTAGAGAGTACTTACCACTCCGGGAACTAGGGTGATGCTGGCGTCACGTGACTGCGCGCTTTAGCGTTGTGGCGCGTCGCCTCCCAAGACTTCATCATCGACCCCAAAGCATCCGGCTTGACGACATGCTACCCCACATCCAACGATCGAACAGATGAAGCCTTTCAAGCCGCTTACCCTCGCTCGCCCTAGATCAGAGACTGGTGAGCCACCGAGCAAGAAACGGAGAATCTTGTCCAACGCGCTTTCCTCTGGCAGTCGTCAACCTCTCAACACGCTCAATAATCCCGCGCCAGCACAGTTTCTGCCCCCGGGTCTCGACGGAAACTACTACACAGTATTATGGCGGAAATACACAACTAAGAAGAACAAGACGTGGGATGGCGATGGAGTGCTCGCTGTGACAGGTGGTTATGCCACGCTCACGGATAGCGAGACGGGAAAAGAGCTGGGCAAGGGAGTATGCAGCCGGCCGCTACTTCCAGGCTCGGCGCTGTCCGTTGGTGGCAAGGAGATTGAAATTGAAGGCCCCATCGACAAGGCGGACTACCTCGCTGGGCGCACTTTGCCAGGCAATGCTGCAGCCGCGCCTGTAGCTCAAACGAAGCACACCGAATCGGGATACAAGCCTCTCTCATTGGAAAAGAAGAAAGCAAGCAAGAAAAACAACGCTGCTGGTGATGGGGAGACTGTATCAGATTACAAGCCATCGGCCCAGCGCAAGCAACAATTCAAGGCCCCTCTCTTGTCGAATACTGTCATGCCTCAACGAAATCCATCGATTCCACAGCCACGTCACGACCCTCACGCGCCCAATGCTCTAGTCATGAAGCGGCCCAAGTCCTGTCCGACCGGAAAGCAGATTGTTGACGTTGTCGTCGACCCAGTCCTCAGCAAGCACCTTCGCGAACATCAACGCGAGGGTGTGCAGTTTTTATACGAATGTGTCATGGGCATGCGATGCGAGGGCGAAGGAGCCATCATGGCTGATGAGATGGGTTTGGGCAAGACATTGCAGACCATAACCTTGCTCTGGACGCTGATGAAACAAAATCCGATACACGATACCTCACCAGTCATTACCAAGGCCCTTATTGTATGTCCAGCTGGCCTGGTCGACAACTGGAAGCGCGAGTTTCGAAAATGGCTAGGCAACGAGAGAGTTGGTGTATTTGTGCTAGACGGAAAGAACAACAAGATCACCAACTTCACAATGGGCAAAGCTTATAACATCATGATCGTCGGATACGAGATGTTGCGTATCGTACAAGATGAGCTGAAGAAGGGCAGTGGCGTCGATATCGTGATTGCAGATGAGGGCCATAGGTTGAAAACCGCTAACAACAAAGCAATGCTTGCAATCCAGTCTCTCAATACTGAGCGGCGGATCATACTGTCAGGGACGCCATTGCAGAATGACTTGGGTGAGTTTTACACCGCAATTGACTTTGTCAACCCTGGACTACTCGGGCAACGAACGGCTTTCAAGCGTTCATTCGAAGTGCCCATCATGCGCAGCCGTCAGCCAGGGGCGAGTGAATCAGAGCTCGAAAAAGGAGAGGCACAATGGAAGGAGCTCGTATCTCTCACCAGTCAATTCATGATCCGACGGACAGCAGAGGTGCTTTCCAAGTACCTTCCACCCAAGACTGAGCACATTGTCTTCTGCAGGCCGACCAAAGGGCAGGCAGAGGCATATCGAGCAATACTGAATTCTCCGACATTTAGGATTGCACTAGGAAGTACGGATATTGCACTACAACTCATCAATGTGCTAAAGAAGGTCTGCAACAGCCCTTCTTTGCTCAAATCATCAAAGGATAATGATGACACGCCATCGGAAATGCTACAGTCGCTTCTCCCTCTTATACCGAGTAAAATTCTCAGCTCAAGTGCTTCAAGCGCGAAACTGCGACTGCTCGACAGCCTGATTCACCGAATCTATACTACCACAGAAGAGAAGATCGTCATCGTTTCGAACTATACTACCACACTGGACATGATTGAACGACTTCTTGTCTCGTTATCGTACACTTTCCTCCGTCTGGACGGTAGCACCCCGGCTTCCAAACGCCAGGCTCTTGTGGAGAAATTTAACAAGACTCCGAAAACTGCATCATTCGCCTTCCTTCTATCTGCCAAATCTGGTGGTGTGGGTCTCAATCTTATTGGCGCATCGCGCATCGTGCTATTTGATATCGACTGGAATCCTGCTACAGATCTGCAAGCTATGGCGCGTATCCATCGTGACGGCCAGAAATTACCGTGTAAGGTATATAGACTCCTTATTCAAGGCGGCTTAGATGAGAAGATCTATCAGCGCCAAGTTATGAAGATGGGCCTTGCAAATGCTGTTGTGGACAACAAAGCCTCTGCATCCTCTTTCTCGCAGGAAGAGCTTCGCGACCTTTTCCGGCTAGACGAGCGTGAAGGTTGCCAGACACACGACATACTCGGTTGTATATGTGACTGCAAGGGCTCACCGGAAATCAAAGCCGAGGAACAGGACGTGGCTGCCGAAGACAATGTCGATGACTCAGAAGAAGATCCCTACCCAACCCTTACAAAAGCAAGCCAGGTCAACATTGAAGAACAGGAAGCGAGGATCAAGGCTAGGCGCGCGGCGAAACTTCCCAAACTCAGGATGTTGATGGAATACCGACATATTGACACCAAGATACTCAAAGAAACGGCGACGAATGAGCAAGGCGGGAACGAAGAGGCAGGAGTCGTTGATGACATGGCGGTGGCGGTCGATGACGACGTATTCCTCGACGTCCTAAAAGAATCAGAATGCAATGTCGGCTTCCTGTTAACGAAGTCGACGTCTTAAATGCATCATATACATGGTATGAGAGAAAAAAAGATTCAAGACTTTTATATGCATAGCGTCGGAGTTCTGGTTCTAGATAGTTCACTCAGCACTCTTAGCCTCCAACAGCTTTTCGTATCGTAACGATTGAGAGACTGCTATCCAATTCTAAACTCGCTTCGAATATTCTGCATGTTAAAATGAAAGGCACAATCGAGTCCTTTCTCTATGCTAACACAAGTGAGTTGGTATGATCACACCGTGAGTGGCTAGATCGGTGGTAATGAGTAGGCAAGGACGAACGTGGACAGTCGGTTTAAGATTATGAAAAACAGCATATAGGATGGGTTGATTGGAAACCTTCAGAAACAAGAGAGAACCGGGTATACGCGCCGACATTATAACCTTTTCCATGAACACCATTCTACGCCATCCATGACAAGAGCGACGAGCGCGCGGATAACCAACCAATAGGAAAGTATAAACAAGAAGCGAAGAGCAAAAGAGCTGATAACTTTGAAACGACGAAAGAGTAGGAAATGACCACTAGAGTTCATATACCACCCATGTCCACCTCGTTGGACAGAAAATCCGCCTCTTCAAAATCGCTTCCGCAGCCTGCGCTAAGCCTACCCTCGATGTGTGATGCATTCACAAAATCCATGTCGATGTCATCGTCGCTGATTGTCCTCTGTACAGCTCTTCTCGATTTGGGTTGCGCGAACTGCCTCACCGGCGGCAGCATATTCAGTCCCGGAGGCGGAGTCTCGCTCAGCGGGCTGACAGGCACCTCGTCGACCTCAACACCCATACCCATGCCCTTTGTCGATGATGAGCCGAAGAAGAAGCTAGTGTCCAATGGCCTGACTTCATCTTCGTCTTGCCATGAGCGTTTCGAGGGGTTGTGTGGGCGTTGCGACGTGGTGGAGCAGCCACTGTCGGTGGAGGCTGTCGAGGAGAATGGCTGGGTGAAGGTTTCGGCAGGAAGAGGGAAGTAACTGGGTGGTGATGGAGTGGCGGTTGTGTTGTAGAGATGTGGGTTTGTTGTAGGCTGCTCAGCAAAGCCTCCAATCTTGTGCAGACCGCAAAACGGCAGCAGTTCTCGCTGGTGTTGAACTTGGTCTGGCACAGCTTCTCGGGGCGGCTTGACGGCCAATGTGGGTCTCGACATGGTGTTCTGAACCGAGGACAGTTCGGAGACCTTGTGCGTCTTGTAGCCTTCCGGCACACTCTTTCTGACTCTCATTCCGACGCTCAGCAAGCCTGCTTGCACCTGTCCTGGGATGTCGGGAGCGAGTCTCTCCCTGTGCTGCTGCTGCTGTTGCTGCTGATGTTGTGCAGCGCCTCGCGTGGTTTGGCGTCGCGGTCGGGTAATCGGATCTAGGCCCCGCAGATCGTCAATATCCTCGAAATCGTCCCGCACCTCAAAATAGCTTGTAATGCTGGGTTGGAACTTCCTCTTGCTGCGGTGTTCTTCTGCCGGCGCGTGGCGAGCTTGCATAGCGGGTGTCAAGTGGGTAAGTGTGCGAGAGAAGGGGGAGGGGGGGCGAGGTTGGCAGGCAGAGAGAGGCAGAATTATGCAGTCTCGCTGCGGTGGAGAGGGGATCTTTCTGATGCCGCTTCAATGCACGCTCGAGCCTTTGGGGGCTGAAGACGGACAAGGATCCGGGATGACAGGACGGGTGATCAATTTAGATGCTCGACGAGGAACGGCGGGTAGGTTTCGTTTTCTGATTCAGAGCCGATGGAAATAACTGAAGGCGGGAAAAAGCAAGAGGGACAGAAATGCTCGAGGGCCTGGCCGGATGACGGCAGTTGATGTGGATGAGGAGTCGTGACGCGACAGGCCGAACCAAGAGAGCCAAACGATGATCGTTGACCGGCTTATTCACGCGTTTCCCCACTGCACATCGCTCACTATGTAAGCTGTCGATTGTCTGAGATGCAGCGTCGTCTCCAACATTGTGCTGAAACCGCTACATACCATGTCTCATGATCAATGTCTTGGTGGTACAAAGACATTTGCTTGTCGCGCTTGCCCTCGTTGCTCCGCAACAACACCTGCATGCTGCCTTGTCCAACTTTCCAGACAGCTTTCTTCAGCAAGCATTGCCATCTTCCCAGAATCAAACAGCGCCATACATACGGCTCAGCGTGATTACGTTCTGGATACCGGCATGCCTTATTCCCGTTCACGCAAGCTTACGCACCCTCTACTCGACTCCAGGGCGATCGTCTATTGGATCTGCCGATCCTGATCTGGACCCAATTCCCCGCAATACCGGTGCACAATGCATCATTCAGTCCGGACTATGACGAAGATGCGAATTGGACGGAGAAAGTGGCCTCCCTTTGCCTAATAGTACATTGAAAGGAACACCCTTGTTCATAGTCACGTATAGACACCATTACACCGGTACGCCTTCCCTGTTAGGACACGCTTGCTGATAGAGATCCATACCCCAAATGCATCAAATCTCTCGACTTGCCACGTCCCATCAAGCGCTTGTTTGCTTCTTTCATCGTCCTGTCTTGCATCGGCCTCGCCTTTACGATGTAGGCACAGGAATGTTGCCCATCTCAACTTCCTTCCTTTGTTGCCTAGCTGCCCACTTATCCGCCATCCAAGTGATAACCGTAACAGCCATGCTTGCGCCTACAAGCAAGAATACAATGAGCGTGCCAATAAGCGCGAACTTGCTGGCTCCACAAAGCGTCTTGAAGTCTCCGTTTCCCATGCCAGCCGGCATAGCGATATCGCCCGGCAAATCCTGAGCAAGCGGTTGCGAGTTCTGCATCTTGCAGGTCCAGGTCTGGATGGTATCAACTTCCGGAGCGTTGTTGTTGAGCATGTGTGCCCAGATCGTCGTAATCAGAGTAAGGAGAAGAGTAGGAAGGAGAGTGGCGAGGGAAAGGAGGGCGCGGAGAGTGTACTTCTGGCGAAGGGCAAGCTGGTGCTTGTCAGTCTGCATCCCTACACGCAATAATGTTAAGGTTGTTGCTCACCTGAGGCACAAATGATGCGATCAAGAATGCACCACAGAGAACCAGTGTCACGACGGACGACGCGATGAGCGCTTTGGTACCCTGAACGTCGAAATGCTGAGGCCACATCGGTGCCCACCAAGGGTTCGTGAGATGTTGCCCGTTGAAGACATCCAGAGTGTATGCCGAAGTGCCAAGAATACATATGCTGAAGACGACGACGAGACCTGTGATGATGGCCTGTGCCAGGTGGAAAGGAGCGGGGTTGATCTTCATCTTGATTGTAGTCTTGCTTCAAAGGTATCCCTTATTGTATTATACAAACGCAAAGCGTAAGGTATGAGGGTGTAAGAATTGGGTCGTTGAATCGGTGTCAACCAGGAGCACCTCTCTTTCTTGAAATGAAGGACGAATAGCGAGATAACGAAAGAATAAGCAAGCACAGAGGGCCTGATATAACCTGAGGTTTCGAGAGAACCTTTGCCTGGGATGATGAGAAACAACTCTGGGGGTGGCACATGCCTTTAAAACGACTTGGTCGCAATTCGGGTTTCATGCCTACAGAACACATCGTGCAACCCCCTGCAGCCATCTTCAGTTCGCGTCTCGAAATAGACGAACAAGAGCAAAGAAAGAACGGTAATCTGTCTTGCCGCTGCGACTATCGGTGGGACTTGGGTTAGCAGCGCCGGACTGCTAGGTTGATGGTGGTGGTGTATTGTTATTCGCAGCGCGTAAGCTGCAGACCAGTCTTAGAATAGTGATATTAACCAGCATATCGTATTGCCGCATTGCCGCATATGTACATTTAGCAGCCCATACTGTTCACTGTGGTCTGTGACCTCTCCACTCAGTCAGCGAGGTTGCCGATCGTACCGTGCGTCAGACTCTGTGGCTTGCCTGTGGTCCCACTGGTAACGAAACATGGCAAAGTCAGAGCATGAGCGGCTGTAGTGCGCTTTCATGCCGTCGAATGAGGGTACAGAGTGACCTGAATGCAGGGTCACTAAAGTGTGAAACGCGAATGCAGTGCGGGCGCTTCGAGAGTTCAGGTGCAGATGTTGATTCGCGGGGTGTATAGGCGCTTACGAGTTTATGGTGCTTTCGCGCTATGATTGGCTGTGAGCTTCTCAAGCAGGTAAGAACATGAGATTTCACAACCAGCAAAAATAGCAGTTCAATTTAGACGGTAAGCTTGGTGAATATGCGGATAGACTGATGGGAAGAGCAGATGGCCAAGTGCACTTGAATATGGCAACAATAGATGAGAAGCGTGCTTTGTTATATAGAACTTGACAGTACTGTTGGAGTAGAGGAATTTACAACCCTCATTTCCTGGCAATCCTGCTACCAATCAATACCAAATAATACATATGTAGCCGCTGGCTAGGGTATTTCTGATCAAGCTAAAGTATGTCGCAGTGGTACAAAACGCCCATTACCGGAGGGATGGCTCGTACGCGCTTTCATAGTTGACCAGTGAGACCCCCAAAGCCCCACTTCCGCCGTGCAGAACTTTGTGTATCCTTCGCCTTGCCCTTTTTCGCAGCCTCTAAGGAATGTTCCTTCTCCCATTCTTCGTCAGCCTTGTACGCCGTGATTGCGTGCTCAAGGTTATAATCGGCTTGTTCAAGGTAGAGAAGAGCAACATCGTACCTGTCACGGAAGGTCAGTTTCTGTATCTTTACGATGAATTGAAAGATTGTAGCGCTTACTCGGCGACCTTGCATCTAACCATGAACTTCCGTAACTTTGTCTTTTTAATCTCTTCTTCCTCTCCCTCTAGTGGCCTCGGACTAAGACTGATGCCACCTTTGTAGAACTCTCCAGGTATAAGGACCGTTCTACGCGCCGCCAGCAAATGGTCTGCATATAAGTTATTCGTTCGGCGCAAAGCATCGGTGGGTACACCGTATCGAAGCGATAGTGACAAGATCGAGTCGTTGTTCTGATCAACGAAATGTAGGACATCAGGCGCGTTTTCAGCATCTGAGTAGGTCTTTTCAGGCGGTGGTTGTAGCGTGTTGTGTGCTGAGTATGGGGGTAGTTCGTCGCCGGCTTGCTGCTCGTCTGGTGGCGAATACGTAGGAGGATCGCGTAGACCATGTGTTGGGAGTGCCGATGGTCCTGTCGATATCTGGCAGTATGGGCAGTAGTTCTGGAATCTCGGATTATCCGTCAAACATCTGGCGCATATGGCACGGTCACAGCAGTCAAGTCTACGCTCGAACTGCGACGGCTTTTCGGTCTTCTCATCATATGTTGGAGGTATCGACGACAGGAGGGCAGCGCAAGTACAGCATGCCTCAGACATGGCGATATAGTATAGCAGACTTTGGTGTATACTGATAGATTCTAGACTTGGGCTCGTGGGAGATGGTCGGAGGCAAAGTGACTGCCGCTACGTCATGACTAAGACGGTTAGCGATCGCGAGTGCACGTGAAGGCGCGATAGTGCTGAAATGTTAGCTAGGATCAAGCCATTGCGCCCAAGACATGGGCTTTCCTCGGCGGAGAAGACATGATCGGTCTACATCGCGACAGCGAAGTGATGTGAGGACTGGCAGGTGTTGAAGTGTGGCAGCCTGGGAGCGTGGAGCGTGGAGCGTGTGCAAGGGCCCGTCGCTGCTGCCAAGTCCATGTCCATTAGCGAGCACACGGACCACGACACCAATTTTCGCCAAACTCGAACTTTTCGCGACCTCCCATCCTCCTTACCGCCCACCGCAATCACACGAGGTATGTCTTTGACCCGAGTGCCCTTCAGAGCCAGGAGATGCACTCGCCGTCGTCCGCAAGGATGAAGGTGACACTGCCTCTCCTCTTCGACAAGAGCTGAAGAACCCTCATGCAAGGGCACTCTCCATGCTCTGGCATCTGGAGGCTAACCACCCACGCGCAGATACCTCAGTCGCCTCCGCCACAGAGAATCTCCCGATAACACCGTCAAAATGGTCAAGACTTCCGTCCTCAACGATGCGCTCAACGCCATCAACAACGCCGAGAAGGCTGGCAAGCGCCAAGTCATGATCCGTCCTTCCTCCAAGGTCATCGTCAAGTTCCTTACTGTCATGCAGCGTCACGGTATGTTTATCTTTGTACTTACATTCATCGCACGCGCAATGCACCCTGCCTGAATACGTGTGCAATGCCGCCCAATGTTCTCCGCTAGTAAACCTACATCACCACTTCGGGCTGATAACTACTCACTGATCTCGATTCCCCACGATCAATGAGCTTTAAGTGTCCGATATATTAACTGCGGAGAACTTACACGTCTTCGGATCCCTTTCATGACGTCTGATGTTTATTTCGCCGCAACATTCACTGATATCCTCTTTCAGGCTACATTGGCGAGTTCGAGGAGGTCGACGACCACCGCAACGGCAAGATCGTCATCCAGCTCAACGGCCGCATCAACAAGACCGGTGTCATCTCTCCCCGCTACAACGTCCAGCTCCGCGACATGGAGAAGTGGGTTGTCAAGCTACTCCCTTCGCGTCAATTCGGTTACATCGTCCTCACCACTTCTGCCGGTATCATGGACCACGAGGAGGCCCGCAGGAAGCACGTTGCCGGAAAGATCCTTGGTTTCTTCTACTAGATTACTCGAATTTGTGGTGGAGTGGGATGTAATATACCCGGACTTGGGCAAGCACATGTTTGGCCAAGTAGTCCATCATGGAACGTTAAACGAAGAAATGACAAGAGTTCATGACCGTGATCCCTACAATTCTGACAACGGTGCATGCGACATGAGCTAACCTTGTGAATTGTGATTTGCGCCGCTCGCTGTTTTCTTACAATCAGTCCCAAGGATATTACATATGCAAGATATCAAAATCCCCGTTTGAAATTGAGATGTTAGTAGAGCAATGATCATCACTGCGGTATCGCATGTCCATCATGAATAATTCAGCCTATTGGTTTCATTAACCATGTACAAGATAAATACATCAAGTATGCTACCCAGAAAACGCCAGCCCGTGCTTCTACTTTTATAAGCAATCATCAGCCGTAACTCGTAATCCCATCATGATGCCTCTATCGGAGCATCCATGTTCCCCAAGAAAATAACTTCCTAAACGCCTATGCTGAAATTCACTTGATATCCTTCTCCGGTTTCACTGAATTCCCCTAGTCGTAAAGATCCATGTCTCCATCAGCGTCATCCAGTTCGGCCACAGCATCGGACTCATCGTACATTTCCGAGTCGTCCTCGCTGTCAGTATGATTGGGTAGTACCAAGATGTGTCCGTCATCCAGCACAACCCTGGCTGTCTCGCCCTCTTTGATAGAACCGCGAAGGATGAGCACAGCAAGACGATTAAGGACTTCCTTCTCAATGAGTCGTGCAAGTGGTCTGGCACCATAGGCTGGTGAGTAACCTGCCGAGCCAAGGTAATCCCGTACCTCTGGAGTCATCTCGATGCGTACATTGCGGCCGTTCTGGTTGAGTCGCTTCTGGATCTCGCCCAACCTCACATCGACAATCTTTCGGATTTCGCGCTTAGTAAGACGGTTGAAGATGACAATGGAGGAAATACGGTTCAGAAACTCAGGGAGGAACCAGTTACGCAACGCACCCATGACCATCTCCTTGGTGGTGGGGTCAATCTTGCCGTCGGGTGCGTTGGGTCGAGACAAGTGTTCAGCACCCAAGTTGGATGTCATAACGACGATGCAGTTCTTTGCATCAACGACTCTGCCTTGGCCGTCGGTAATGCGACCGTCGTCCATGAGTTGAAGAAGGACAGTGAGTACTTCTTTGGCAGCCTTCTCAACCTCGTCAAACAGGAGGATAGAGAAGGGCTTGCGACGCAGAGCCTCGGTAAGCTGACCTCCTGCATCGTGTCCGACGTAGCCAGGTGGTGCACCAATCATTCTGCTAAGGGAGTGTCGCTCTTGGTACTCGGACATATCAAATCGAATCATGGCCTTTGCATCATCGAACAAAAATTCTGCCAGAGCCTTTGTAAGAAGTGTCTTACCAGTACCAGAAGGACCGCAGAACAAGAAGCTGGGCGGTTGATTGGGGTTGGCCAGACCAGAGCGCTGTAGTCGGATGGCGTTGGACACGGAAACGACAGCCTCCCTCTGACCAACGACAACTTCTTGGAGATGACGCTCCATGTTGAGTAGCTTGTCCTTCTCTGTGGTCTTGAGCCGTGTGACGGGGATACCAGTCCAGCGAGCGACGATCTCGTTGATCTGATCTGGACCGACAGAGTCGCTCATGAGAGCCTCACCACCTCCACTTGCCTGGTGTGCCCACATCTCAGCATCGGCGCGGGCCTTGTCCCGCTCCAGTTCGCTGATGCGTTGCTCGACATCAGGAATGGCGTAGTACTTGAGGTCTGAAGCAGTCTGAATGTCGCGCATACGCTCAGCTTCAGCAAGCTTCGTCTTGAGGCCTTCGAGCTTGAGCTTTTGCTCTTGAATGTCCTTGCTACGACCCTTCTCACGTTCGTACATCTCACGGAGCGGCTTAAGCTCTTCTTCAATATTAGCAGCTTCCGCTCGCGCCTCCTTCAGACGGACCTGAGATGCCTCATCCTTCTCTCGGGAAAGCGCGTGAATCTCGATTTGTAGTTGTCGGTGGCGTCGCTCGAGATTATCAAGCGCTTCGGGTTGCGATTCTCTTGTGACACGGACGGCTGCCGCAGCTTCATCGATCAGGTCGACAGCAGAATCAGGCAGTCGGCGTTGAGTGAGGTAGCGGGCAGCAAGAGTAGCGGATGCAACAATAGCACCGTCCATGATGGTGACACCGTGATGAGTTTCGTAGCGCTCTTTGAGACCACGAAGAATGGAAATAGTCTCGGGGATCGATGGTTCTTTGACGAGAACCTGTTGGAAACGACGCTCGAACGCAGCGTCCTTCTCAATGTACTTTCGATACTCGCCCAGGGTAGTCGCACCGATGCAGTGAAGCTGTCCACGAGCCAGCATGGGCTTCAGCAAGTTGGCAGCGTCCATGCCTCCCTCTCCGGAAGAGCCAGCGCCCATGAGAAGATGGATTTCGTCAACGAACAATACTATCATCTCCTTTGACTCCTCGATCTCCTTCAGAACACCCTTCATGCGATCTTCAAACTCTCCACGGTACTTGCTGCCAGCAACTAATGCACCGACATCGAGAGACAGTAGTTTGCAGGCTGCGAGGTTGGCAGGTACATCCGCATCGACAATTCGGCGGGCGAGACCCTCGACAACTGTAGTCTTACCAACACCAGGCTCTCCGATGAGGACTGGGTTGTTCTTGGTTCGTCGAGTCAAGATGCGGATGACTCTGCGTGTTTCGTCTTCTCGACCAATGACAGGGTCGATCTTGCCCTCCCGTGCCATTGCTGTCATATCGATGGTAAATTTCTTCAAGTTCTCGTTCTCCTCTTCGGCATCAGCCGTCTTGGAGTCCACCCGCTTTGTGCCTCGGAGTGCTTGGATGGCATTGTCGATTTGCTTCACGTTCGGAACGTTCGACTCGGCAAGGATTCGTTGTAATTGAGCATCCTGGCAAAGAGACTGGATGAGGTGGTCGACGGCAATGAAGCTATCTTTTTGTGTTTTGCTCAAGTCCTCTGCAGCGCGAAGCACCTTGGCCATGGCAGGTGAAGGTGAGGTACGCTCTGGTGGAGGGTCTTGGCTTGGTAACCGTACCATAGCCTTCTTCAGGTTGCGCTCGAAGAGTTGGGGATCGCCATTCGCGCGTTCGAGGACTTGCTTGAACAGCGGTGGCGGCGGGACATCGACCTGGTTTGCTAGATCTTTGGGCGGATCTATAAGCGATACGGCGAGGTGGAGGGGTGTGAGCTGTGAGTGCGCATAGCCCTTAGCTAGGTCGAAGCTGTCTGCTAGAGCTTTCGCGGCGCGGTCGGTGTATGCGTCAAATGAAGTCATCTTGATTCGTGGCTATTATGCCTTGTATATGGCCCGAAGCCAGAGGAAATAGCGTATGTCGTGAGCTTGTGCTCAGGATTCGTGTATGCGATGTATTGGTGTTGGGTATCTCTGAAGATCAAAAGAGGTATTACACAAAGACTCGAGGGATTTATATACGTTAAAGACAATTGTACGCAGTTGTTCGCGAAGAGTCAGGAAGCACTCAGTGGCATCGTGTGATTTCTCGTCATATCTCGAAGCTAGTCGTGGTTTCTGCCCTGTCGGTAGAAGCTTCTGGAGCTTCGTACAGGTTTCCGGTCAGGCAAAGTTGCCCGCCAATCACGGTTACGTCACTTCTACCACGCCTTACCCGATCTGGTCTGGGTTAGTCGCGTCGGCCCAACCGGTGCCACATCAGATCACCACGAGATGTATACCCAACGTTATTCGGCCTACAATCATTACATTTCAAGATGATTCACTTGAGACATGGGTGGGTCGATGAAGAGCGTGGCGGGATATGACTCCTCATCCCTGGAAATTCGGCCTTCGATGCGAAAGCTCATAGCCCAAGACATCACCGACACGTCAGACATTGAATACCCTCTCCACGTTTGTTGTCATTTGCTGAAGATAGCGCTTGATCATTGTATTCAAAGTCATCCTCACCGGAAACACCTGCGCCTCACGTCTGCCTTTTACCCGACGCATCGTCCCGACACTTCTTCTCATGTCGCATCTTACACACCGTCATGCGATGAGCGTGAACATTGCCATTAATGCATCTACAGTCTACAAGACTACAGACGTGCACGGTCCGAGTAACTAATTTAATTCGTATGCTTGCGCCAAGAATCTGGGGTACGATACCGACAATGCGGACATGCAATATTGCTGCCACCAACGCATGAAAAATACTACATGGTCGTCTCAGTGTTGAAAGTACGGCCGATGACCTGCTGTGATGAAATCCCAGTTCATGTCTTTCTGTAGCTGAACACGGTACCTTCAGCCATGGTGCATATCAGAAATGAGCATTTGGATTACCAAAGTGCAGGAAAATCATGTGTTATTTGGACGATTTGATCCGAATAGCCGGGCTTTACAATGCTACTTTTCGACGTCTGAGAACCACCTCAAACTCCTTGACAACTCGCTCCCTCTGCTGACCTACTGCTGGTGTCCAGATACCTTTTTCGGCGCCATCGCATACCAGCGCATCGGCTTAAACTTACGCACGTTAAACACCCAGCCCCAGTGAACGCCGCGAAGATAGTGAAGTACCATCCACGACCCACAGAACGCATCAACGGATCGATTATAGCCGCAGACGCCGCGCTGAATCCGCCTCGTGCAAGCTGACCCGAGGCATATGCAGTGCTCGGTACTTCGGGAAACACGTCCACGAGGAGCGCGTTCGCAGTATGACTTAGCAGTGTAGCTAAGGTGGAAATGAAGAACTCCAAGACAAGAGGAACCGCAGGGTGTACATTGTGCTGTACTGTCCAACCATAGCCCGTTATAAAGGTCATCTCAGCGAGTATGATTGGTATCATGTTCCTGAAACGGGCGTTTTCGATTGGAAAATCTAGTATATTCGCTGGATCCGCGATCTCAATTTGACGTGCATGATGCGCATAGTTGAAGTCCATAAGCTTTCCAGCTATTGTGCCGCCAATCGTCATACCAGCTAGCGCAGGGAGGAAACTCAGGCCAATCTGCAGCTCGTTGTAGCCATAGAGCTCTTCAAATAGGACAGAGTGGGCGACCTGAAAGGTGTAGTAAATACCATAAGACGAGGCTACCATACAGAGGATCACAATAGCGTCTGGATGTCGGATAATGCGTATGGAATCGAAAACTTTTCGAAAAGCCTGGCTGGGCTTTGGCATCGGAGGCCGGTTCTGAATACTCGTAGCAGATCGATCCTCCTGCTCTTTAGAGAGAAAGGATATCCAAGTACGCCAGATACCAGTTGCGGGCCTAGATCCGTTCCTGACGATAGCCCTTGACGTTTCTGGTAGTAAAAGGCCAACAAGGAGAAGGCACAAGATGGCGATACCAAGCAAAGCCATGAAAACGCCCATAGGTCCCGTGGACTTCATCGCCAGCGCTCCACCGATGACCGGTCCGAATGCAGAAATACCATTGCAAGTCGACAACATTGGTCCTAGCATGCCTCCTCGCTCTGACACAACAGCGACGTCAGCTACAATTCCATAAGCGATCGGCACTGTTGCCGACCCGCCAATACTTTGAAATGCTCGCAATACCATGAGAACTGTGTAGCTGTTCTTATTGAGCGCCAGGCCCAAGCTTGCCACCGTGTACGTGGTAACAAGCGCCAATAGTACCGGTCGTCGTCCATACGAATCTGCCAAAGACCCGAATACTCCTGGTGATAAGGCCTGGCAGATGGCGTACACCGTGACTGTCAAGTTGATAGCTTGAACAGATACGGAGAAGTGGGTGCTGAGTGTTGGTATCAATGGAAAATAGATTGTTGTCGTTAAGGTAGATATCAGCTGGATGACGCCGAGAATGTAGGTCAGGTAGGTACGGGTATATGCTGAAAATGCGGAATATGCTTCATTTCTTCCTGGTGAGGCTGACTGGTTGTTCTTGGTTGCTGTGTCCTTCTGCAAGTTGTCGGTTCTTGGCACCACGTCTTGCATTGGTATGACTTCTGGGGGTAGTGGCATAGTGAATAATGGCTGCAAAGAACTCTTTTCAGATCTCACAAAGTTTGAGCACGCGACGTGCTGCTATATGAAGAGAGGAGAATGTGTAGCTCGGACGAGTAAGCGCTTGCTTACTTGACTTGAAGCCGTGCTATCCGAGATGCCCAGATCATCTATGTTACGTGATTGGAAGGTGGTAAGGATCCCGCATAGCTGGCAACGTTCCTGCAGCACCATACCATCCGGCCGCGGACTCATTCCGATAATACAGTACTACCATTCATGATTCCATACATCGGACTGAAAATGATCATCTGTTGGATGAATCATGACATGCAGGATGCACTACACACTTCTTCCACAGACTATATGTCCGAAAAATCAAATCAGTCGCCATTCAAGCTGGCTCTTAACAGCATGACCCTCCTTTCGAGCTCTTCCATATCCCAAGCCCGTAGCTGAACCCACTCTTTCACCCCCTTAGCCATTTCCCACAAGGCACCCTGTTCATCCGTATAACCCTTCTCCTTTGCCTCATCTAACACGCGTCTAGCTACGCTCGCTGTGCGCCAGAAGCGATGTACATCTGCTGTTTCTGGGAGCATTTGCTGTCCCTCACAGTCAACTGTCAACGTCTTGAGATCGGGCGTCAGGCGATGAGCTGGTGTGGGAAAGTAGGGTTGATTGAACAACGAAGTCGTGCTGTTATACCATTGTCGCGGCTGAAAAATTACCTTATTTCGATGTTGCTCTAGATAAAGAACATTTTGTAGGGCTATTGATGAGAGGCCTCCGTCGTTGTCTTCGTTCTTGTATCCTTCGATGTACGGCGCGTCATATATGGTCTCCATGGCTTGAGTCAAGATCCGTAATGAGCCGCCACTAATCCGTATGAAGAAGACTGAAGAATTTAGATGATCACTTTCGGACTTTGTAGCGATGATGGAAAGGCTCTTGAAAGTCTCGACATCAGTGATAGGTGGCAGAAAGTGGTGTAGGGGTATGTGAGGATTCGCGAGGACGATAGCGGTTTCAAATTAGAGTATCCACTCCATACGCTGCTCAATCGGCTTCTGAAGTTCCTTGATGATGAGTGATTGGAGGTGAAGGAATTTGTTGACAGCGCCTCGCACAATCGGCATACGCAGTGTGTGTGTTTCATATTTGAAGCACTCGTTGTGGAAGTCGTGAAGGGCAAGAATGCGGGCGTTCTGTGTCTTGTCGCCAGACTCATAGTACACTGTCGCCTTTACAATCTTCCAGTCTTCTTGCTTTCTTGTAGGCATCCAGAATATAGAATTGGAATCAAGGCCTGGGGACTTGGTGACCTTGAGCACATTGGGCGAGATAAGATTGGATGTTGTGCAGCCGAAGAATACGCAAATGCCGGCAATGAGCATTAGGAAACAGAAAACCAGCCTGTTCATATGGCGATAGCGTCGCAGCGAGCGGCTAGGCGGTGTCATCGTCGTAGCCTTTGTGCTTGAGGACTTGAGATGGAGAGGGAAAGTAGCGCCTAACTTGTCTAGTGGAACGTCTCTCATAGGTCGCGTAAACAGAATGTGTTCGAAGAAAAAATGTCTCCGTGTTATCGAAAGGGATTGACTGTTAATTGTTTGTGAATGTGAGTACGTCACTGAGCACGACAAGTGAAAGAGACAAATCATTCATTTGATGTCGTGACTAGATTTTACTTGGATCAGTCTCGCTGATACCAACTTTTCTCATCAAGGCTATAATAATGCCTGTAGGTGACTCCAGCACCGAGTCTTACTGCTATTTAGTGTTGTTAAACTGCTCAAGTTGCTACCAAGCTCCATGGGTATACTGTTCGAGCTTTTACGCTCTATAGGAGAGACAAAGCGTCGCTGAGTCTCAAGCCTCAGCCTTCTTCTGCTCCTCTGCCTTCATCTGCTCCTCAGCTGCCTTCTTGCCCTGCTCAGCTTGCGCCTTTGCCTCTTCATCGGCTTTCTTCTGCTCTTCCTCTGCAGCCTTCTTAGCCTCCTCATCAGCCTTCTTCTGGTCCTCGGCATCTTGCTTAGCAGCAGCTTCTTCAGCATTCTTCTGTTCCTCCGCATCCTTCTTTGCAGCCTCCTCTTCAGCCTTCTGCTGCTCCTCTTCCTGCTTAGCTGCCTCCTCATCAGCCTTCTTCTGCTCCTCATTGGCCTGCTTATCAGCACCGTCTTGTTGTCCAAGTGCTTCTTGGATAGCTTTCAACTCCTCAGCAGCAATCTGTTCGTTGAGCTTGTTGTCTTGCTCATCGTTATCTGCGTTCTGAAGATCCTGAAGAGCCCCCTGCCAGATAGCACCAAGGGTCGCAGCAGGATCCTCGGCAACGGCTGACCATGTAGGCTTAGCACCAAAGAGCTGGATACCAGCGGTCTTTGTGGGCATCTTGTTGTCCAAGGCAGCAGTGGCACCAGCGATGCCGCCGAATCCACCGAGGTTAGCAAAGGCGTTGTTGCCGAGGATATCCTGGGCGACGAGGGTGCGGCTGTCGAAGACCATGACAGTCTGGGTTTGGCGAGCCCCACGGTTGGCGACGACGGCAGATTGCGCGAAGATGTTCTGCTGGACTTGATTGCCCCTGCCATCGTCGATAGCAACTTGAATCTCCTGTACGACGAGTGTGACGGTAGAGACATCGCGGAACTGGTTCTGGAAGTTGCTCTTGCGGAAGAGGTTGTTCAAGTCATTGTTGAAACCGTTGTTGACTTGATCGACAATGAGGACCTCCTGTACTTGCTGAACGACTGCCTGTTGGCGACCGTTGTCGACAATCTGGAGGTTCTGCTGTTGGATTTGGATGACCTGCTGTTGCTGGTTGAAGTTGTTGAATCCGTCAATAAAGTTGAAGTCGCCATCGTTGCCGTTGAAGCCGTTGATAACAGAGTTGAAGCCGATCTGGCGCTTGGAAGAACCAGGAAGAGATCGAGGAGTGTTGATGGGCTTTGCAGCTGTGTTGGGTTAGTACGCTACATTGTATACTTAGGCTTTGAGCTTGCGGAGTGAACTTACCAGCGAGGCCGGCCGCAAGCACAATAGTAGCAATAGCCTTGATAGACATGTTGATGATGATGGTGAAGTGGATGAAGGTAATAGTCTTCCTAAAGCAAATGGATAGATTAAAAAAGGTTAAGATTAAACGTCACAGACGTATTAATGATTCAAAGAAAGTGGATTGGCAGACTGTCAAAGTCGCTAAAGAATCGAAATGGGATTAAGGAAGGTAGGAAGGAAGGACTAAAGACCGGAAGAGTGAGTGTGGGATGAGAAAGTAAACTATGTGCGACCCTCCATCAGCTTTTATCCAACGTCTCATCTGTATAACGACTCGTCGATGCCTAAGAAAAACGCCCATATGTCGATACTTGCCCCCTGTATTGCCGTTAGATGTGACACATGTAGCGCGAACCTTGGGGACTTGTCACTTTGTTACCGGCGATGAACGCACCCGCATCTTGCCAAGAACAAGATGTGCAACTAACACTTTGCCAAGATTTGCTTGACGGTTTTGCCTTGCAGACTGAGGCCTATTGTATGAGCCTCAGGATAGCGGAGCCATAGTATCCGATCGGCAGCCAAGGTACAGCACTCATTTGGGGTGGCTGTGTTATGCCTTAGCAAGCACTCAGGCAGTATTTTCGGAGATTTATGCAGGCCGAACACAGGTAGAAGTCGATGTTCTTTGAGACAGTGCTGAATGCGGAGGCGAATGTATGAATGTAGATCGCTTACGCGATCCTTTCTGTACCACTTCTGCAGGACAGCGACACAACATGCGAATCTCTGTATATTGAGATCGTGTCTTAGCGTTGGTGTCTCTTCAGTGGATGCGTCTAAGTCGTGATCACCATGTTAATGTCTTCCGTAATGCCATGGTGACCATCAGTCTACCCCTCACCGCACCACTAGCCATGTATGCATTCCTGGAACGCAGACAGCAGCTCCCTCTTAATTCGTGATTACTATACTGATCCTAGCAGATGGAGTTGGTCGAAAGGTGATGTTCATGATATTAAGGTGGTGTTGAAGACGAAGCGAGACGCGGCTGAAACCCCGCAGGTTGTGGAACCGAACTTTGACGAACCACCCAAGTTACAGATCTCCGCAGTTGTGTTATACGTCCATGCGTTAAGTCTGTGCTTTTGATTTCGGATGCCATGTGTTCCTGAGGCACTCGCATAATGGTGCAGATAGATCATTCGAGACTAGTCCTGGTTTTTTTTAGTCCAGTCTATATTTATCAAGTACCCCAAATTATGAGCAGAAAGTTGGCCAGAAATGAGGTTGAATCGAAAATTGCTCAATGTGATTTGACGTGGATATCTACACATACTCCCAAAACCCTATCGAGTACTGACGCTTTGTCTAAAAAGGACGAATCGAGAAGTCCCTAATCGCAAAGCACCTAGTTTCCGGAACGCCAGGAAATGCCTATGGCAGCCATGGCCCAAATGATATGAAGAATTCACGCCGGCCGTTGGCGTTAAACCGTAGCCTCTGTAATACAAGCTGCGTATCCTATACTCAAAGAGATCGAGTATTGCTCTCACAGGAAATACGAAGCACCCTACTCGTCGTCTGAGTCGGTGTCGGTATCTGTCTCGCTCTCAGACTCAACGTCACCTTCGGTGTCACTTCCGCTGGAATCGTCATTTGCCTGTCTCCGCTTCTTTGGTGGAGCGCCAGTCTTCATTTGGTGCATTTGACCTGCCAGCGAATCTGCAGACATGTTAGCCGTACTGATCATGGGTATGACTCAAATCAGTGAAACTCACCTTCTTCTGGCTCGCTGATCTCATCTTCCTCTTCTACCTCTTCGGCTTTACTGGCGTCTTCGACGACGAGGGTAACCTCCATCTTGGTATCCATGCCGACGTAGCTATCACAGATCATGTGCATGACAAAAGTATAGCTACCAGCTTGTGGTGGTGCGCCAAATTGCATCTTCAGGGTCTGTACGTTGTAGGTGGGATTACCGCTCTCATCAAGAATAGGCTTGTCGAAGGTTGAGAAGGTGAAGGGTGGTACCGCGATACGCCCCTGCTTGCTGTCCGCAAGAAACACGTGCCACCTTGGCGCGTGGTCGCGGGCGTAATAGGGAGCGAACGCCAGAGGTGGCTGGATAGGTTTCTCTCCAGAACGATCATTCTTACGTCCGGTAATTGCCGCAACATCACCCTCGGCGGGATCAATATCTAGCAGGTCCTTCGGGTTTACGTCGGGTACGTTAGTGGCTCCACATGGAATGAAACGGCCTTTCAGCACGAACTGGACCAAGCTGCTAGGGGTAACGAAACGTTCTCCGACGACCTTGAAGAAGGCTTTCTCAAGATGGAACAGTGGAATCCGCGAAGCTACGGTCATAGCTGTGCTGTATTGATCTTGAGACATAAGACCAGACTTGACAACACGGGCTTTGCGCTCATCATCGGGAATGTCCATGAATTCTTGGATAGTCAAGTGTGATCTTGCTTGCTCAGCCTCAGCCGCGCTAGCAACAGCAGGTGTGAAATGTGGCAGCTGTTCCAAAGGCGATGCACCCGGTCGTAAAGCTTGGATAAGATTTTGGGAGGTCCTGTATGCCGAAAGTACTGCTTTGGTGGTACCATATGCGAGTGCGATGGCAGTATAAGCTTCGTTGAGTCGGAGTGCAATGGGCGCAACTTCGAACTTCTCGTCATTCAATGTCTCGTCATCAAGTTCGACACGACCAAGGTATGCCCACAACAAGGTCAGGACCTTGCGTCTTCGACTGTCCTCCAGGTCGTCTAGCTTTTGGCGGTCCTTCTTCGTAAGCGTTTGCGAGACGAGAGATCCGGAAGTCTCGGAAAGAACCTTTTGTTCGAGCTTCGAGAGACCGTTTTCCGCTTTGTGTCCAGTGAGAACTTCGTTGAACTCCTCTCCGCTGCTCAGCGCATGAATGACGCCCACCTCGCCTTGCTCGTTGTCGTAATCGCGGAAGACCTTACCCGCGCTGGCGACGAGAACTTTATCCTTGGTCAGTCTCTGTGTTCCGTACCACCACTTTCCGACGGTGTAAGGCAGAATGACACCGAGCGCGAGCGCGTAGATGAGCAGAACGTATTTGCCAGCGCCGTCAGTGACGAGCCACTGAGGCAGCGCGATACCGATACTGAAACTCTGTTTGCCATCAGGGTGGCCGTATTGAAGGAAGTTGTTACGAATCTCCTCGTCGGTGAGAGCTTTGAACGCCTTTGTGACATCTACCCAGTGGTCGTTGATGGATTGTATTGTAATGTTTTTTGCCGGGTCCTCGCGAGCCTTGTCGGGATGCAGGGTAAGAGACAGTCGTCGATAATGCTTCTTGATGGCCTTCTCGTCCGCGTTCTAGTCTGCGAGTTAGCGTCGTTGTCAAAAGTGCGCGTTGCGGGGAAGCAGCCATCGTACCCTAGAAACACCCAGCACCTCGTAGGGATCCCATATGTCAGGCGTAGTCCGCGCGGTAACCAGTATGAGGTAGACCATAGCAGCATTAAGCGCCCATCCTCCCAACATGACAAGACCCCGCTTTATCCTCCGCTCGAGCCGCTTCTGCTTCTTGCGCTGTCCCTGGATGAGGTCGGCATGTTCGGGGGTGAAGTCGGACTCTATCCGCGCTCCAGTGTTCTCGAGTTCTGATTGTGCATCAGTATAATGGTAAGCGGTGGTGGCGGGAAGCGCGCACCTTTGCTCGGCCTCAAGAAGGAAATTGTGGTCGGGACGGTGACGAGGGTTGTTACAGTGAGGATGAAGTAGGGGAAGAACTGGCCCTGCGACTTGTTAGCAAGGCTTCAAACCTGGCGCGCGTCCAAAACGTACCTGTTCATCGTAGTTGTAATCTGTCCCGGACATGTTGAACGTGTCCCTGTGGACGGGGCGAGGTATGCGAGAGAATGACTAAAAGTGATTGGGAATTGTTGTCGAAAAGGATTCCAGAGGAAAGCAAGTAAAACTGGTTCTACGCCGGTGACATTACAAAGAAGGTGGGGGCGTACGAAAGAAAGTCGTGGCTACTTATTGTAGTTGTTCCGACCACTGTGTTCTTTCCCGCACCACGACACATGGCCGCCGCGAGCAATCTTGGCCAAGCAGGGGTACCCATCACGTGCCACTGAGCCCTTCCGCTTACGTCACCGCGGACCACAGAACAAAAGCAACATGCATACAGTGGCCTATCGCCGCAATGTCATGTGCTCACTAAGATGAAAGGTAAAAAAGATCAATTGTTACGCTACACAGAGCAGGCGCGGATTTTGTGACTCAAAAGTGTCAATATCAGTCCATCTGGACAGGTGTATGCTATGCTATGCTAGGTACATGTGGCCTCTGCGCTTAATGCCCCGATTTCGATGCTTCATGGCAATCGTTCCCCGCAATACGCCTATACAACGCCCTAAACCCAGAAGGCTGCAGCAGATGCGGCCTAATGTTCTCGGGAATGACCCAAGTAGCCATGGTGATCCGAGATTCTTAGGGCATGTTATGCTGCAGCTTCTACTGATCCCACTTGCTCTAAGCCATTTGTACCGTTAGGCGAAGGACTCTGCGTCGCTGCATCCAGAGGTGCGGCGTGGAGTGCAGGTTTCTCGACACCCTTCATCTTGCCGCTCCTCCTCTTTTCAATGGCGGCTTTGACCCAGTCTGCGACCTCTTGGTCTTCTACAGGTTCGATTGCCTCAGCGGGTCCCTTATCACCAGCAGCTTCACCACCAGTAGCTTCACTTGCTGCCTCGACTTCCTCCTCTTCCTCTTCGGTGATCGTGTCCGGCTTAGCAAGAGGTGCAAGCCATGCATGTTGGAGCAGCATGGCATATGTTGGCCGAAGGTTGGGGATTTTGTTCAAGCAGCCGCGTACAAAGTTTCGTGCCGCGTCGGAGTACCCTTCGGCAGGCAGATCCGGTGGCTCACCATCGACAATAGCCTTGAGATGATTAGTCGTTGACGCACAAAGCTGTTTGAAAGACTTACACTGAGCTGACTGAAGATGTTGTTGTACGTCTCTGGCGGATATGGGTATCGCCCCAGAGCACACTCGATGATGGTCAGTCCCAGACTCCAAATATCGCTTTGTACACTGTATGTGCCACCTCCAGGGTTAGCGCCTGCCTGTGCAATTCCACCAGAAGATATCCTCTCTGGCGCCATGTAGCTTTGGCACCCAATGTTGGTCTTGGCAATACTGGCGACCAGGTTTCCACTGACACCAAAATCACAGATCTTGATTGCGCCCTTGGTGTTCATAAGAATGTTGGTAGGTTTCACATCTCGGTGAATGATGTTGTGCTCATCCTTCAGTGACTTCAGACCCATAGTCGTGGCCATGGTGATTTTGCGCAAGACACCCTCAGGCACACCATCGGCGTAGAGCTTGTCTATGGAGCCTCCGTCCATGAACTCCATGCAGATGTACACGGCGCCTTCTTGGAAGAAAGCGCCATAGAAGTCAACGATAAAGGGTGATATACAGCGGTGGAGGACGTCGAGTTCCATGATGATAGCAGCGAACTTTGAGTCATCCAGCTCCAGCCTCACTTCTTTCATTGCCATGACTATGCCGGTACCCGCAGCAGGTTTTGCACTGGTAGGGCTCGCTTCTTCGCCAAATTCCTTTCGCGACGGCGAACCTGGTGCAGCCTTGTTTCCTGCCAGACCCTGTCCTGGTTTCCTCATTCGCGGTCTGCTATGTCTGACCTTGTACACTGTGCCATAATTTCCCTTGCCGAGCTCGTCTAGCGTGTCGACTTCATCCAAGGAGATGTTGAAAGAGGAACCGCTAGCAAATTGCACGCCGTCCGAGTTGAGTATGGCTTTGCCGGCAAATTTTAGGCTGCCAGTCTTGGTATCGACGAATTGTGAAAATTTATCAAAATGGGTCTCTTGTTTCTTGGGCTCTGCACCTTCTTCAGCGGGCTTTTCGCCGTTCATCTGCGAGAGAGTCAACCCAGGCTTCTTCCTGCCAGCAGGAGGAGCGGCTCCACCAGCAGTTGGAGACGAGCCTGGTAGTCCGCCTGGCAACGCGCCCTGGAATCTCATACCGCGCTTTTCAGCGAGGGAGGGCTTGGGGCCACCTGCGCGACCAGGAACGGCAGGCGCGGACTGGAAGTTAGTCGTGGGTGGCCTGGTAGGCATTCGAAAGTTTCCGGGTAAGCCTCCAGGGTTACCGCCTGGAGACATGGGATTACGGCTGTCGGGTGACGGACCGGGGCTTTGTGGTGCAGGCCCTCTCCCAGGCAAGCCCGTTGGTGGAGCGCCCTTCCGGCCGAGATGTACTGCCTGTATTCTTGCGAGAATGTCCTGGGAGACGTTCAGCCCGCTACCTCTGCTGGAGATGGTAGGGGGGTTCGAGGGGCGGGGATTCCTGGCAGCGTTGATGTTTCCCAATGGCGTTGAGGACGATGTCATGTTGGCGGTCGCGCCGGAGGTCGTGGATGCCGTTCGGGGAGGGGGACGCTCAGCGGACAGCAGATCAGGCGAAGAGGCATTTTCGGTAGGACTCGAGGGCGCGGGGGAGGGTGAGGGACTGTCGAAGACGGTGTCGGAATCGACTTCGGCGTCTGGGGTGGATGGATTGGAGGCCATGGCGAGAGAGTGGGAAAAGTCGCGGCCTAAGATGGGCGGGGTACTGGGACGAGGAAGGGGAGAGGGAGAGTGGAGGAGATAGTAATAAGAAGGCGTAGGTAGAGGACGAGTATCAGGAGCTGCGACTACACCGCGGAAGGAGATGTAGCGGCGATCTCAGCGGATCTGGTAGTATGGTGGAGGTGTGGTGGTTGTGGGCTACATGTAGCGTGCAAGTTGGAGCTGTGACGTGATGCTGCAGAGACGAGTAATAGCGCGCGTCTGCAATCTTGAATGATTTCACAACAATCGACCAGGCCGCACCGCAACCATAGCGCAGACGTGCAGTGCAGTGCAGTGTAGTGACAGATGGCAGCAAGGGGTCCGTAGGGGATTGAGCAGTTCCTGCTTTGCCCATGTACGCTGCACCGGTAAGCCTGCTTTGCAGCGTCGGAATGCGCAAGTGAGCATGGACTGGAAATCTGGATCCGGCCAAGCAGCACCTGCACACGCCGAACCGAGACACGACAGCAGGCTTGGGGCAACAGAATCAGTATGCGGTAATGACCGAGCCATGGGGAACCTAGTGGCTGCCCCGCCTATCGATGTGCGTTGCCCATCAGTCAAGACAGCATTTGCAATGGCCGATGTGGCCGCCAATGCTCGATGTCTCCATGGGCTCCATGTGGCGCAGGGACACGACACGACAGGCTGGAAGGCGCTGCCAGGGCGATGAGTACCACCATCTAGGCGCTGAAGGGGACGATATGGGAATCTTTCCATCGTCCTACCATCGAACCATCTGCAGCCTGGCAGCTGTGTTTGCTTCTTTTTCTTCTTCTTCTTCTTCTTCTTCTTCTTCTTCTTCTTCTTCTTCTTGTTCGTCTCGCCCCCTCCGATCCAGACCGGTTCGCTGCATCCCCTATCGAAGTTCCTGCAGGGCCCGCGGCTTAACCTGCCTTTCCGCTATACCTGGCGCGGGCTGTGACGTCGATCTCCGCCTATAGCGCGTCCTCAGCCAAGACGCCTTGCGCTTCAAGATAACTCGAGTGTTTCCATCTCGGTCGCGCCTTTGCGCCTTCCCAACAACACAACTGGCATCTAATATGCCTTTCTTCTCGGCTCCCCAGGCTTTTCGCCTGCGCAGCCTCCCAACTTCGTCTCCGGAATTCGTCGCCATGGCCTCCAACTCCTACGAGTACGGCAACAATGGCTTATTCACAGTCTTCAAGAGCGGCAAGCACAGCTCGCATCCCGATTTTGCCAACCTCACCCTTCTCGTCTTCGAGGCCGTCATGGAAGTCGTTTGCGTGAGCGCGCCCGGCTACATTGTTGCGCGAATGGGTCAATTCGATGCAGAGAGCCAGAAGTTTCTCGCCAACCTCAACACGCAGCTGTTTACACCCTGCCTTAGTACGTGCAACGCCTCGGATTAAGAGCGCCAACCTCAGCTAATCTCTGGCCAGTTTTTACCAAGCTCGCATCACAATTGACGGCGGAGAAGCTGGCTGATCTTGCTGTCATTCCTGTAATCTTTGTCGTACAAACACTCATCTCCTACATCGCCGCACTTCTCGTGTCGCGAATATGCAGGTTCAACAAGAGAGCGTCCAACTTTGTTGTTGCCATGGCGGTATGTCTCTTTCCCTTGTCCAGGCAAGCGGCACAAGCTGACATTACTAGGTATTCGGAAACTCAAACTCGCTTCCAATCTCTCTCGTTATCTCGCTCTCCAAAACACTGTCCGGTCTACATTGGGACAAGGTCCCTGGCGATAACGACAACGACGTTGGCGCGCGTGGTATTCTCTACCTCCTTATCTTCCAACAACTTGGTCAGCTCGTGCGATGGACATGGGGCTTCAATGTGCTTCTGGCACCCGCCAGTGCGTACAAAGATGATGACGGTGGCAAGAACAGCGCCATTGAAAATGGAGAGTACACAGACGACGAGGCGCAGCGTCTTCTCGATGACTCGCACTCCGACTACGAATCTGGCAATGTTACCAGCTACGCTACTTCTGCAGACTCAGACGAGTCGGACTCAGACTCTCTGTTCAATCGTGAAGAGGCCCAAGCCACCACCGATTTCATCACTCCTACCAACGGTAACGCTACTATTCCTGGGGCCGGCGATATGAGCGGACACAGTAATGGCAATGGTCTTGCAAACGGACACCTCAATGGTGTTCTCGAGGCTCACAAGAAGAAGCAAAATGTTCCCAAAGGCATCAAAGGCATGCCAAAGCGAGCTGGCATGGCACTTAAGCGCTCTGCAAGCACCGTTTCTGTCTCCACCACACGCGCTGGAAACCGAGTTTTCCAGACCCTACCTACATGGCTACAGCGACCTCTGGCTAAGATTGGCTCTGTCTTGTCAAGGTTCTTCAAGGGCGTATGGGACTTCATGAACCCTCCTCTATGGGCCATGCTGATTGCTATCCTCGTCGCCTCTATCCCTCCCCTACAACATCTCTTCTTCGATCCAGGTACATTTGTCAGCAACTCCGTCACGCGCGCTGTCAACCAAAGTGGACAAGTCGCCGTTCCACTCATCTTGGTTGTTTTGGGTGCCAACCTTGCTCGTAACACATTACCCAAGGAAGACCAGCACTCGATGGAAGACCCGAGCGTGGAGAAGAAGCTTGTGATTGCCTCACTTGTTAGTCGCATGCTTATCCCGACGCTTCTCATGGCACCCATGCTAGCCATGACCGCCAAGTACGTTCCTGTTAGCATTCTTGACGACCCAATCTTCATCATCGTCTGTTTCTTGCTCAGTGGTGCACCAAGTGCGCTGCAGTTGGCACAAATCTGCCAAATCAACAACGTGTACATGGGCGCCATGTCAAGGATTCTGTTTCAGAGTTATGTTGTTTGGATCTTGCCATCGACTCTATTGTTGGTCATGCTTGCACTGGAAACGGTGGAGTGGGCCAAATGAGTATCCTTTTAAAAGAGACCACGTACAGCATGCTATCTGTCACAGACATATAATCAGTTTCCAAGCGAGGCGTTATGGTATTTTGTATGGGTCGTTTTCTTGTTGCATCAGGGCTATTAGAATACCAGGGCTGAGGGACTGCATCGAAACCAGCCTGTACCTAAAATGTAGTACTCAGAAGGTGTATTTTGTACTTTCCCATGTGCTGATAGGCCATGTGCACATGGTTTGCCACGTCGCGCTCGCACACTCCACATTCAAGGTTGGGTGGCAGGTTTCTGGTTTCTGTCTAATTGAACCCTGACGTACGTTGCCAAGGCTGCGAATACTGGAACGAGGCCGATAGCTGCCCAATTGATAGGCAGGGAGACCGTCAACACACCAGCTTGCCGTCTGATCCAGCTATGATGCTTTGCCTCTGAATGGTTTACATAACTCAAGATCCGAATATAGGGATTCTACGTATTTTCTCTCTCCTTATCTCTCTCTCTCTCTCTTCTTACCAGTCTTCGTCCTCACAAGTTATCCTGACCGCCAATCAGCTTGGCACGTGGACCCTGATCTCGCGTGTACTTTGGCGTTCCTGCCGCACTAGGTATCGATAACACCACCTGCCCACCAAGCAACCCGACCTTCCTACCTACCGACGTGGGCACGCCTGTTACCAGGTCTCATTACCGTCCGGAGCCGTCAACCGAGCTCTGCTCTACCACGAGGTCCATCTCGCTTACACTATTCCCGCGCACCTCACTGCGAGCCCCGTGCAACTGCCATGACGACTTCCTCCAATGAGCAGTCGCAGCCCAGCGACACTCACCCAAGCGACTCATTCGCCCTCCCACAAAACACTACGTTGGCCGATGGCACCTCGCCGCGCTCTACAAAAGGTCAGTCCATGATTCCGCTGTCGTGTGTCGGCTCGCAAACTCTCGCAATCGATTCCGCGCTACCTTCCGGAATTCCTATTCAAATGTCAACGTAGCTGTAGCAATGTGACTATTCAGTGATTGACAATAATTCCTGCTTGGCCGTCGAGTTGACTCTCGACGTCTGGCCAACTTCTGCAGCCATCATGAAGCTTGTGCGCTTCATCTGACAATATGCCCGAGCGCAGCGCTCCAAAGCAGTGAACCCATTATCTGACTGACTTGCTATCATGTCGCTTGCGCATGGGTTACCAAAACACCTGCTGACCATGTGCCCATAGTTGTGTCTTTTCCCGATGATAGCACCATTTCCCCCTTGATGATTGGCAAGAACAAGGAGCTTGACCAGAAGGATTACCTCGATCTCGACAGGCCTACAAGAAGTTACCCCGCAAGCATCAGCAAAAAGAAACTATCTGGACGGCCCTCAGTCGAGCGACTGGGATCAACCAAGGTAGCGCCAAGTGAGGGAAATCCATCCTTATCTTCCTTGCTCTCCAACAGCTCAACAGACGTTCCCTCTGACGGACAGCATCCACATGAGAATCTATTGAAGCAAGTGGGCACATGGCTCAAGCATGAACGAAGCAGACGTCATGCACGCAGGGCAAGGCGCAAAGCTGCCAAGGAGGGCGCTGCCCAGGAATCGACAAAGGCCGTTCCTGATGAGACGACCGATGAGCCTCATGTTCTAGCTAGAAGCAGCTCCGAATCGTCTCATGGCGAGGACTCCCTCGACCAACTGGCGCAAATCCTTGAAAAGACCCTATCCATGAAGCCGGCCGACGCTAAGAGGAGGATGCAACACTTCCGCAGATCATCAACAGGCTTGAAGCGACACTCCGCCATCTCTCTAGACACGGATTACTTTGAATCCGTAGACCAGCTAGTCCCGAGTTGCGAGGCTATTCTAGACAACTCGAAGACTATGGCCTACAACGTAGATGAGTCAGACAGCGAGTCCGCCCGTCACGTATCTGAGAAAGAAGCACGCAAAGAGAGGGAGGCATGGACCAAGTTCCGGGCCGAAATCCTTCGTCTAGCTCATACACTCAAGCTCAAAGGCTGGCGGAAGGTGTCTATGGAACAGAGCAATGAGATTGACGTACAGAGGCTGAGCGGCGCCTTAACAAATGCTGTTTATGTTGTCTCGCCTCCCAAGAATCTACCGCTTCAAGAACAGGGCGACGACGGCCAGCCAAAGCCCAAGAATCCTCCTCCGTAAGTCCTTTTCAACGTAGGCAAGCTGATACTAACACATTTCAGCAAACTTTTGTTACGTATCTACGGCCCACAGGTAGAACATCTGATCGATCGAGAGTCTGAATTGCAGATTCTTACACGCCTTGCTCGAAAGCGGATTGGTCCACGTCTACTCGGCACCTTCACCAATGGACGCTTCGAGGAGTTTCTTCATGCAAAGCCGTTGACTGCGAAGGAGCTGCGCAATGCAGAGACGTCCAAGCAAATTGCTAAGCGTATGCGAGAGCTTCATGAAGGCATCGATCTCTTGAAGGAAGAGCGAGAGGCCGGTCCATTTGTCTGGCAAAACTGGGACAAGTGGGTTGATCGCTGTGAGCAAATCGTCACCTGGCTCGATCAACAGGTTCGAGAGAGCAGCCAAGACTCTGCACAAGCTCCTGGTGACAGATGGAAGAAGCGGGGATACGTGTGCGGTATGGAGTGGCCAGCGTTCAGGCAGGTGGTTGAGAAGTATCGAAGATGGTTAGAGGAACAGTACGGTGGCGCAGACAAGATCAACGAGCGGATGATATTCGCTCATAACGACGTAAGTCGGACCTCTCGTCATATCATCCACGAGCTAACTCTGCGTAGACCCAGTATGGCAACATTCTACGTATGGTGCCGGAAGGCGAGTCGCCTTTACTGCTTCCAGCAAACCAGCACAAGCAGCTCGTAGTCATCGATTTCGAGTACGCTAACGCAAACCTGCCCGGTTTGGAATTTGCCAACCACTTTGTAAGCATATTCTTCCAGACATTTCTATTGTTCCGCAACTACCTCGGTCGTCATTCTATGTGTATACGGGCTGACAGTGAAGCAGACTGAATGGACATACAACTACCATGACGCGGAGGTTCCGTGGCGTTGCAACACCAAGTACTATCCGACACTTGAAGAGCAACACCGCTTTATCCGGGCGTACCTGATGCATAACCCCTCGTACAAAGCTGCTGGGGGCTATACTTCTAACCCTGCCACCCCGCACCTGGGTCCTCTTCCATCCTCTGGCAGCACCACCGCACTGGCAGCGACTGCCGCCCCTAGCAATATCTCTGCATTCATGCTAGACTCACGTGCTCCACCTGGCGAGAAGTATCAAGAGCAGGAGGCGCAAGCCGAGCGTCAGATTGAAGAAGAGACTCGCCGCTTACTAGCTGAGACCAAGCTCTGGCGTTTAGCCAACTCCGCTATGTGGGTAGCATGGGGTATCGTCCAAGCTCACGTTCCAGGCCTTCCCGACTTCGATGCCGAGGACAAGAAGGCGAATGCTAACCCTAGTAAAGAAGCGGCAGAGTTAGACAGTGCAACAGCAGAGATTAGGGCTGAGGCTGAGGCTGGAGAGAAGGGGGCTGGGATCGTGAGTGAAAGGATGGCGGAACAGACACAAGAGAACAAAACACAAGCGGAGCAAGATGCTGACCTTTTCAAACCGCAGGATGAGGAAGAGTTCGACTACTTGGCCTATGCTAACGACCGCGCAATGTTCTTGTGGGGTGACGCCATTCGCATGGGCATAGTGAAGGCAGAGGAGGTGCCCGAGGAGTTGCGGAAGAGAGTCAAATTAGTGGAATATTAAAGGGTAGATGGAAGAACGATATCATGATCGGAAAGCATTGAGAGCGACCATATCCGCGTTGTCTTGGGATAAGGCAATGAATCATTCGAGCGGAGAAAGTGCCCTACGACTTCAAATCAGAATGTGCAGCACAGGCGGGCACATCTCGGAACTCAGCTTGAGATCTGTAGTTTCTTGTTCGACTGGACCTGGCCTAGACTACTCCAATGCACGAAGAACATAAAAAAAAGCGATATGGCAAGCTTGGCATCTGACCTATGGCTAATCATCATGCAGAAAAACAATGGTCATTTGAGCGTAACACTGACTCATAAATTTGCTTACCATGAAATCCACTGAGACCATAATAGGACCCAACGCCCGAAAGGATAACCTCATATGAATCATATCGTACAATGGTGCCTGTTGCCGTCGCAATAAGATAAACGAGTTCAGCTTATGTCCATGGCCTCACCATGGTCTCCATTCTCTCCTACCTTGCCTCTTCTGTTGAAACCGTCAACCAACCCCTCCAATCCCCTGACTTCCTCGGCTCCCACTCTACTCCCACCCTCCCAGACCCCTTCGACACCGTCCCTTGTATCTACACCCCGTCTCTCTAATATCCTCTTACTTTGACTTTCAACGTACACCTTGCGTTCACGACTCAATTCCTCTTTGTACTTGGCTTGTGATAGGGAGTCTGTAGTGTGAGGCGAGGAAGTAGTGTTGCTAGGTAGAGCGGTATTGCTGAGATGGGGCTTTAGGGAGGCAAGGAGCTGGCGGAGATAGGGGAGTTGGGAGGTTGTAAATGTGGTGTGGGTAGTTAAAGGAGTGGGCTTCTTATCGCTGTTCTTATTCTCCCCGACAGAGGCGGTGTTGATATTGGATTGTTGTGGTAGGGCTTGTATACCTAGGGATTGAGCTGCTGGTGTGTGTGTTAGGAACGCGAATGATGCGCTTCCATCGCTCTGTCGGTTCATTTCTAATGACGATGTCGACGATGTCGTAGATTTTCTTTGTTCGCGCTCAGATGCGCCAGATGGTTGGAGTAGGGCTCTTAGCCGCGCTATTTGTGCCTCGTTGCGTGTCTTCTCTGCAACCAGCGCAGCGTTCAGCTTTTGGGTTTCGATGAGTTTACGGCGAAGGGTGTAGAGGGCTTCTGGAGTGAGTTTAGAATCTTTGGGCGGGGGTTCGAGATTCTGCTCTTCTTGTCAGTACTCTTCCAAGCCTCCCTCTTCGCGCTTCGAAGTGATAGAATCGCCGTCAGCATACATACCTCATAATGCCCTAATCTGACCCACTCTCCCAAGCCTTCGTCCCCGCCCTTCCCCCTCCCCAGCGCAAAAACGTTTCTTAGTGTCCAAATTTCCAGTTTGTCAAAATTCTTGTCCACAGCATTCTCCATGAGCGTCTCGAGCTTCAATACGCCCTCTTCAATCTCCAGCCTAGCCTCGGGAAACAGATCGTTGCCATGTTCATCTTTGTCGGGCGTACGCCCTTGCGAGGCGTATAGGTCGGCGAAACCGAGTAGGGAGGGGTCGGCGGAGGAGAGACCGGTTTCGAACGAGTCGGTGCAGCGGTATAGGACTTCGTTTACGGCGTTGATAATGTCGTCGATGAGAGACTACGATGCCGAAGTGTTAGATTTGAAGCGACTCTTGAATGCTCAGCAGGACATCGAGTAGCCTTATCTCGAGTGCAAGACAGATGCATCCACTCAACGTGGGAGTATGGCGGGTACCTGCACCTGCAACACTCTGCATTGCTCCACTGTCACTCAGAAACTATACATACTATAGGAGGCCAAGTAAAGTGCTCGGTAAGGAGCATGTTCTCCTGTTGCTTTGCGCTCGCCATATCGTCTGTCCTTGTGGTGTGGTTGCTGTTGTCGCAATGCTCAACTCGATGTTTGCGACGCGCCGAGGGGACGTGTTTACAGCGGGCCGGCTTGTTACTGGACAGAAGGCAAGGGTTCCAGGCACGCGCTAGTGGCTTCGCCAATCCTACCTAATTGAGATCCCTTGCAGTGAATGCATGTGGAGGCAGTGGGGGAGAAAGAGTATTGGCACTCTCCGCGGAACCGTACAGTCTTTTACTGTTTGCTGATGTTTGAGTACCTCACCTCGTCCATGGGACGCTGTCAGTGCCGACGCTGCGAGTTCACCACTATATCACTGACTCAATAAGTCCACAACGAGGCGAACATGCAATCTGAAATGGATTATAATCCTTCACGTTGTGTACGGCCTATTTAGCCGTCACGCTACTAAATACAGTGTCCCCAAGTACATATGCTTGGAATCCTAAATTATACAATGCTACCTAGCTGTACAGTAAGACTTTAGTGGTCAATACTCAAAGCTGGTGCTGCTTTCCACGAAGACGTATCATAACGTCCAAAACCACCTTCAGTACAGCTAATCCCCTGCCATCCACCCAAAGCTGCACATGCAGAGAATGGTTAACGTATAGTCTCTTCCATCGCCTGCCAAGTTGCTCGAGGCAAGAATACTTTTCCGCGGTCGCTGTAGGGCAGAGAGAAGACAAGAATGATTGGTAATCCAGTATAACACTGCCACGCAAATAACGCCATCAAGTCCAGAGTAAGACCTAGAGTGACCCTTCTCCCCATGCGTCATGTCGCTGTCGTAAATGCAGTAGATGTGAAGCAAAAGACAATACTACCACCACCATTATCGTACCCGTAACCCACGTGGCAGAGCTAGGTATCTATACAAGACGTCCTTCATGGACAAAATGAAGTTGCACATCGCTCAGTACGCTCGTTGAGTTTGTTCGCGGTATCGGCGCTCTTCTTCCGCTCGACGGGCCTTCTTTTCCCGCTCCAATCGGATCTTGTGTGCTTCGGTCCCGTCGTCCATGAGTGACTCCTTGAACCAAGGATGTTGTAATGCCTCCTTGGCTGTTATTCGCTTCTTGGGATCGTACACGAATATTCGCCGCAGTAGGTCAAGAAATTGACGGTTGAAATCTGTGTGTGCTGGTATTGTTTCCTGTCAAAGTTAGATGGCAATCAAGCAACATGAAGTAATCAAACGTACAGGAAGCTTCTTCATCGCCTTGACATATTTCTTGGATGCCTTGTTGGTGTCCGCGTTGGGATAGTCTAGCTTGTAGTTCTTAAAGTATCTTGCAGCACTGAACCTGTTAGCGATGTTGTATACATGATTACGGGAGCACTTACGAGCTGGACGAGTTGCGTGATGAGCCGCGGTCTTGCTTGTAGACCGCTCGCACAATATCTCGATCGATCTTGCCACTGCAGACGGCCTCCATCATTGCGAGATGTTCGAGGTTGTCGTGAGTCTGGAACAAGGCGTCGCCAGTGAAGAACTCGACAAGAATGCATCCTATACTCCAAATGTCACAAGGGAAACTCCAACCAAGGTTCAGGATAATCTCTGGTGCTCGGTAGTGACGAGTCGATACTACCGAGGAATGGTACTCGTCGTTGAATGTCGCTGATCCAAAGTCGATAAGGCGGATCTCGGGGTCAAGGAGAACCTTGCGATGCCGCGCTGTTCGGTTGACTGTTGTTGACGATGACGGTACAGTTCTGTTGTATGTAAAAGTCTGGTAATTGTTGTTCACAAGCAAGATATTTTCCGGCTTCAAATCGGTATGGATGAGATTGAGGTCGTGGAGGAAGGCAACACTCGTGAAGAGCTGCTTCGCAAATTTCTGAATGTGGGAGCTGGGGAACGGGACAAAGCCATTGGACTTGAGGAAATCAAAGACACTTTGTCCGTAGAGGTCAGTGACGATGCAAATGTGGTTCCGGAAGTCGAAGCAATCACGGAGATGAATACACCGGTTGATGTTGTGCTTGTCGTTGGATGCCAGGGTTGAGAGTACCCTCAGCTCAATGCGACTGGCATCTCGGTATTTAGGCACAGACCGGATGACCTTGATGGCACAGTTTGTTCCCTTCCGTCTGTCGTAGGCTTGAACGACTTTGCCAAAGGTGCCTTGGCCGAGCAGTTTTGTGATTTGGTCTGATATCAGGTGTTAGCATGCTTCTTCGGTGTAGGTTGTGCTGGTCACGTACACCGCTCTGTGAGGTCAGCCTCTGGCACTACGATGTAGTGGCCGTCTTCATCGTCGACCTTTTGGTCCTTTGTGTAGGATTTCTGCGACACGTCAGTATGGGGTGGTTGAGGGCAAGTCAAATTTCTTACGTCTTGGACGACCTGGACATAGACATCCTTGGCCTTGATGACCGGGTTGGGGGGTGGCTGGTACAGGCTGAAGGGATCGTCGTTGTCCAGCTCCCGTCTTTTGGCTTGTTTTGCTTCGTCCTGTACCACGGCACGCGTGCGCTTGCGCTTCTGGCCTGCTGCACTGTTTTCGAGAGGCGAGATGTGATGGCCATTGCTGACCTGTGAGCCCAGCGAGGTAGGCGCAGTGGTGTTGAGAGCAGAGGTGGTCCTGTCGGTGGACAGGGAATGGTTAGGCGAGTCGTAGTAGGGTGTCTGGGTGGTGGAGTAGGACGTGTGCTGGTTGTAGACAGGGTCGTATGCCGTGGACGCGGTCGTCTTGCGCTTCTTGTCGGTATGGCGCGCAGCTGGGTTCGTGGCGGTGCCCCGTGAGGAAGGCGGTTGCTGGCGCGGTGGAGGCAGCTGGGCGTCGTCATCGTCGTCGTCGTCGTCAATGACAATGACCTCTTTGGGGATGCCGTTCCTGTAGAAGTCGGCCCAGTCGGGATTCCGCCGCCGCTGGGCCGAGCCCGGGTCGTTGGCGGCCATGTCGATGGGCGAGGCCTGTGTGATGGGCGGCAGCTGAGGCGGGTGTCTGGTGTGGGCAGTCGCGTTTCGGCGAAGGTCTGAACTCGAGGAAGCGCTAGCGTAGCCGTTGTAGAGCGAGTTGCCTATCCGCGCAGAGCCGTTGGCAACCTGGGCATTGGACATGCTGGGCTGGTATGTCTGGTGGTGAGAATAAAACTGGTGATGGGGCGGGAGTGTGGCCGTGGCGGTCGAGGGCGTCGACATGGCTGGCCTGTGTCTGGCGGTGCGAGAGCCGACGTGGTGACGCTACTTCTCTGCTGCGCAGACGAGCCGACCAGACACGCCACTGGGGCGTGCAAACAGCGCGATGGGGCGCCTTGTTGTGGAGAGCGTCGTTGCTATCGACGCACCGTCGCTGCTTTGTGCGTGCTGGGACGAGGGCTGAGGGCTGGCTTGCGGCAGAGACGTTATCGCACGCCGTGGCCAGTCGACGATGGGGCTGCCCAAGGTGCTTGGTGCCGCGGCTGGATGCAGGGCCGGGGGGCGGGCTATAGCAGGCGTGAGGGCGATGGGGGTGCACGCTGGGAAGAATGGCGGGCGTCGAACATGCCAGAGACGTGTGAAAGCGTCGTGGTCGCCGGGTCGAGGCAGGCGAGTTGAGATCACACTTGTTGCGGAGTCTGTGGTGAGAAGCCGGGGCCTGTGCGGTGCACATGGAGCGTCATTCGTTCAATCTTCTCGCGGCACGCCAGTCGACCGTCTCTCTTTCGCGTCTCGCGCCCAACTTCAAAGTCGACCCTACTAACTGGCCCTACTACACCCTACTACACTCTGCTGCACTCTACCACACTCTGCTACACTCTACCACACTCTACTACACCGTGCCAGCCCAACGCTGCAACAGGCCAAGTCATGTGTCTGCGCGGCGCCTTTGGCCGTAGCCGGTCGCTTGTGCAAAAACGCCCTGACCACCACTTTGTCGCAGACTGATGACAGTGAAACTGCTGCACGTGAAGACCGTCCATGAAAGAAACCACCTCTGTAACACAAATCTATACCATGTGCGCTTTTCCAGGCATCGGAGCCTTTTCCACGTCGAGGCCTTGGGTGACCGCTACAAAGTGAAGCAACGCCTGTGGTCACGAGAAGACGGGGATCTGCGTTTAGTGTCATCTGGTTACTGTGGTAGTCGAGCAACCACCATCCTCCGTGACGAGCGCTCCCTCAATTCACAATACCATGGCAACCTGTCCCTACACATTTCACCACCAATGTCTACTCAGCCCAGCCTTGACCCAAATTGAGCCGTCGCTGCATTCTGACCGCACCTCCGTGGTTCGCCAACCTTGGAAGCTGCGAGGCGCGGTCCCTTCCGCACGTGGAGCGACACAACGTTGCCGCTCATCACTTGCTGCTGCTTTTCCTGGCTATGACGCAACTATACATATTTCCAACCGTCTTATCCTTCAGGTACGCGCCACACACGCCCATGTCGACTTCTTCTGCTGTTGCTGCCACCCGTCTCGGTTTGCTGTTATCCATCTCACCCAGCCTGGGCTGATGAAAGGTTTGCTGCACTCCGCCTCACTACTAACGTCATAGCCTCAGCATCTCCACATCTATACCACACTCGGTAGTCGGTAGCAATATATCATATAGGCAATTGACTGCAGACTACTCATCAAAGTCCTGGCTCCGCGCTCCTACGAGGACAGATTAGCCTTTGGTTAGCCGCCAAGGCTGAGTCGCTGCAAGGTCTGTAGTCGTGCGCGGCACGGATCTAGGTTGGCAGGCGCTTTCAGCCCTGGTCTGGCCCATACATGGGCAATGTGCCCAATGAACACCTGCTAGTATCATGCTCGCTTGCACCCCACGCCGCTCTCTCTTGACTGCAAAGCAGATCGAGTTTCTTCTGTGTTGAGCACCGTCCGTGGTGAACAACGTGGCATGATCCCCCGTAAATGATCTCAAAGAGCCTCGAGTAAAGACGTGTTTCATACAGCTTTTCTGAAATAACTGACAGCTTCCGCCCATGCGGATGTCGTCTTTCGTCCAAGGCCATGCATCCCTCCTCAGTGCGATAATATATCCAAACAGCCGCTCCCATGCATTTTTCCTGATGATGGTGCTCGCCCTCTCTCCTCAATGGAACCTCCAAAAATCCGGTCCCAGACAATCATCACAAAGCCACCGCGCGCATGCTCGTCACAAAAGCCGCCCAGACAGTAATTATAAAGAAAAAAAAGTCCGTGAATCATGTTTATTCATGTCAAGTGAGACATGTTCATCTGTCCAATGTTCTCGTTCGGCGTGGGCGGAGTTGCCAAAGCGTTGGTGATTACAACTTCGGGGCGATGCTGAGTTCCTCGAAGAAGTCAAAGACTGTCTTACTGACACGGTCGACGATAAAGTCGACGTCACTGTCGGTGATGTTGTACGCAGGGGCGATGATGACGTGATCTCCACGATTGCCGTCAACTGTACCGGATCCTGGATACATATAGACGTTATATCCATCTTTCAGCCCTGATGTAGTAGTCAGTCGGCGAACTGCTCGCAAGTGTAGAACGAACATACCTAGCTCATGGACCCGCCAGGCCACTGCCACTTCAGGGTCAAATGGTGCCTTGGTCTTCTTATCTTGCACAAACTCGATCTGTCTTGGTTAGAAGCTGCAACATGTGTCAAGGTTGCTTCTCAAACTTACCCCTAGAAACAGACCTTTGCCTCGGATGTCAAATACATTGGGGTGATCACTCAGACGAGTCATCAATTTCTTCATCAGCTTGTCCCCTTTGTCTCTAACATTCTCTAGGAGGTTGTCATCTCGAACGATTTGTTGCACTGCAAGACCAGCAGCGCATGCTGCGGGAAAGTTCTGGAAAGTATGACCGTGGGCGAAGGCAGCTTCTCCAAGAGCATCCGTTATCACTGGTCCCACAAGCATCGCGGATATGGCTGCGTAACCGCCTGCAAGTCCCTTGCCTACCAATTGCATGTCTGGAACGACATCCTCATCTTGCCAGGCATGCATATAACCGGTGCGGCCCATGCCACTCATGACCTCATCCAGAATGAAGAGTACCCCGTACTTTTTGCATACGCTCTTCATGGCCGAAAGATATCCGGGTAACGCGGGAACGCATCCAAGTGCCTGCGTCGACATGTCAGAAACTGGACATTTGAAAACATGATGTCATTACAATGGTGCTACTTACCGCGCCAACTACAGGCTCCATGACGAAGCCGGCTACTGTCTCAGGGCCAAGATCAAGTATCTTGCGCTCCAACTCGTCTTGAAGCCGCTTAACATACTGAGCCGTCGTTTCTCCCTTGATCATATCGCGACAAGGATGGCAAGGCGATATGAACTGAGTCTTCTCCGGTAGAATAGACTTGTACATGTCCTTGCGGCCCTTGTGCCCACTGCCCTCAAGAGCACCGAGCGTTGCCCCATGATAGGATCGATCGCGGGCAATAAACCAACGGCGCTGGGGTTGCGGGTTGTCCTTCAGTTTGGAGTGATATTGGTAAGCTAGCTTTTGAGCTGCCTCGTTAGCCTCAGAACCTGATGATTGTGAGCTTCAATTCGGCCATAGAAGTGTAGGCTATATTACCAGATCCATAGAAAACCACCTCAGTCATCTTATCGTCCGTTGATTCTAGAAGGAAATCTGCAAAATCCTCTGCAACTTCAGTTTGGAAGCTCATCGATGCGGCGTACCCGACACCAGTTTCTTCTTGCTGTCTGATAGCCTCATATACTCTTTGGTCCTTGTGACCAATATTCGATACAGCGGCACCCCCGGAAGCGTCAAAAATCCTCCAGGCCTTCGTTTCGTCGGATACTGACAGCCAATTTCCCTTGGCCTCTTCCAGTACTAGTGGACGACCCCTCGCACTGCGTTTGAGTAAAGGACTGCGAAGACTGTTGCGGTTTCGACGGCTCCGGCGGTTTTGAGAAATGGTCAGTGCAGGGGCTTCATCCATGGCTGATAATGAGATGCTGCTCTCGGATGCTGGACTGGAAGTGCCGTTCTCATCAAATAGTAGCGCTGGTGCCATCGTTGCTATTCGTAGAATGAAGATAGGAAGTCAGAGGGAAAGGGAAGAAGAAATGCGTAGGGTAGCAGTTGAATAGTTGCACGCAAGTGTGAAAAGGGAAGTACGATGATGGAAGAAGAGGTCTCAACGGCTGAGGGGAAGAAAACCAGAAGAGCGAAACTGCAGGTGAATGACCGGTGCCTTTATAGTCGCTTGATAGTCACGTAGGCTAACCACGAAGCGTATTGCGATCCGATCGGTGAGGCGTCTTCTTGGAACGGAACGTTTGCGGTGTAATCAGGCTCAGGGTCACTGAACCACTCTTTAGACTCTCGGCAGGTCATCTTCAGCCCTAGATTTCGGGCCGGTCGGGGAGCCTAACTTTGAGACGACTAGAACATGAAAGCACTTGGGTCATAGTTAGTTCTTAGGTTCACGAATCTGTACGCTGGATGCGGTGAGGAAATCTGAGCTTATTCATTCTTGTGGAGAGTTAACGGTCAATCGCTTACTCAATTAGCCAATCAGGACAAACCGTGGCTGTTTTACCGGATTTTGCTTGATATCGATGTGATAAAGGGACGGTAAGCGTGGTATGATAGGAAGACGCCATATGTAAGACCAGGGGCCGTGGTCGTCTTGATGTCAGGGCAAGAGACCAGAAACGCCACTACATAATCATCCTTGCGTATACTGCGCGTTATAGGAAAATCCAGGAGACAGGAACGGTGTTTGGCAGGGCCAACGCGGATCCTGCGTACATAATGCGTTCATGTCGTCAAATTACCAATCGAATCTCACTTGAGCAGGCTGCTGCACACGTGCATGTACCGACAAGACCTTGCACTAGCGGCTCACGAACGGCTGCGACACCTGTATCATTGCCACATGGTGCGAGTGGAGATTCAAAGAGATGCCAGCGGTTTGTGGGATCGACAAGGTCCGCTACGGCCACATGCAACCCACTGCTAAGAAGATCGGATCGGGTTTTAACCGTAAATCTTGTGTAACCGAGCCTAGCGTGTGATATTCGAGTCTTGTATAATATCCAGCGACGGCATTGAATACGAAGGAAGCCGCTTGTGTTGTACCGGAAGTTGAAAGACAGGGCACTGCGTGCTTGCCGTGGCGAGTCCCGGTGCATCCAAATGGCCAAAGAGTGTGAAAGGGGAAGCTAGTGCTCCTTCCGATGCATGGCATTGATCTGACACGGTCTGCTATAATGCCTAGGCAAAGGTGAGTATGTAAATTAGAGTGTTTGTGAAGCGTGGCCGGACAAGGATATGCTCGAGGGAACGAGTCAATTCAGATAGCAGAGACTATCGTCACTGACAGTGGAGTAGCAACAGCTCAATGGACGGTTGAGGCGCCAGACACAGGCAGCGTAGTTACCAGAAGCGATCAGCTGCAGATCGTGGCACTAGCGTGATAGCATGGGATGATGCAGCAGAAGGAAAGGAACAAGATGCGCGGACGCCAGGTCAGGTGTGGTGGTTGCGACTGGGTAAGACGCGCTTCCGGCAGAACGGGCTTGACGTGGTGGCGCGGCGTGATAACGGTCAGACCCCTGCGTGAAGCTGCACAAGCCGTTTGCTAGCCATAAAAACATCACCTGATGGTTCGGGGAGCGGCAATTTGCGGTGAAGCGGAAAAAGCGAGTTAGCCCAGCGCTGGGGAGGTGGTGCTAGACAGTCGTTGTGGTCAACTCGGGACGAGAGGCAGTCGGCCGGGCCGTAGTACAGCACAGGCAAGGAAAGCGCCGAAGCGCCGAAGCGGGTCGGCAGCGCTTGCCCTTTGCACAGCCAAGCCCCGCGTTTAGCTCCCCCCACATGCCTCGAGGCGTGCAGGCGGCCTCGAAGATATCACGATAATTCAACCACACCGGGAAAGGCGAGGTGAGTGGCGGGCTGGTGGGCGGGCGGGCGGGGCCAGGTGCGATGCGACGGCGAGCTGACTCCCCTGGGCAGGACCAACGGGCAGTCACGATGAATCCCCGCGTCGAAGAAGTCAGCGATTCGGACAGCGATCCGTCAGAGATGGGCATTGACGACGTGCCCGCTCTGATCAATGCCACCAACGTACCCAGCACCGGCACCGCGTCCATGCCGCCGCAGTCGCAGATGCTACAGCCGCAGTCGCCCGCCATCAAGACGTCGACGGACCGAGAAAAGTCCAAGCACTACCAGTGTCTATACCCCATCTATTTTGACAAGTCACGCACACGCGCAGAAGGCCGTCGCGTGGGCAAGGAGCTTGCCGTAGACAGCCCTCTAGCACGAGAGATGGCCGATGCCGCAGCCGACCTGGGGCTCCGGACCGTCTTCGAGCCCGACAAGACTCACCCGAAAGACTGGGCCAACCCGGGCAGGGTGCGTGTCCTGCTCAAACACCAAGGCAAGCTCGTCGACGACGACGTCAAGAACAAGCACCACTTATACATCCTCATCGCCCAGCACCTCAAAGCCCACCCAACACAGAAGAACACGCCTTTCAGGTTGCCCATCGCAGGCCTACCTATGCCAAAGGAGATGCCCGAGCCAGCAGTACCAAAGGGATGGAAGATGAGCAAGATTCTCCCCCTGCACTCACCTGCCTTAACAGGTGGCGGAGTCAGCGAAAACTTCATGCAAGACATGATGGCGGAAATGATGGGCGGTGACGGAGGCAGCGGGGCAAACAGCGGGACAGAATCCAAGAAGAAAATCAAGGACAAGAAGAAGAAGTGATGCGACTCCATGCATCTACGCTGTCTACCCGTCGGCGCTTCCGTCGACGACATCCCGGCGTCAATGGCCTGGCAACGGCCACATCAATCCGCGCCGCACACGCGCTTAGATACCACTCACGATAGGAGCAATAACCGTCTCTTGTCGCGAGACCACCATATCAACAACATCCACAATCATGAAACGATGCTGCCTTCCCGAAAATTGAGTCACTAATGTGCATCACTAATGCCTGCGTAGTATACGGCCTCTTCGCTTCACTTGCATCTCCTATGTGGAAACTATCGTCTCTCTCTGAGGCCTTGTTGCAAACTTCAAAACTACTGTCGTACTGTTATCCGAGCTGATTGGACACGTTATCGAGCTTCACACCGCTGCTTCGAGTGCTGCGCACTTGGCGTAGATGGACATCTCCTTGCATCACACAGTACCACTAGTTGCCTGCATCTCTCCGACATCGAATACTCCGACCTGGATGCACTCCCGCTCGCAACGCCGTTTAGACCGCAAGTGCTGCATGATATCCTGCGCCCGAGTGCTTTTTGTTACATGCCATCGCCACTTCACTGTAATACCCGAAGGCACAGATGAATGTCAACAATACTACGTGAGACTTGTGCGTCATGTATGCATGCATGCAGCTTACTTCACGTGAGTGCTCAGCGACTTAAGCTGACCCCCACAACCAACTCTTCATGCAAATTTTCAGCCTCTGTAGCCCTTGGTAGCTTCGCGGGTCCATCATCATGTGCCCTCGGCAGAATTGATCCTGATACCCATGCGGTGATTATGAACGGCAATGCCTCCTATTTGCTTGCTACCCCCATGAGGCTGCTCATTTTTCGTACCGCGCGTAAGATCTCAGAGTTGGAAATGTTGGGTCAGGTGGGTTATGTTGGTCTCCATGGGGTGTGTGGTCGTAATTACCAGGTCCCAGTCTCAGCGCCACTGGATTGGCCCGGAACTACTCACGCGAAGGTGACCTTCGAACCCGATTCGATGCTTCGCTAGGTACCCAATGAAGCTCAGTGAACGAAGTCATAACTATTATCTACAGCCGTGTTGTTGTGATCTACTGTCGCGTGTTCTCAACCAACAGTTTCACCTTTGCTGGAGCTGCTTGCGTATTCATTGACCGATATGTCAAAACGATTGAGAAACATAAGCCAAGACTGGTATCTGTGGGGAACTCTCAGTTCATATTGTAAAGCCAGGTTGGCGAGCATTAGCTAACCGTATCATGCACGCACCTACCTGCTTGTGTCCGGGTGCCCTTACACATATTTGAGCACCGAACAGGCCTGACCTCTATAGGGCAGGTTTAATTTTCGGAACATTATATCATCCATCAGTGAAAGTCCCTCACATTAGCCCGCTTCGATGCGTGCGGCGCCACCGATCGCCTGACTGTTAGGAAAAGTATGTCACCATTATTGTCGCTTCGTAATTCAAGAAAGTATTCTGGTCAGCGTGATACAACGTAAACAGTTTGCGGATAACCTTCAGCGGAACTAGTGTCGTGAATGGTGCGGGTAAAATAGCCGCAGCCACTACCCAAGACCGACCAGTCTGACATCTGTAAAAACGGGAGCTGTTTTTTTATCATTACTCGCCACGCATACTGCAGAGCCCAATCAGAGTCGACCAGGCCCTGAACGGCCATTGACTAAGAGATATGCGCTTCCCTCGGCCCGTCAAGTGATGTTAGGAATAAGAAGCCGCTTACTAAGGGGTTACCGGGCCAAGCGGATTTTGGAACTGCCGTAGCTCATTCAAAAAGGTAGTAACTTCTTCATTAGGCTAATAGCGTTGTTACCGCTCTGGCTAGATGGCACATGACGTGTTACGAGAGTTCAGGCGCCCCATTACACCTTACTACTTGAGACACGGCAGCTCCTCCGCTACCACCAATCCCAAGACTCCCCACACTCATGTTCGATCTTGAGGAGACATTATCTGGTGTCCTTGAGGGGCATATAAGAAGAAATTATCATAGAGTCGCTCGGCGATGCCGATGTCGAATGTTTCCATTTGTGAAGAAATCACCCAATGGAGTCACCTACACGTTGGGTTCCATACTTTATCTGTCTTCAACAAAACGCTCCACATTCCACGGGGTATTGACAACCTCCCTACACTGACCTTCGATACCTGCTGAATTCGGTGCGTTAGGTCTAACGAAGTTTTGTCCAGGTATGAGCACCTAAGATTGCAAACAAAAGGACTCCAAGACAAACTTTGATCTACAAGACCACTCATGAAGTCATATTTTTCAGGCCGACCGTATTTGTCCTGAACTTCGCCAGGACTGATTGCCTAGCTATAGCTTGCGTGATTGTATCATTCAAGTTATTTTCAAGTTACATATCCAACTGGACCGCACTGAACTGTCAAGCCTCGAGCCAACAAGTGTGGGAATGATCAGTCCAGCAGCGTAGTTTGTCACAAGAGAACCTTGAGCACCTCTATCTCACTTTGAGGCTCGTAGGATCTCATGCTCGTCATTGAACTTGTGTTCTAGTAGGCGAGACCCAGCTTCGCACATTGTCCACGTATTCCCGCGCGCACTTGCCTCTCACTGCCTTCATTGATTCTGGATGCAGATATGCATAAACCACAACTGTGTTTCTGATACAGAATATCATGCTGACATTGTTATTGTATCGTGCGAGACAACTTCGGAGACTTATGACAATTTGAGACTCGCTATGACACGAAGGATGTGAGGAACATATTTCGATCCACACTACTCTGTGCGGAGAGCCTATTTTTATCTCACAGCGTGCCGAAAGCAGCCTCTTACCCCGTGACATTGATGTGGGTGACTCATCATTCGTGTAAGACTCGGGAATGCAAGACTCCACGAAACTCACATCGATTGGCTTACACTATACGGTCGGCTTTGACATATTCGGAGATTTTGTATTAGGCCCACAGTGTTCAGTTCAATACAGCAGCGGTCTAAAGTAACAATACTCCTTCGGAGCCAATTAATTTACGGATTGTGCACCAGATCTCCGTTTCCGTGATGCTGAGTCCAGCGTAGGGTTAACTGTCGCATGTCACGGTGTATACACTAGGAATGCATTTGTGAAGAAGTGAAGAAGCAATAATATTTACTTGCATAAAAAAGAGTAGGCTAGCGGACTATGCAAATGCCTAGACAATTTCGCCGCGTTCCCAGCACCGATTATGGTATACCCTAATCAAATTTCACACTACTGCATCGCCCTAAGACTTGAACCTTGCCATAGACTCAGGCAGCTGTTTAGATGCCGGCCTGCTGAGCGAATCCGAGCCTTGGGCCATTGCTACCCATCTCGTGAACAATGTACTTGCTCTTGAGGAAGATATCGCCGAAGATGCTGAAACCAATACCGTCATCGGTCTGGATACCGCCAAAGCAGGTACCGTCACCAATGGGTGCGTAGTTGACGTACTTGCCAGGGACAGTCTGCTTGACGCCACCAACAGTGATGGAGAAGTCGGGAAGAGAAGCAGTGCAAGGGAAGATGTAACCACCCTGAGTAGCGTCGTTCTTGGCGCCGCTGACCTTGGCGTAGTAGGCACGGACAATAGCAGTGTCGGTGTAGATGAGAGTGGTGCCGGTGTCGAGGATACCAGAAACAGTTGCCTGAGTGGTCGTGGTGCCGACGCTGTAAGCAGATGCGCTGAATCCCCAGAATCCTTGGCTATCATCCGCGTTGACGTAGGTGATGGGACCAGTGTACTTGCTCTTGTCGATGTATCCAAAGTCGTATGTGCCGGCGGCATGGTACTTAAGAGTGACAGCGAACAGCGGCTGAGCGAGCTGCGACTTCACGGTATCGAAGAATGTCTTCTGTTGAACGGGCTTCACGGTGTTGATGGAGCTCATAGCAAGGCCGAGAAGGCCATCGGTATCGGTGTCTTGAGAGAAGGTTGCAGAGACGGAGGTAGCAGCCTCGACAGCTTGGGAGGTAGCTGTTACACCACCAACTGTGACCTTGTCGGCGTAGACCTTGCCAGAAGCACCAGAGCCATCTCCGTAGGAGATCTTCCAGGAGTAACCGCTCTTGACCTTAGAGGCATCGGCCTTGTAGTAGTCGTGACCACTAAGCTGAGAACTGGCCTGGAGGGATGAGAAAACCCAGCTGAGTTTTGGTTAGATGAGACTTCCATAAAAGGCTTGACACCGCGAACAACGGGCGGGTCTCAGAGGTGGCTTACAGGTCAGAGCTTCCGGTGTCAAAGTCAAGATGGACAGTGGTGGTTCCAACAGTGACTGGGCTCAAGTATGCAGAGTCATACTCGTCATTCGGAGCAGCAGGAACTGATCCGCTGGCAGCAGCAGCGGCAACGACTGTGTTGCTCGCCCTGTTCTGGGCAGCCTCTACAAGGCTTTGAGGCACAGCCTTGCCGTGCTTGCGCAGAGCCTTGATCTTCTGCTCGGGTCCGTTTTTCAGGTATGTCGAGCGAGGAACCTGCTCGACCGAGAAGGAGGTACCCTTGTCTATGGAATTGTCAGTGATATATCCTGTGCTGAGGCATTGTCGTGTGATGGGACAACTAACTCAGTTGAACTGGGGTCGCAACGACTGTGCTAGCGAAGGCAAACGCCGCTGTGAGTTTGGCGAAAGAAGGCATGATAACGATGGCCTACTGGTTTTACTGACTGAAGAAGAAGAAGATACAAGCGAAGGGGAAGGTAAAGCCCGTTTGAGAGGCTTGAGATGATGAAGCCGGTACAGAAACACAAGGAGGATTTGCCTTGGCTTTATACCAAGCATTGCCACAAAGCGCGGCATAGTCTTGTGTCCATGACGATGATGTGCTCCTTGCCCTGTCCATACGTCTACGCTGCGCTCCATTGGCATCGCTATGGTAGTGTAGGATTATAGTGGGGTAAGCGATCAACATTGAAATTAGATCCCGCGACCAGTCATGGTAACGAGTCCTATCTTGGCAGGTAGATCATGCTTGCGATTGAGTGGCGCCGCGTTTCATACATTTACCTGCTGCATTCAGACTTGGCGTCGGCCAGGAGGGTGTATGCGGAACATGTACGTTGACCAGTGGCACATGGAGAGCTTAGAGTCCTTGTAGATCGGACATTGCGACAGAAGTGACCATCTTGTGCGACTTTAGGACCGAATACGTGGCGGGGCATCCGTAATAGTACATTGGTTTCAAGGCTGATTGCAGGCTGTGAGGGTCCGCTTCCATAGCATCGGGCTGGACCGAGGTATGTTCCGTTTCTTGCAGCAGGCAAATAGTACTGTACCAAACATTGATCGTCATTGGTGACATTCCAAGATGAAGGTTGCGATAGTAAAGCGTGCCTTGTTCGCTAAGAGCCAGGTAGCGCTCTTACAATGCTGGGTAGTGCAGGCGCCCGCCAGTCAAGCTTCGAGGCGCTACTAAGCCTAGGACTCTCACTCTTGGCACCTTGATGCTGCAGGGTGCGGGCCAGCCACAGCCGTTTGAAACACGGCCTGGAGATATGTTGGTCATGCAATTGCGGAAATTCGTGGGTTGCCATCATGCGTCATACTCGTGGCCGCTGTCGTTCGCATCGTGGCACATGGTTTGGATGTCAATAGTTCGACGCCAGCACACCGTTGGACCATGGAAAGCGACAGGTAAGCGGCTCAACTGCCGGCCAACGACGCAGCCACTTGTGCGTACGTGGAGGCGCGATCCAAAGCATGCAGAACTCGCCGACCCATCCACACAACCGGTAGATGTTGAAGCGTGATAGATTAATGTCGAAGCAAACGAAGCGATAAGGGCGGCAGCGACTGCATTAGGGAGGTGGCGATGTGAGGTCTGGTTGAATGAAAGGCGGCATATGGGAGGTCCAGTGCAGCAGCCCCGGGCCTAGTGGGCCTTCCCGTGGAGGCTAACCCTGACATGTCACATCAACAGGTTTCGCGGCCAATCATGGCCATGGACGACTTTTTGCTCAGCAAATCGCGAATCTCGTCTTCGGCCAATTGCATATCACATGCCCGCTTGCGCTTCCAACCTGCCCCTTCCGGATGTGATCCGCAACCTCCAGCGCACGACACCGCGGTGTGGGAGGGTACCAAGCATGATCACGCATGCCGAGGAGAATGCTTAGCACTGCACTCTGGGGTTGGCGCTGCCCCAGGCTGAACTACGGAAAGTTCTCACGTCCTATCAACGGTGAAGCTTCACTGTCTCCTTGCACGTTCACTGATACACCGATGCTCGGACGATTAAGCTTTCTTATCACCTTCCAAATGCGAAGAGAGCTCGTTGTCGTTGGCGCCGATCGTGAGGGATGGTATCAAGCAAAGCCAAGGCTATTGAGCAAGCTTGGTACATGCAGCATAGAAACGGTCCGCAACTACATGTGGGACATGAATTGGGTATCTTTGTAATAGTCAGGGCTGGCCATCTTCGGGCTACTGTGCGGTCAACAGGTAACGGTTTCGCCGTAGATCTATTCAGCCTCAGCATTGCCTGCGACAGCGCTCTCCAGCTGCTTCAGCGCCGTGCGATACGCTCTCTTCCTTCCATCCGCCGTTACAGTGCTCTCTTTCCACTCCATACGCTTGACCTTCTTACTGCCACGCTTTATGCTTTCGCCCTTGGCTACCTGCTTCAAAAACCATGCGGCCTCGTTCTTCGTGAACAGCGTCCATGCTTCTCCTGTCTTGCCCGCGCGAGCTGTCCGACCGACGCGGTGGACGTAGCTGGTGATACTTATCGGAAGATCGTAGTTGATGACATGAGTAATATCAGGAATGTCCAGCCCACGGGATGCGGCGTCGGACGCAATTAAGATTTTGACCACTCCAGAGCTGAATGATTTGAGCAGTCTTCGAGACGCATCCGCTGTCAACGCTCGGGTCATTGTCTTCATGTAATTCTTGAATCCTGGCATGAGCGCACCAAGTAGATGCGACAAGCGAGAGGCACTCTCTGTGCTTTTAGTAAAGATGAGAACGCGGCCACTCTGTTTAGATACAGATGCCCGTTCGTCTTCGCCCGAGTCAGAGTCGGAATCAGATGATGTATCAGGGGCGGAAGAAACCGACGAAGAGCCTGATGCTGCCTGGGCGCCTGGAAACACACAGTTGACGAGCACATACAACAGGTGCAGGGGCTTGTTCGAACCATCGCCAACATGCACTGCAAACTCGTGTAGGGTCGACGGCAACTCAAAGACATTTTCTTCATTGTCCAACGTTTGAGATTCTGCAATCGCGTCTTGTACGACAATCAACTTCGGTCGCTTGAGTTTCAGTGTGCCGAGCTTCGTGAGGTCTTTCTCCATCGTTGCGGAAAGCACAATCTTTGTGAGCTGTCTACGAGCAGGCAATGCCATGGACCAGATAGAGTTAGCATCTCGCTCTCGCTTTCGTATCCGTTCTTGAGCGTTCATAAACTCAACTGGCGTCTCACCATGAAGGGCGTCCATTAGCACAGTCGCCCAACCCTGGAAGTTTTGACTCAGCAGCTGGTCAGCTTCATCAATAACGAGCCAGCGCACACTGTTGAGCAGAAAGCCGGTAGTGTGCTCGATGTGCTCAACTAATCGGCCCGGAGTACATATGAGAATGTCTACGCTCGAGTCGTATTGTGGGACGTGGTCTAAAGGCATGGCTCTCAGATCGTCGTACAGTCCTCCTTTCTCCATAAGCCCAGTTTGGTGTTGTCGTGAAGCCGTCTGCTGAAGTTCCTGTGCTCTCCTGGGGTCGTATTGCGGTCTCATCTTCACAAGCTGCTTCTGCTCCGCCGCAAAGGCGATGCTGCCCAAAGCCGTTCCTACTTTGATCTTTGTTCCAGCACATAGCTCCTCGGCAACTTGTAGAGCCTGATTGACGAGTTGCCGGCTCGGTACTACCACAATGGCTGACAGCACGGGTACAGCGCGATCCTTGAGGGCTTCGATGATGGGTAGTAGGTAAGCCAAGGTTTTTCCAGAGCCCGTCTTGGCCGAGACGCATATGTCGCCCAAGTGCTGGTCAAAACCAGGATGCAGCATGGGAATCAATGCTGTTTGCACAGCCAGCGCGTCCTTGAATCCTTGTTTCTCTAATCTCTTTCCATATGAAGGATCAACACCAAGTTCAGAGAACGGGATCGTCGTCGATGCTTCCACGGTGGTAGGTTGAGCGAGCCACGTGGGCAGAGTGGAGAAGGTAGGTTCGTAAACTGGCTCGGGAATCGGTGCGGGTTGCGGCATGGGTTCGAGATCGTGGAGTTCTTCTGGTTCTTGAGCTTCATTTGAAACTTCCTCTTCGCCCTTTTGCCCTACCACTTCAGCAAGCTTCGAGGCTTTCTCGAATTTCGAAAGGATGTTCTTATGCTTCTTGGAAACCTCATCATTGTGGGCTTCGGCGGCTTCAGCATTGCGCTTCCTCTTCTTGGGTTTCTTGATAGTCTTTGGTGCTTCCAACACCACACTGTCCTGTACAGATGCGGGGTCTGAGTCGGCGACCACCTCAGTCGCAGCATAGGCAGGGCTGGAGGCTTTGGTGACCTGATCGCGCGCTGGAGCAGGTGAAGACTGCTTGTTGGCGATGGGCGCAGGCGGCGCGAAACGCTTGAACAGAGGGGCCGGCATCGCGACTTGAGCTCTGGCGACTTCCGGACAGCGATGGTTCAGAAAACAGCCGGGTGGGATTCGCGACGGATTGCGACTGCAGGACGGTGAAGTTGGCTACAAATTATTCTGGACCCTCGAAATTTGGTCGGAGTTTCCAACACGCTAAACGCCGACCAGTGACGCGCCGCGCCATGCCTTGCACCCATTCGCGACGGCGCCATGTTTACAGCAACGCATTCATGCAGCGTCGCCACCGCATCTATGTCCTGAGCTGCCATGTGTCTTCTCTATGAGCAGATGCGAGGAGCCAGTCCTTACAATCCGCCAACATGCCCTACAACATTGCGTACGTTCTGGATCCAGACCCTGCATCATGTCAAGAGCTCACGCGCAACAGCATGGTTAGCGACAACTTCTACCCCCAACCCGGTACGGGCCATGTCATGCCATTTCGAACAGTATAGTACTCATATGTTTCAGGAGGAGTAGAGAGTCATATGTACCAATTGTCAAGTGCAAGGCTGCTCAATATCCCCCACTTGTACATCCCTAACACAACCAGAAACTCATAGATCGTGGACACAAGGTCATCGTCATCACACATGCGTACAACGGTCGGAAAGGCGTCCGATATCTGACCAACGGTCTCAAGGTCTACTACGTCCCATTCTGGGTTATATACCGCGAGACCACCTTCCCCACCGTCTTCTCCTTCTTTCCCATCTTCCGCAATATTGTCATTCGCGAGCGCATTGGAATCGTACATGGACACGCCAGCCTGAGTAGTCTGTGCCATGAGGCCATATTGCATGCACGGACCATGGGATTGAGAACTGTCTTCACAGACCATAGCCTGTTTGGCTTTGCGGATGCTGGGAGTATCCTTACCAACAAGCTCCTCAAATTCACGTTGAGCGATGTCGACCATGTCATATGCGTCAGTCACACTTGGTGCGTGTCTCATTCGTATCGTCTGGCATATGCTGATAGGCTGTAGCAAAGAAAACACCGTACTTCGAGCCTCACTGGACCCTCTCATGGTTTCCGTCATCCCCAATGCGGTCGTTGCAGAGAACTTCCGTCCTCTATCGCACGATGTGGTCGATGCTAGACACATGAAAGCACCGGGACCGCGACAGCCCATGGACCCGGATGAGACCATAACCGTCATTGTGATTCAGCGACTCTACTATAACAAAGGCACAGACCTCTTGGTTGCCGCTATACCCCACATTGTGGCCGCAAACCCTAACGTACGCTTCATTATCGCTGGTAATGGACCCAAGGCTATCGATCTCGAGCAGATGATCGAGCGCAATGTGTTACAAGACAAGGTTCTCATGATTGGCCCAGTCCGTCATGAGGAAGTCCGAGACGTCATGGTTCGTGGCCACATCTATCTATGCCCTTCACTGACGGAGGCGTTTGGTACGGTCATCGTGGAAGCTGCTTCCTGCGGTCTGTATGTTGTGGCAACTCGAGTCGGTGGCATTCCCGAGGTGCTGCCTACGCACATGGTAGAGTTTGCGGCGCCTGAAGAGGACGAGCTTGTTGAAGCTACTGGTCGTGCTATCGCCAAACTGAGAGCCGGTAAAGTCCGGACCGAACTGTTTCATAACCAGGTAAAGCAGATGTACTCCTGGACCGATATAGCTCAACGAACGGAGAGGGTGTATGATGGCATCAGTGGCGTCATCAGTCATAGTGATTTTAATCAAGGTGCAGGCGCAGCTGGCGCTTGGAGCGCCACCCGTGGTCGCGCGGGCGTGCAAAGCTTTGCTCTTATTGAGAGGTTGAAGAGATATTTCGGCTGCGGGATTTGGGCGGGCAAGCTCTTTTGTATTTGTGTCATCGTCGACTACTTGATCTACCTCCTCTTGGAAATGTTTGCACCCAGATCACGGATTGACATCTGTAAGGATTGGCCTAAGAAGATCTCCCAGGCAAAACAAGAGTCGGGAAAAAGGCTTGTGGTTGACATGGACGCCGATAAAGGGACACTGCTCAGGAAGAGAAGTTCCAGGTATCGAAAGTCGAAAAGAGAACAGCTGGAAGACAGTTGAAGGAAGACCTCAGCTGAGCATGGTTAAGATAATCAGGAAAAGTTTTTGCGATTGAATATTACGATTGCTGTCGCCCATCTACAGGCTTGACAGACATCGTGAGAAAAGGAGTGCTATCTACCAAAACCCGTAGGCTTGTATGCTTTACCGGAACGCTGAACCGGTACTCTGCGCCCTGAACGCCGATGAAAATGCTCTGTACAAGGGGAAGAAGAAGGAAAATTGACAACTGCAGCTATGCCATCATTGCTTATGCATAAAACCAGTACTGCGCGCTGTACTCGACGGTAAAGCTTCCCTCGATTCCACTGCAGTCTTTGGGTGCCATGCCTCCAGCGGTATGTATCCGGTAGACCTCGTTGTAAGCCCAGGGGTCAGCGCCTTCACTAGTGACGGTGGCGTTCAGCTTCAGCCATGGCACACTTCCAAGTCCGTTGGTACCCTTGGCTGCGGCCTGGGGTGCAGCGCTCTTGCTGTCGACCTTGCACTCGACGCGGCCGTAGTTAGCCTTGTCGGTTTCCAGCATGAAGAGAGGGACACCAGCGGCAGTGAACTGGTGGTGGCCTGATATCCGCTGCTCTGCTTCGGCGGAGTTTGGAATGGCATAATCAAGTGCGAGCGTGGTTACCTGGGCGAGTGTGTTGACATTGAGACGGGCAGCATCGCAGGTTGCATTGAAGAGCGTGGCTACAGCGCCCACAGCTTTGGGCACATCGGAAGACGAAGATGAAGCACAGGTGTAGTTCTGGGTGCCGCGACCAATAGCGATGTGGCGGAGAGTGGTGCCTTGCGCTGGAGCAGCGAGGGGTGTGGGTGCTACTTGTTATTAGCATCTACGAGCCATGCGTTATTGGAAGGAACCAGATACATACCAGCAGGCAGTGCAACATTTGACAGATCACATAGTGAGTTTGTCTTCCTCAACTCGTCGTACACAGCCGCTGGCAGCTCCGCCAGATGCTGTCTCGGGACGAGTGCTGCTATCGAGTCGACAGTCTGAGTTGGAGCAGCGAAGAGGGTAGTCGGGGCCAGAGCCAAGACAAGGCCGAGAGTGGTAGTGAAGATCATGTTTGATTATCGACTTGTGTTATCTTGGCGGTAATATGGATCGAGTGCTTGGTACTGATTGCCGGGTGTTGGATGTTGTGTAATGTCGATCCGGTGGACGAGACGGTGATGATGTTATATCACGAATGTGAAGCGGATGTTGACCTTGCCGGTGTTGCTAGGATGCGTGCAATCTTTTCTTGGAATAGAATATCGGTCAGGGTGCTGATCTATTACAAGACCTTGTCGGAAGCAATGAGGTCCGTGATGTAAGAAAGGAACACGTCGAAGCGAGATGAAAACGTGGTAAGACGGAACGTAAACAGCGAAAACCTATTCAAGGAAAGAGCTCCAAGGTCAAGGAAAGCACGAAAGCGGAACAGTTGTTTTGGTGAGGGGCGAGCGTAGGAGAGCGCGTTGATGGGTGAGTAAACCGTGAACAAGGCCGTCTATGCCATGTTCCTATATAGAAACTGCAGCCACACGTCGCAAGCACACGACAGCCATCTTTTCTTTCCCCAGCGCCTAGTCCGCTCCACACAGATCCTACATGTCCATGTACACGAAGCCGATCAACCGTTACCGCCAGTTCCACTTGCCCAACCAGACCGTGTCGCTCGCTAAAGTAGAAAAAGACCCCAAATATAGCCAGCCAGGGTACGACTGGCTGACAAGAATCGAGAGGAAGGGCACAGAAGGTTCGTGCGCCGTGGTTCGCTCATCTACCGAGGCGCTTGACAGCCGCTATACTACTTTCGTTTTTGGCGTAGACGCCCGTGGGAATCGCTGGCGAGATGGCTATTTTGGGGGCTGGACGGAGGGGAGGTTGGTAAGAGTTCGGGAGCGAGATTATGTGTATTGAGCTGCTGATGCGGAACAAATTCTGAACATGCGAGGCTGCTGATGGGAATATGTCATCGAGGCTATGTGGTCGTGAAGATAGATACTTGATGATGGTTCTTCAACTAAGTCAGCCGGATGCCGCCCTCCTGTGCGAGTACACATCACCAAGCACTGCGCGTTCAATTCCTCGATCTCCCCCTCAACGATAAGTTTGTATTGAAAATAGCACACCTCCAAGATCCTCTACTACAGTGCGTGACCTTGCAACCTCCGCAACCACCGGGTCCAGCAATCGCTCTCTCCACACCTAGTCCTTCCAATTTCCTTCCCTTCGTTCTGCATCCCCACCACCCGCAGAGCCGCCCGTCCTACACACAATCTCAGCTGCTAAAGTACCCATGTACCCGGTGAACCTACCTAACAAGCCGTATCATCTACTATGCCTAAAGTAGAAGGTACCTCTACCAGAAAAAGACCACAAATCCACAATAATGACTATTAATACAGACTGCATCGAGCGGAGAAATGACAGCTAATATTTCCCACTCAAGTACCCACCATGGCCGACCAATGGCAGACGTGGACAGGAAGGGCGCCTCGAACGTTCTTATGCCAGCGCTTCGCTATTGGCAGCAGAGGCCGCAGAACGGGTTTCTAGGATGATGTTCTTGCTTTAGCTTGTCGACCCGCCGCTGGCTGGCTAGGGATGTCGATGTCGTGCATGTTAAACTTGTTTTGTGTTCCGCACTTGCATGCCGCATTTCTGTTTCCACAGTGGGTTCGTTGGTCGACGATTGTCGAGAGCGGTTGATCGGCTGCGAAAAGACTAGGAAGGGGGGCATGGATGGGCGTGTCGCCTTGCAAACTGGTAATTACCCATACAGAAATACTGATATCGCAAGACACCATACATAACCGTGGAACGTCCTTCGCGCTTGTAGAAAGATTTGGCAGTCTTGGGTCAAGAGTGGCTCGTTTCTTTGCCGTCTCTCCGTCCTACGTTTTCCGGTCAAGTACGCGTCAGTATGGAGACCGAAGTATCATATTCGAAGTCTTCCCTGTGATCATTCGCCACGCGACATGTTTATCAGCCGCCACATAGTCAAGAAACCCATGCACCATAATATCAGAAATGGTTATACGGCAAGCAATTGGGGCCTGTAGGAGACTCAAGGCGAGGTTATTGACATTCGCTATTGGTGTTACTTGTTGCAGGTGCGTATTTGCACTTGTCTCGGTCTCTTGGGGCCTATGAAGAAGCTGCTTCGTGAATCATCACGAGGCCGATCAAAAACAAGCAGACTGTCTGTTGTGATACGATACGTCTTGTTGAAAGTCAAGCAGACTAAACATGTCTCTCAAACTCATCGAAAAAACCAGGGCGTGCGACATGGCCGGCACGCTACAGCCAGTCCAGAATAGAAACGCCCACATGCTGAAGACCACATAATAGTACAGACGTCTGGAGACGTTGATCCTTCGCTAGTTCTCAGCCCATTACGACGTTCCTTCGTCTTCGTTATGCCACGCCGCCGCATCTTCCGGCCCAGGAACAGGCCCTCCAGGTACGCTTGGTCCAACAACGACCGCTGCGCCTGTACTCACCTCGTAACTAAACAAGAAATAGAACACCATGAAATGCAACGCCAGTAAGTACCCCGCAAAGATGTTGCGACTTGTTCGTGTTTGGAGTACGAACTTGGTGACCCGCAGGATCATGCGTTCGAAGAGATGCATGCGCTTCATAGCCCTTGCGCTTTCGCGACCTCGGAACGCGGCGAAGGGACTGAGGTTAGATTCATAGGCTGATCGGTACTTGGTATCGACCGTTGAACCTCCACCGTCGCCCATGTTGATGGCCGAGGGATTAGGGTTGGTAGCGTAACTCGAGGCGCTGGATGCTGGCCCTCGGTTGACCGCGTTGTAACTGCTCACATACCTCGTCTTCTCATACAAGTCCAGGTTGTCCTTCTGTAGCGCGCCAATCTCACTTCGCAATGATGAAACTGTTTGGTAGGACTTTTGAAGCTCAGCCTCGAGCTCAGAGTTGCGCTTCTTGAAGCGGTCGCGTTGGGCGGTAATCATCGGGAGGATACCAGAACCGCCTCCCATGGGCTCGACACCACCGCCTCCAGCGCGCAGAGACGCTAATGTTGGGGCTTGCGACGAGTTGTCGAAGCCAGAGATGATGGACGAAGTGGGTGATGAGCGGCCTCTTCGGCCCCCAGCAAAGGAAGATTGTGGATAACGCGATACGTAAGTTCCTGCGACTGACATGCCAGATGGGTCAAAGGCATTGGTCGCTTCTTGCTGGACTTTCTCAAGATCGGCTTCCAGTGTTTCGTTGAGTTGTCGTGACTTTTCCAAGTCCATGTTTGTGTTGGAGAGTTCTTCTTGCAAAGCTTCAAGTCTGGTCTGCAGATCCTGGTGTGAGACTCGCATTACTGTAAGTTCGTTGCTGAGTTTCTTGTTGCGAGCAAGTAGCAGCTGTTCGAGTGTTTCGCCTTTGCCTTTGCTAGACGCATTGTTTTGTGAGAGTGCGACCTCGGTGGCTTCGTCGTCATCATCGCCTGTCGCGAACTCAATCGACTAGCACAAGTTAGCTTTGGCTTGAAAATGCAGTTTGACAAGCATACCTTCAACACTTCTAGTTCCTGCTTCACATTCTCGTAATCGCTCCACTTGAGTACCTTCTCGCGAAGAGCTTCCTTCTCACTCTTGAGTGACTTGATCTCACGTTCCAGGCTTCTCGTCTCAGTTTCGAGCCGTGTTCGGTCGGAGTCTTTTTCAAACCGGGCATTCTCAAGCTTTCGCCTGAGTGAAGAGTTCTCGGAACGGAGTCGCAGGAAAGCAGGGTCATCTTCAGCAGCAAGCTGCTGCGCTGGTGCGGACGCAGACTGGGCCAGTTCGAGGCGTAACTGCTCGTTTCGTGCCGTGATTTCGGCCAATCGATGGCTTGTTCGCTCGAGCTCTGAGCTGACGATGTCAAGCTCGGCAGCAGTGGCGCCCCGGCTGCCTTGTTCGTCGGTGGCCTCTCCCTGGCCAAGTCGCTGTGAGACTTCGTAACTGGCCTTGAGTTCCTTTAGTAGTCGATCCTGGTTCTCGACCTTCTCTTCTAGGCTCTTCTCCTTGGATTCCCAGTTGTCTTGCTTCTCATTCAGGACAGCCGACCATGATGCCTCCACATCCTTGATCTTGCTGTCCCGGCTGTCCTCGAGGGCCTTCCTCGCTGCACGCTCCTGCTCCAAGTTCTTGTCCGACTCGTCAAGTTGTGTAGTAAGACTCGCCACCGTCTTCTGCAGGCGCTCGTTTTCGGACGTGAGTTTGGGCACAAGCTCTTCCGAAGTGACAAGCGAGTCGACGGAGGCTTCGAGGAGCGGATACGGGTCAGGTGCTTCAGAGAGCGGCGAGTAGACTTGGAAGAAGGCGGCCTGCACCGTCTTGGACTGGTTTGAAATAAGATCAATGAAGTTTTGGTATGCTGTGAATCTGACTTAGCAGAGCACGCTGGGCGGCGCGAGTCGAGACTTACACTTCAAGAGGCCTTTGATGTCGCTGAGCTTGCTGGCATCGTCGAGTTTCCGGAAGTCTTTGGTCTTCTGCGCGAGATCTTTTCTTTGCGTGAGCGTGTCTCTTTGATGCGCGACGAGATCCGAGGCTACCGTATCGAGTTGCGGGATGAGCGTGGTGAGATCGATGTCTGGCGCATCGTTAGCCCTGGCCCATGATGCTGGTCGTGCATGTTCGTACTGCGCCACGCGCCAATAGCCTTTTGGAACTTGTTCTCCTCTTCGTGCTCGTCTTCTGCGCCAGACTCTTGCCTCTCCGCGGCTGTTCGAGTCTCGACCCTCTCGTCCATGTCGACTCCGCCCTCCATTGGTGCGCTTCGGTGGCCGCCCGTGGTGCAAGAACAATGTGCAGCTGGAATGCGAAAGGATTGGCAGCTCCTACGGCCGTGGTCAAGCGTGCTCAAATGTCGTCTTACGGCGCGCTGGGAATCACGGGCTGGACTTGGTTACGTATGCATACAGCTTCGCGTGAAACCGCGGAAGGTGCGGCGTTGGGCGGCCCTAATTGGTGGGCTGCGGCACTCATAGCTCGCCAGGCAACACGAGCGCATTCCACCATCCACCATGCGCGCCTCCTACACGTCACTGCCGTAGCCGGTCATGGCGCGTGTGATGGTCGACAATCATGGCAGAAGCATCTTTCCAATCGCAGCGACCGCCTCCGCTCCATGGCCCCTACATCCTCCGCAAGCTCGTCGCAAACCTACCGCTGTCCGCTGACGGCCCCTCTGCAGACGTGCGCATCACGTGTGTAGAAGTATCGAGTATGCGCGCCCCCATGTCCACGTGCGCCTCGCCAGGTACTGACGCGTTTAGACGGCAATCTCTACGTGGGGACATCTGCCTCCGAGATCATCCACTTCGTCCTCCTACCACCAGAGACCGACGACCCTTGCGAAGAACCCACTGCCATCATCGCCTCCCGATTGGAGCCGCCGCACAATGACAACAACGGGCCTGGCGTGCAGCAGATCCTGTTGCTTCCCAAGATCAGCAAGGCCTGCGTACTGTGCAACAATACCCTCTCCATCTACTCGCTGCCCGAGCTGAGCCCAGACTCGACCTTCAAGCCAATCGGATGTCTTTGGGTTGGAGGGGTCGACTTGAACGAGGACGTCGATAGGTCTTCTGAGGATGGCGTAGTCGTCGTCATTGGCTTGAAGAAGCGACTACGACTGGTGCAGATATCCGAGAACTCCCCTCCAAAAGCGATCAAAGCAATCGAGTACGGAGGCTGCTTAGTTTCCGTCCGCCGAGATACTTTCTCATGCGCTGCCGATGCGCACTCGTATGCCCTCCTGGACATCGTACATCAGCAAAAGATAGGCCTGTTCCCCATCTCATCCTTGGACCCCGATGCTGGTGATGTTGGTGGAGCTGCTGAGCACTTGGCGACCGTACCTAGTGCACCCTCTAGAAGCGCCTCTTCTGCAGATCGACATCTACGAGGTCCTGAGGAGCAGCGTGGTCATGCTCGAAGTACTAGCCTGAATGTGCTTGGTCTCGGCGGTCCTTCTAGAACAGCAAGTCCACAGCCTCCGGCGCAGCGATATGGGTTCGACGTGCCAGAATCGCTGTCCCGGGACATGTCACCAGCCCCTGCCCGTTCCCCTGCGCGAGTGCCCATGGGGGGTGAACAATATGAGAGATCGTCTAGTCGTTCTCGTGGCGGCGCAACCTCACCCGACAAACCTCTACCGCCACCTCCGACAGAGGAAGATAGGCCACAAGCTGAAGAGCCACCACTGCCACAACCGCCACCATTCATCCCATTGAAACCTCACGTCGCATCACCAAATCCGAACGAGTTCTTACTAACGGTCGGCACAACACCTTCTGATCAAGGTGTCGGCATGTTTGTGAATCTCGACGGGGACATGTGCAGGGGTAGTATTCAATTCAGTAGCTACCCTGATGCCATCGCTGTCGACGGCTCGGGCATGGACTTCTCAGCATCTATCAGTCCGGACATGAACGCTGAAGAAGGCTACGTGCTAGCCGTCGTTCATCGAGAATCACAAGGCAACACTACCTATGGTGTCGAGGTACAGCGATGGGATGTAGATCCGAGCGCTGGCGAAGTGGATAAGTACTGGCTCAACTTCAGTCCTCTCGGATTGCCAGTGCACACCAATGGCTCCTACATATCGACGCCTATAGGTATGCGCACCGTAGTGCAGCCTTTCGATCTCGTGATACCAGAAATAGGCGCAAAATTAACCGTTCGGAAACTGCATCTTACTCCGACCGAAGAAACAGCAGAAGAGGCCCCTCGGGTTGCAAAGAGCCAAGCGACCGCCGATCGTGAGTTTGCAGAGCGCCTATCCAAACTGCAGTCTCGAATTGTGGTCTGGGCTGGTGATCAGATATGGTGGACGGTACGCAATCCACTAGTGACCCAGTTAGATTCTCGAATTGAAGCTGCGCAGTATGCGCAGGTGGGAGATGTGGCACGCATTCAGCCCGCCAGGGGGGCCATAGAAAAAGTACTAGGCGATATTCGAGGACGAGAACCGCAAAATGAGTCTGAATACCTCAGTCTCATATACATTCGTCAAAAGGCCTCGCTCATGCTCTTCATGGACGTGGTCCTACGTACAAAGGCCGACATCATCATATTCGAGAACGAGAAGCGCATTACAGAACAAGCGCTCATCGAGGGCGAGATGGATCCGCGCGTTGTCTTGAGCCTGATGCCGATTCTCTATCGAGAGGTCGTTCAAGGATCTGATGGCATACAAATTTACGGCGGCATCACGACCCTAGTAGAGCATTTTTTGCAACAGAACGACGTATCTGCAATGCCGACAAACATCAATGGTCCCTTTGGTGATAATCTTTTGCACTTTGTAAAGCGTTACCTTCAGTTTTGGAGACGGCGAAAGGGAATGGCCAGTGTGACCAACGACCCATCAGTGTTTAAGAGTGTCGATGCGGCGCTGCTTCATATTCTTTTACTGTTGGACCAAGGCAGCGCGAAAGGTACCTCCAGTCCAGGCGCCCAACGAGCAGAACTCTATGACCTAGTAGATAAGGAAGTAGAGTGTTTCGACCGTGCTGTTCAATTGCTAGAGCAGTTCAAGCGTCTCTTTCTGCTCAGTCGCTTGTACCAAGGTAACTGTAAGGCTTCCGTCAAGGCGTCACACGTGCTGGCGACCTGGAAACGAATCATAGAGGGCGAAGAAGACAAGGGAGGGGAACTTGTAGATGGCGAGCAGAAGGTGCGCGACTACCTACGAAAGATCCGGGATCAGGGACTTGTGGAAGAATACGGCGCTTGGCTAGCTAATCGGAACCCCAAACTCGGTGTTCAAGTATTCGCCGATGATCAGAGTAGAGTCAAGTTTGATCCTACCCGAGCTGTTGCTTTGCTCAGGGACAAAGCGCCAGGCGCGGTCAAAGACTACCTGGAATATCTGGTTTTCGGTCAGAAGAAGGTACGACTAGAAGTATAATTAGGTGACTCTCGCTAACATGGTTCACAGCACCCACAGTATGTGAATGAGCTCATTGCTTTCTATCTCGACAGCGTCATCAATGAGCTCGAAAGCAACGCTGGATCGCGGGCCACGCTGTCGCAAAGCTACGAGACGTACCGTATCCTGGAGCCACCCAAACCAACGTACTTCTCCTTCATAAACGACAATGCTCTTGCTGCAGAATGGTGGCATGCGCGTATACGTCTGCTCCAATTACTTAGCGAGACATCCTCTTACGATGTGAACACAGTTCTGTCGCGCCTACAGCCGTATGAGCAAGAGCTGGTCTCCGAAATGATCATCTTGAATGGTCGACAAGAACGACACGAAGAAGCGCTAAAACTGCTCACCCATGGTCTCGGCGACTACAACACTGCTATAAGCTACTGTTTGTATGGTTACGCCTCCATACATCGACGTGCTACGCCAGGCGCACCCCCTGTTTCGCATAGCCAGATACCTACTCGTCCTGAGCAGTCACGCATGTTCGGACACCTGCTAAAAGAGTTCCTGACTATAGAAGACCTTTCACAACGTGTTGAGCGAACAAGTGAACTTCTGGAACGCTTTGGAGGCTGGCTTGATGTAGCTGATGTGTTGGCAATCGTGCCGGACGATTGGTCAGTAGATGTGTTCTCTGGTTTTTTGATACAGACGTTGCGGAAGCTGGTGAGAGATAAGGCAGAAAGTGATATCGTGAGGGCTCTTAGCGATGCGCAGAATAGTCAGACGAGCAGCAAATTGGTAGAGAAGAGAGACGAATATGGCGCCACATTCGAGAGGGCAGCTTAGTAGGATACATGCTCATATCATTACGGCAAAAATGGAGCTGAAGTGTATATATCGAATTTGAGTCATTGTGGTCCTCAGTGTGGCTGTCTTGAACGATTTTGAAAGTCCACTGCGCTGGGCGCTCGCCCCTGCCTCGTAGGAGTCTTGGCATTTTTCGTACCCGAAGTCACGAGCAACGCCGGAGTGTAGCCACCAACACCGCTCACTTCGCTCTTTGATTCATCTCAGCTTCAATTCAACTCAATTTGCATAAAACCATCCGCAATCGCTTAGCATCACAATGCAGCGCCGTATGGTAAGTGTCGACAATTTTTGCATCGTGTTCCGCAGTTTGGCGCTAACTGTGGCAGCTCACCAAGGACGAAGAGGCCTCAGCTCAGAGCGAGGATCTGGAGGTGCGCCGTGAGGATCAAGAGAAGATCAACAAGTTCAGTTCGCTGCATCAAAAAGAGGAGATCCTCGAGGAAGAGCTGAGGGCCAAGATTGTATGCTGCGAAACGCCGCCGTTGGTCGGTATGTAGTCTAACGTAACCGTAGAAGGAGAAGGAAGATTTGGAGGAGATCTCGGGCGAATTGGAGCTCGTCGATGAAGAGGAGAAAGTACCGTAAGTTTTTTGTGATCCGCTACAGGGTGGGCCCTCGTCAGAGGTAGTATAGCTATCATGAAGCTAATCACAGCCACAGGTACAAAGTGGGTGACTGTTTTGTCTCCTTACCACAGCCGCAGGTTCTCGAACTCCTAAGTTCTTCCACAGAGAACATTGATGGTGAGGTAGAAGCGCTAAAGGCCAAGCTAGAAAGCATTCAAGAAGAGATGGGGGAGTTGAAGAAGGCCCTTTATGGCCGGTTTGGACGCAGCATCAACCTTGAAACATAAGCAACGCAGAAGTCATGGGCTTCCAGCTTGTGTTCACCGATAGAAAATCCAGTACCAGAGTTGAACCAATGTTCAATCTGATGGCTCCTTTCCGAGATAAGGTCAAGTTCGGAATCGGTGTTCCCAATGCATGCCGTCGGATTAAACAGATGCGCAGAAAGACCCATGTACGTGACTCATTCCAGGCAAGCTTCGCAGCGATGTTCCGGTGTCCCTGGGAGCCGCGCATCGGTAAATCAGCCGATGCACAGCAACGCCCTATGGTGCTTGGTTTTGCACGGGTAGCTAAACGGTACCCGTCATCCATTCGTAGGTCAAGCCCCGCCTACTCCAAATGGGGTAAAGCTGTGATCGACAGCCAAACATGCAGCCACATCATTATCGATCAAGGGCATTGTGGCACATACAAAAGCACCTCGGATAGCTGATTTAAGTGCGCGGGGTCAAGCGTTTCCACTCTAGACCTAAATCCATCTGATCGATTTCTCGATTCCCATCGTTTCTACAAAAGTACATGTCGTCCGTCCGAGGCTTTAGTGCTGATAGACAAGTCTACCGTTCGTATGGTTACCATGGACAGTGCCGATCTAGAGAGAAGTTATTCCCGGGAACAGCAAGGCTTAGGACCGGAGCACGAGGCTATCACATCGCCGGTCGCTCTTGTCCGGAGTTTTACGTCGAAGAGTCAGAAAAGCTCAAGAAGTTGGCAGAGCTCGAGGAATCACAGTACGCATGCTCATTCTTAGTGTGATGTTGGAGCTAGTTTCCACTAACGGGTCAATATAGCCGGCGTAGAAAGTTCGCGTGCTGCGCGACTGAGGGAACTTGGAAAAGATGTCGACGATTCTTCCCATGCCGAAAAGGAAGACGCAATTGAGAAAGTTGCTTCGCGAACACCATCAACGCTTAGTTCGCCCGGAAGATCAAATGCTTCTTCGGTAATGTCGAGCGTTCACGATAGCCATGCGAGTGGCCGATGTGTTATTCGCTTTGAAGACGGAGATCCCGAAAACCCCAACAACTGGGGTCGCGTGAGTTGATGTGCGGTACCAAAAATGATACAAGGCTGATGAGAAACGAAGTGGAAGAAGATCTACGCCCTTTTCGTGGCCATCATGAGCGGCAAGTAACCCCGTCCGACTTCTATAGCTAGGAGAGCTGACCTGTACATAGTCATGAACAGTACCATGACCTCGAGCCTAGCAGCCGGTGCTGCAGTCCCTATATCTCTTCACTTCAACGAGTACGATGAGTATAAACTCATTTTACCGACTTCAATGTACCTTGTCGGCTATGCATGCGGTCCTATGCTCTGGGGCCCACTGTCGGAATCGTACGGCCGCAAGGGAACCATGGTGATTTCTTTCGGCATTTTCACAATCTTTTCGGTCGCTTCAGCTCTTGCACCGAACTTTGCAGCGCTAGTAATCTTCAGATTGCTGGTTGGCGTGGGAGGTAGCTGTGCCATCAGTGTTGTTGGTGGTATATGCGCAGACATATATCACAACCCCAAGTATCGTGGTAGGAGTATGGCTATCTTCATGGTAAGACGATTTTGCTAACAACGGATATCCTATACTCACCTTTTACATCAGGCTGCGACAACCTTTGGCCCGATCCTAGGCCCCTTGGTATCAGGCTACATTGCAGCTGTCTCTTGGAGCTGGGCCTTCTGGGTTGGAGCTATATTCGCCGGCGCAACATGGCCGTTGTTCTACTTCTTTGATGAGACATATGGTCCAACAATCTTGAAGCGTCGGGCTCATCGGTTACGCATAGAGACTGGGGATGAAAGGATCGCGGCACCCCTGGAATTAGAGAAGACAGATTTGAACCACATCGTCACTGTCATCTTGACTAGACCATTGCGCATGATCTGCTTCGAGCCTCTGGTATTGTTCACTTGCTTGTACCTGAGTTATGCCTGTAAGCCAATTTTGTTCGCTGATACGCGGCGGTAGCGATGTGCTGATACCTCTCTTCCAGATGCCATTTTCTACATATTTTTACAGTCCTATCCCATCATATTCCAAGGCATCTATCACTTTAATGCTGGAGAGACCGGCATTGCATTTCTCCCCATTGGCGTCGGTGCAGTCATCTCTGCTGGTATCTATCTTTCTTGGGACTGTACGTATCTTCCACATACTGTGTGTGAAACGTTCACTGACTTTGCACGTTGAACATTAGGGTACCTGGCACGCTCTCAACGTCTTAACCGGCCTTGGTCACAGGATGAAGAGATGCGTCGTCTACCTCTAGCATGTATAGCAGGCCCATTTTTCGTCATCAGTGCGTTTTGGCTTGGCTGGACAAGTAGAGAAGGCATACACTGGATCGTGCCCATTCTCGCGGGCATCTTGTTTGGCATGGGTTACCTGTGTCTATTCATGGCGCTACTCAATTACCTCGTTGACGCATACGAAATTTTTGCTGCAAGGTAAGTTGTAACTGTACCAAATATATACGAGACTTCACTAACGCCGTGTCTTCACATATGTAGTGCAATGGCTGCCGCCTCACTATCCCGGTCTTCTTTCGGTGCTGTGCTGCCGTTCGCTGCAAAGCCAATGTATGGGGCTATGGGTGTGGCGTGGGCGACGAGTCTACTAGGCTTCTTTAGTCTGGCGCTTTGTATTGTGCCATTTGTGTTTATAAAGGTAAGTCACGGTTGTACGTCATTCACTCGAGACATGTACTGATCTCATGTCTTTGACTTTGCAGTGGGGTGGTGTCATGAGGGATCGAAGCAAATTCTGTCAGTATTTGAGGCAGAAGAAGATGGAAGAGGAGAAAGACAAGGAGAGCGAAAGAGCGAAGGAGAAAGAGCGAGCGAGATTGAGGGCGAATGAAGTCAGCGCTGAGACAAACGAGATTCAGGCGAAGGAAGATGTGTAGGCTATGATTGAGTTGTGGCGTCTGCATGCTTCAAACCGCAAACAACGACGTACGGGATCAGTGCTATCAGTCCCATGGATTATCAAGGTATCGTGGTATGTATTAGGAGTAGGGGAAACCCGCTGATGTACTAGTCGATCGGACGAGAACGTCCATATCGGTAGAGTGGAGCACATGAGGCATAAAGCATTTGGTACATATCATGGTTAGCGTCAGTGGGGTCTTGATAATGAACTGGGAGTCCGATTGACTCTCACCTTTTGTAGGCATGTGGCTACCAGTATAACCATCTTGACACTTCATGCATTTTGCCTTCCGCTGATGCCTCTATCTAACAATTCTATGCCAACAATCACAACGATGACGACGTTTCCCACTCCCAACTTCCCGTTTACATACCCCTGCCGCGTCGCTGTCATCATTTCCGGACGAGATCCTTGCAGGTACCAGGGGAGAGGAATTCGTATGGGAAGGAACGCAGCACATTCCTAACTTCAAAGACGGGTCAACCGCATTCTGGCAAGAATGCCTTGCACTCGCACCCGTCTCATTCGCGTCTTTGCTCTGGCCCTCGACCTCGATGAGGACAACTTCGACGATCTGGTCACACATGTAAGTGTGTCTTTACAAGATGCATGTGTGACATGAACTGATTCCATGCCTCCGCATTCGAGTCTGGACACGATGGTGTATGTAATTTTTACGCGGGAAAACCCCCTGCTGAAGCTGCAGTGTCCAAGGTTGTTGGGCTGGGCTCTCACACTGACCTTCGGTGCTTTATTCTGCTGTGGCAGGACTTGACTGGCGGCCTACAAGTGCTGACTCGAAGAGGACAGTGGATTGGGGCGACACAAATTCCTGGCACAATTGTGGTCAATATCGGATACTTCCTTCAGCGCGTAGGCAATGGTCCATCTGTGAGCACCGTGCATAGAGTGTTTTCGAGAGCTCAAGAAGATCGCATCAGTATGCCTTTCATCTTTGGCCTCGATGTCAACGAAAAGGTTGGTGTATTAGACGGTTGCATCGCGGAGCGTGAGGTAGCAAAGTATGAGCCCATGAGCTGTGGAGAGGTATGATCAGACCATGCTATGTTATTCCAGCTGTTCGTGCTAACATGCTTCTCATTGGGTGCAGACCGGATCCAATTAGTTGGATTCGAGTAAAAATGACTGGAAGATAGCTATCGCGGAAGCTCGGGCTGCGAACACCCAGAGAAGCTCGCAATTACCTTGCTCATCAACACAATCCCATTGATCCAAGGTTGTCCTTGATGAAATCTGATCATATGATGCTCAGTGCAAAGTCGATAAACGAAGCCAAGTAGCAAGAAGGGTGAATATATGTCTAATTAGGGAGATTTCTAGTCGAGAAAAAGTTGTAGATGTAGAACTTCTAACAATTTGAAGGAGTCATCAGGAAAGTACGAAGTTGTCAAACAGTATGCAGGGAAAGCAAGAATCTGAAGTAGATGCTTCTGACGCAGGAGTAGATAAAAATGCGGGTATATTCATGACATCGTGGCGAGCTTTGCGTCTGGAACTACCTCATAACCGGTGGTCTTGCCTCCTTGTTGAAAGCCATCCTGCTGCATAACCATTCGACCGCCTCCTGCACGCCAGTTCCTGTGAGAGCACTGCACGGGAGTACTCTGCTGTCCCTCACATTGCCACCCTTTTCTCCCTCGAACACTCTCCTCACAAAGCCTTCTTTGATCCGTACTACTTCGACACAATCTTCACGATCTTGTTTATTGGCGAGTATTAAAATGGGAACGCCGCTAGCATCTTCGTTGGCCAAAACGCTCTCTAGAACCAGCTTGCACTCGTCCAGGCGCCCAATGTCCTCTATGCTTGCTGCGTTCTTCGCGCTCATATCAGCAAGAGTAGCGTTTCCGACATCGCTGCTGTCTATGACGAAGACGATAGCATGGCAGCTACTGTAGTAAGATTGCCACAGCCCACGAAGGCTGTGTTGGCCACCAACATCCCATATCTTGAGGTATATTGGTGGATTTGGAGGAGGAAGCGCGATGGTAGCAACATTCTGTCCGACCGTCGGGACAGTTTTGAGGTTGGGGTGGGAAGGCGTGTAGGTGCCTTTTATCTGCTCAAGCAGCGTTGTCTTGCCGGCATTGTCGAGACCGAGGAGAAGAACCGAGTACTCTGGGGTCTGTTAGACTTGTCTTGGTGGTTGCGGAGACTCGAATGCACACCTTCCTTACTCGTGGCATGGAGATATATGGACTTGAAAAGGTGATACATATTTTGCGCGACGCGTTCAGTCGGCGCGTGCTTCACATGGTGGACGGGTGACGATCATGTACGGCGCGCGGTTGATCTGGAACGTGTCGTCCGCTATCGATAAGCACCGAGTAACTGACCAACACAACGGCATTCTTCATTCCGCTTGAGCTTTCATCACAGGCTCTACGAATTAAGGCTCTGTCTGGGCGGCGATTGGATCATATTGCAAGCGATTGTTGTTGCCGCGCTTCTACTGTGTAGGATTCACGACGTTCAACGACTGATTGCGCAAGGGACCTTGCGAATGTAATGTCCAGGATAAGTCAAGGACTCGTCTGATGTGAGTGCATGTGACATGCAAGAGCGAGACTACGGGAACTCTAGCCACAGCATGACATCACCTGGGCACCGCCATAGTGGCACCTTGACCACATAGCAGAACTGGCCCCAAGTAGCGCCTAGACGCGTATATGGTGTTGCCGCGGGTGCCGTGCATTACGTGCAGCGATTGCTGGTGGTGCATCTTATCTGAGGAAAGTGAGAGGTTCGGCGCTAAATGCCCGACTGGTGCAGTTGATCGCCGGGAAATCGGACGTCCAGCGAGGTCATCTGCAGCTTGCTCCCACACACATGCACACATCAGAGGGGCACGTCCAGCATTGTAATGCATCTTTGCTCGCACTCGATAGTCGCCATCGCACGGCGGTCGATTCGTGACGTGGGCAGATAGATAGCCTCGCAGTTGACTGTTTGAGCTGTGACCATACGAGCTCACCCGAAACAAGGTTGAGCTACACATGTTCTGACTGGCTGCCCTTGCACTTGTCGAAACATCTGGAGCTCTTTGCACAGCGACAACACCATGGACGATCGGACGCCCACCGGAGGCAAGGCGAAGCTGTCGCCCGAGACGTCGCGCCGGAGCAGCACCTATGGCACAGGCAGCGACACGCCCACGCACAGCGCGTCAGGCACGGATCCGGCGCGCAGACGCCCGCAAGCTGCCATGCAGCCCTCTGGCTATGGTAAGAGCGGCGTCCTGGCAGCCAGAGAACAACAGAGTGGACGAGGCTGACGCGACTACAGGCTCCATCACGTCTGCAATCGAGCGCCGCCAGCAGAACGCGACGACATCCGAAGGCTCGACCAAACCCAAGAAGCCGCCCATGAGCCGTCGCGCGACATCGTCCAAGTGGCCACAGAAGGGCCAGGAGTTCAGTGTCGACGACGCCGAAGAAGAAGTGGAGCTGGACCAGGCCCAGCAGGACCAGCACAAGAAGCAGCGACAGACGCCGCTGCGTCGCAAGCCATCGACTGTCCGGCGCCGCACCGCCGCACCGCCGCCCAACCTAGCCACCATCGACTCGACCGAAGACGATGAAGCCGGGCAGGAGACTGCTGCTGCGCCAACGGCCGCTGATGCTGACGCCACGCCCTCGTCCAGTGAGGAGACGGTACAAGCCGAAGACGACGAAGACGAAAGCGGAGGCGGCGATGAAGAAGACGACTTGAGCGATGCAGAGAGCTTTACCCTCCGCGATCGCCAGGATGCTATCAACGTCACGCATCCCTTCGGTATCAGGATCTGGAAGCCCGCCCTCTATAAAAAGGGCCGTTCGGTGCAGCGGAACGCTGAAGCAGACATTCATTCATCGCCAGGTCTCTACGTCAGTAGATGGCTGCTGCTCTTCAACATCGCCTGGACCCTGATCTTTGGTTGGTGGTTGGCTGTCGTCGCCACGGCCGGTGGTTTGCTATGCGCTCTGCTAGGCTTCAACGAGAGCTGCAAGGAATACTCTCGCCTGCTTTTCCACCTTGCCGGCTATCTATTCTATCCTTTCGGCAAGTACGTCAAGCTCATGCAGGATGAGGCTTACATAGAAGAGGACGAAGGGGAGGGTCGTAGCATCAGCGAGTACGAGCAGTGGCAGAGCGGTGATATCGAAGAAGGGCGCCTTTTCTTTGGTCCAACAACCGGTACGAGCTCTCTAATCGGCCGGAGACGCAACAGCGTTGATTCTGCCGGCGGAGAAACGACAAGCTTGCTTGGCAGAGATGGACGAGCCAATGTTCTTCATACCGATACTGCCAACACCAAAAGAAGGCTGTTTGGCCGTGGCAAGTGGAACCTTGGACGAGTTGTCTTCTTCCTATTCTTCTACGGTTTCCTTACACCTTCGCTGTTCCTCGTCTCAGCCCTGTGTTGGTTCCTTGTTTTTACAATACCTATGGGCAAGACTACACTGCTGCTGTTCGATCATCTGCGGCGTCACCCTCTAGCCCTCTCGTTCCATTCTGATAACGGCAACGTGCGCCGTCCTGGAGAGTCTTCCTCGATACTTCTCTGCACCTACCGCGCAGTTGGAATCAAATACTGGAAGTACACCATTGATGGAACCAACATCTTCCTCATCAATCTCCTTGGCTTGGTGGCCTTTACCATCTTCGACTACTTCGTCCTAGCCGAGGCCCTGGAGATGAAGTTTTGGTTGACAGACCAGTTCCTGCTGTTCACCCTTGCCTTGTTGTCCATCATCCCGCTCGCATACTTCATTGGTCAAGCCGTAGCATCCATCTCAGCTCAATCCTCCATGGGTGTAGGCGCCACTATCAATGCTTTCTTTTCTACGGTGGTCGAAGTATTCCTCTATTGTGTGGCGCTTAAACAGGGCAAAGCCCAGCTTGTCGAGGGAAGTATCATTGGTAGCATCTTTGCTGGTATCCTGTTCCTGCCAGGCTTATCCATGTGCTTTGGTGCTTTGAAGCGTAAGACACAGAGGTTCAATGTCCGCTCTGCTGGTGTCACCTCGACTATGCTCCTGTTCGCCGTCATTGGCGCTTTTGGTCCAACACTGTTCTACCAGATCTATGGAAGCGTAAGTCTTATCCCGACGTCCTCCATTGCCCCGCTAAAACTTATCAGCATGAGCTCAACTGTCACCAATGTGTGCACCCTAGCCGACGTGTGCCCCTCGAACGAGACTGTCGTAGATGCTATTATTCACAGACACCTGCATTGAACGATCGCTTCTATAATGAAGCTGTCAAGCCTTACACTTGGTTTGCGGCTACTATGCTCTTCTTCTCCTACATCATCGGTCTTCTATTCACTCTTCGAACTCATGCTGCTACCATCTGGACTGAACCAGATGCCCAGGAAAAGAAGATACTTGAAATGAGTGCAAGCAGCCTTAGCCAAGGCGGTCATATGGATTACCCTCACTCCTCGTTTGTCAGACAATCGACTGGGCAGTCCGTCTCCCGTGCGCACATTCGCGACAGCCAATTGTACAAGCGTATGGTAAGCCAGACTTTGCAGGAGGTTGGGCTTGGACCAGAACAAAACTTTTCGGACGACAGGCGGCCGGTCTCCAAATCGGACAGCCACACCCCGCACATGGTACCACCTAAAGACAGTGATGCACATTCACATCACTCTTTCCACGTTGAGGGTCTTACAGATGATGCTGCTCAGTCACTTGCGCGACAGATCACAGAAATCGCGGCAACTACAACAGCTCTGGCAACGCGCGATGTTACTAGGGCTCCACGCAAAGCTGCCCAACTTGCTCATACATCGACCAAAGCGCACGTTGAGCGCCCAATTCACACAAGAACAAACACGGAGGCTGCGCCCGAAGAGGTCGATACAGCCACTGGACACGCTTCTGGAGGTCACGATGCACCGAATTGGAGCCGACAGAAAAGTGCAGCTATTCTTTTAACGGCGACTCTAGCATATGCCATCATTGCTGAAATACTCGTCAACACCGTGGATGGCGTGCTTGAGGGCTCAGATATCGATGAGAAGTTCTTAGGCATCACGCTGTTCGCGCTGGTACCTAACACAACGGAGTTTCTTAACGCCATCTCTTTTGCCATGAACGGCAACATCGCCCTCTCGATGGAGATTGGTTCTGCATACGCTTTGCAAGTTTGTCTCCTCCAGATTCCGGCCCTTGTCTTTTACAGTGCCATACACACGAGCTACATCCCCGCCCAAGACGCTGCGAGCCAGACGTTCACTCTCATCTTCCCTCAGTGGGATATGATAACTGTTATACTCTGTGTGTTTCTCTTGTCGTACATGTACGGTGAAGGCAAAAGCAACTACTTCAAAGGCTCTATACTGATCTTGTCGTATCTTGTGGTCATTGCTGGATTCTATCTGTCTGGCTTCAACGATTTCCAGAAGATGGGAGTTGATCCAATGGACACTTTAGCGTTGGGGGGTTTGGTCGAGCAGCAGGTGCAGTCCATGACGTTCAGAACGCCCTCAAGGGGTCGTAGTGGTGTTGCATATTAGAGCATCGTGTTTCGGTGTCTACATATGCTGGAGGAAGATTAAGAGAACACTAATGACTGTCTGTATTTGACAGAAGGTTACACACGGTACATAGCGTAGGCGTAAAGGAAAAATTGGTACTTTGGGTCTAGCTAGTAGTGAATTGCACATAGTGTGGCGTAAATGCTAAACCTTTGCATGGAAAGATCCCACTAGGGTTGACAGATATCACTCCGAATCAAGTTCGTGACTGTGATATTAGAGGGTGTCTTTCATATGCAATTTGAGGTGCGACAAGAGATAGCGCACATAGCCCACCTAATCAAACCACGACTGCGAAGATGGACAAGGCGGTCAGATGGGATATCCTTGGACGTCAGGTTTGGAGTAAGATACTGCTGATGCTTATAGTCTCACGATACATGGCGCCGGCCCGGGGGGGAGGGGNGGGGGGGGGGTGACGCTCAGCCATGGGGCTGACGACTGCATCGCAGCAGCATACCATAGGTGAGCAGTGAAGATGGGCGGAGCAGGGCGGATATGTCTAACAGGTCACGATGCGACGACAACAGCAAGTAGCAGCCGATCAAGTGGGGCAATGCGGCGATTTAACGTGGGTGGGTTGGAGAGACGGTTGCAGGTTGCGCGCCTGTGGTGCGGCAGTCTCGGAGTGGCACGTTTTAGTGGGTCGCCAGCGTCAGCGGGTAGGTATGAGAAGATCAATCGATACGCCATGGCAATCCGCGCCTCTCCGCCGAGGCTTCAATCGACCCTCTTTTACTATATGAATATCTTTGTCGCTGTTTGACCTTCGCGCGCGACATGATAGTGAGAAAGCGCGACATCTGTCACCTCGTACAATCGCTTTGGATCGTCGGGTGCTTCTCAAGGCCGACACCAGTGAAGCGGCACCCCCGCGCTCGCGACCAACTCTCCATGGGGCGTCGGACCTGCTGTGCTGGTCATCGATAAGAAGGACCCCCAGCTCGTTCGTGCCTGGGGCGCGCAATATTCCTTTTACACGATTCGCGCCGCATCCACGCTACTTGTCGAAATGCTGCTCGTGCCACCTTGCCGCCTGCCGTGGCAGTTGGCGTGTGTCTTGTTCGCAACCGTCTCCGCTGCTACCATCTCCTCCACCAACACTTCTACCGCGCGTCCAAATCTCTACGATGGCACATTACCGCTTGCTGATGCGCAAGGCGACGGAAACACGATTGCCGAGTTGATCCCATTGACCCAGGAAGCCGCTAAATCCGTTCGTCAAACACTGCGTGTCGCACAGCTTTTCATGCGCTGACTAGGACCAGGTGAAGGGCAACCTATACAATACAAATTACTCCAGCGCTGCTCGAATCTCCAATGACGAAATCGCGTACATCAGCTGTAACACCAACGACTACAACGGCTTCGACACTCCGCAGAGTGTCTTCGAACGGGCTTATACCCAAGCCAACATATCGGCCGTCATACTGTACAGCACGGCGTCCAACTACTGCAACTATACGCAGGACAGCGCGCAAAACATGATCGAGGAGTTTGCTGTATACTCAATGACGAACAAGGAAGATTCAGCCAAGATACTCGGCGCCATCATCGACCTGCCTGCCCACATGAAGTACTTTGTGCAAGTTGAAGGCCGGGATGAGGCAAGCAATAGCGCCGGTGGTAGCAACCAATACCAGCAAAACCCACTCGGTCCTTCGCCGTCCACTGCTGTTGCCATGATCATCCTATACAGTATCACAGGAATCATCACAGCTTTATTCCTCGTCATCATCATTACTGGCGCTGTGCGCGCGCACCGGCATCCGGAGCGATATGGTCCTCGAAACGTCCTTGGCCGACCAAGGCAAAGCAGAGCGAGGGGGTTAGGGCGAGCCATACTGGACACAATACCAATTGTCAAATTTGGGGAGAAGGAGCCTGCGAAACCTGCCGACGTTGAGTTGGGATCAACACCAGAGACGCCAGATGTAAATCGTGCAAACGTAGATACTGAAGGACCTAACAGCCTAACCACAACTACGAACCACGAAGACAACACCCCGGATACGTTGCCCGACTCAATTAGGACGACAGAAGCTGCGACACCAAGACTATCGGAGGAGCATCAGTCGGGCATCGCACCTGCACAGCCCGTTGCCACAGGCGTGGGGGCGGCCACAGACAATGCATCGTCAGATGAAGCTCTAGGATGCTCGATCTGTACTGAGGATTTTGAAAAGGGCCAAGATCTCCGTGTGCTTCCTTGCAATCACAAATTCCACCCAGAATGCGTAGACCCTTGGTTGTTGAACGTGTCTGGCACATGCCCATTATGGTAAGCTGTTCTTTGACGCACAATGCTTGGTATGCTAATCCCCATCAGCCGCGTCGACCTTCGTCCTGTGACCTCTCATGATTCCTCCACCTCACAAGATCAGAATGAGCTTGCCCCTCCTCTCAATCCTGAAGCCGATTCATCACATCGCCGCCGTACAGCGCTTTTCGACATCCTCTCTCTTCGTCATCGACCCAACGCATCACCTGAAGAACGGATTGGCGCTCTTCGGCGTCTGAGAGAGCAAGGCAGGAATCAAAGCGGTGATATTGCAGCAGGCAGTGTCAATGCCAGCGCTGAGGACGTTGCCAGTTCGCGAGATAGGAGAAATAGACGCATCAGTGTCAGGCTAAGCGATGTCTTTACCGGTCGGACGAGAAGAGAGAGGCGGGATGAAAGCCCGGCACATCAGGCAGGACCAGACGGGAGTGAGGCGAACACCACGTCTAACCATGCTGAACCAAGACTCTAAGCCGGGGCTACGACGTGCCTTACGATATATACGATGCTTGTATAGTTTATTATTTGTGTCAGCGTTGAGCAAATAGCTCGTTCAGGAGTTTACCAATAGTTGTGCATTGTACGGCGTTGCGGGATACCATATAGTTTTAGCTAGGGTATTTGTTGCATACTATGAATAAGAGTGTATACGAGTTATCTATAACCTGCATCTTTTCACAAAGCGAAGAAAGGCGACTTAGCTAAGGAATCTAAAATAGAACTTTGATACTACGAGGTAGAAACGTAAGATACTAGTGTGAACCCCGTTGATTTCTTAGATCGTTACCTTGCTTGCAGAGCCTCTAAGGTAGTAATAGATAGACTAAAAGTATAAAGTATAGCTATTAGGCTAGATATATTATATATTAGCTATAATAACTACTATAATAAAAATAATTATAAAGGTTAGTAAATAGACTAACTAAGAAGTAGAAGCTTAGCTTAAGCTATATTTATATCTAGCTACTTAACTTATTAACCTCTACAATATTATATATAATATTAGACTCTATACTACTAACTAATATAAGATACACAAAAGTGTAACGTAATAGTAAATTATCTAGTATAGATAGACGAATTAATACTGTCTAGTATTAGATCTAGTAGTGTTACTTATACTTGTACTAGTAAGAGTTATATAAAGTATATTACCTTACCTATACTTAGGCTCCTAATATATAATATATAAAAAAAAATAGTAGTTTTTTAAATAATAAGTTTAGAAGCTACTACTTATAGAAGTATACTACTTTTTTATAATATTACTATAATATATTAGCTTTATAAACTTCTTATAGCTTAGCTATTACTAATTTCTAAACTTAGAATTATAAAAAATAGTTTAAAGAATAATAAACATTATTACCTTATATTATAAAATATATCTATTAAGATTAAAATATATATAATTTATAATTATAGAAAAATATACTATATAAACTATATTATAATATAAAAAAAGACTAAAATAGTATAGTAAATAAAACTTATAGTATAGCTTCTAAATAGAAAGCTAACTATAGATACTTACTATATAGCTTATAGATAAAAGCTAAAAAGATAATACAGTTAAGTTTACTAAAATACTTAGATTTAAAGATTATAATAATAATAAAAATAATAATAGTAAAATATAGTTACTACGCTATTAGAATTTACTATATTATATAATAGTATAAGTATATTATTTGCAACCTACTTAGCTTACCTATATAGTCCTATATATATATTTTATTAGAACTTTTATATTAGATTTATTTTTATCTACTATGTTCTTTTTATTACATCTAAGTTTAAAGTTTAATTTACTAGTCTTTATATTAGTTAAACTACTAGTACTTATAGTAGTTATATAAAGATAGATAAAAGAAGTATAAGCCTATATAACTAAAGATAACAAGAATTTAGTTATTGTATTTTAATTAGTTATAAGATCTATTCTTTAGTAGATTTAAGGAGGTTTGAATTAAGCTTTAATAGTTATAAACTAATAGAATTTAAGTAGCTAAGATTAATTATAATACTAAAGAATTCTAAGATAGTTTAGATTATACTTACTTAGGTATAAGTAGACTTAATATAACTATTATATATTTATTAATTTAATTAACGTACTAGTAATAAGACGCAGGTATAATACTATTAAGTTATATAATATTATATTATAGTAGAAGTATATTCCTAAATACTTACTTAGCTTTACTATATATAGCTATATTAATCTTTATTTAGAACTTTTATTAATTACTACTAAAGCTATTAATTTAATATAGTTTTAGAGAGCTACTATAGAGCTCTTAGCTCTAAGTAGTTATTATAAAGCTTAATATTAAAAGAAGAGTATAGTTTAACTTATTAAAGAGAACTATAGTTAATAGTAAGTAACTAAAGTTTTAAACTATAGAATTTAAATTTTAAAAAATATTAAAATATAGACTTAGAAATTCTACTTTTAAGTTCTATATTTTAATATCTTAAGCCTTATTATTATACTTAGGCTTACTACTTTAAATATATTACTATAAATTATTATATATAACTATATTTAACTATATTATAGATATAGAGCGCCTAGTTATAAAAAGTTTTATAGTCTTCTTAATAATAATAATAATAACTATAAATACTACGCTAATAGCTACATATTAATATAGTAAGAATTAAGTTATTTTTAATATAGACTACCTTAAGAGTACTCTTAACTACTAGATATAAGCTTATATATAGCTAGTTAGTTTATTTAACTTAAGCGCAGAAGAGCTTAAGAATAGGTTTAATAAAGAATTATTTAGAATTAAACTCTTTTTTATTAGTAATATTTTTATACTAGCTAAGAAAAATATAAGTTTAGAAAATAAAGCCTTTACTTATACCTAAAATATAAAATTATAGTAGTTATATAATATAGTTTTAGCTAAAAACTAAAGACTAATAAGTAGAATAAATATCTTTAGAATATTTATAAGAGTTAATTTAAAAACTAGCTAAACTTTACTTATATTATTATCTATAAGCTAGAATAAGTATAATATAGTAGATAATTATTTAAGTAACTTAGATAGCTTAGAAAGTAATAATAAATAAATTTAGTAAGTACGTAACTTATATAGTTATCTTAGATAATAAAACTACTATTAAGCTATAAGTATTTATAGCTACTTAGTAGTAATTATAATTATAATT